GAAGACATGTGATAGTAAGAGGCGTTGAAAGCTAAAACCACCAATTTATAGGCGACCCAGAGCAACTAGTCCATTCTACAAATGCTCCCAAAAATGCAAAAGCAGAAAAAGAAGAAGGAAAAAAATCAGAAGAGAAATCCACACAACCAAATTATGGGATCTGTTCACACCAAACATTGCAAGATTTTCAGCAAGATGGAGAAGAATTCTCCATTAATGTTTCGATTCAATAATTTTATCAGTAAATGAATTATAGAAGGGTCCACTAATTTCAATAAGCTATATATATATATATATATATATATATATATATATATAACCATGGTTAACGTTTGGTCATTGCTTGACACATGCTCAGTCATAACTCCATCGCGAATTTACTAAATTGCTGGTATGAATTTAAAAAAAAAAATTTAGCATTTACATTTTTATAATAACTACATAAAAAATTTACGTACATAAATTTATGAATTTGAATAAATAAAAGCAAAATAAATATTATTTATTATTTCATTGATTAAAAAAAACAAATTACATTGTAATAATTTGCTAGATTTTAAATCATGAGTTACACATTCATATAATTATACGAGTTTCGAGACCATCATACGATACATAAATCTTTCTTACTAATATTTCTTGTCTTCCACTTTACAGCAAAATAAAAAGTTAAGCAAAGGAATGCCTGGGCATTATTAAAAGCCAATGGAATCCAAATAAATCAACTAACAAACCATAGTAGAATTGGATAATTAGTCCAACATAAAAATATTGGACCAAATTAACACATTATGAGATTTAAACTAATTGAGACTTTATGATTCCAAAGCTTAGCCTCTATTTTTTTGTAATTTTAATGAAATTTTCCACTTACATCCATAAATTAATGTTGTCTATAAATTTATTAAAAAAAATATTGTATTCATTTTTTACATATAATCTATAATTTCATTTGTAATATTTAAAAATATTTTTGTAACTTCCAATTTTAAACATTGCCTCGATGGTTGATTGAACCATTGATCCCAAAACCTGAAATCTTTGAATATGTTGTATCACTATTTCATACTTATTACTTTATAAATTTAGCCCAAGGATGAATGGACAAATCTGAAGCACGTTTAGCAGAAGAAGATTGCCAACATTTGGCAATTGACAGCCATGAATCCTTGAGGATTCTCACAAAATTGCAGCCACCAATTGCAATCCTGACTTCAATAATGGTTCCATTTCCTTCCACAACTATAATGGGTGCGTATATAATTGGGTGATAAATTAAAGAGGGGAGAGGATATATATATATATATATATATATATATATATATATTTATGAGTGAAGAGCTAGTAAGATCAATTAAAAAGAATTTCAGTTTAAAATAAGATACTTTTGTTAAACTCTTTTAGCTTAAAAATTTAAGAAATTTGTTTCCATGTTTGACTTGGCATTAACATTTTGTATATTCATATATTAAAGTTCAATGAGTTTTGTTACTAATTGTGTGATTTTATTAATGAAGTATCGAATTTTAAGTTTAATTTTTATAACTATAAATATTAAAAAAAAATTTCAATGAATTTTAAAATAAAAAATCTTGAAATTTATAATATGAATTTTTATAAAATAAAATTATTATGTTTAATAAAAAAGGCAAACTAGTTTAGGGGGCTTCCATTTAAAAGATTGACAAAAAAGTAAGTATGTGATTTAGTAGTCGCTGGATTTTTTTTGATTGAATGATTTGCATGATTTATAATTAATATATGACACTGATGATTTTTATAGACGAAAAATCCACCATTCATCATTATAAAAGGGAACTTAACCTTCTTCAAATTTCTCCCATGCCCAAAACCAATTAGTCATCCATTCTATTCAATAGTCACCAGGCTTCGATCTTGACATGGGAAACAGTACTCCAGCAGCCACCATCCCTAGCATTGATGCAGAATTTGTCTCCCCAGAAACCAAAGAAACGAATACAACAGTTAAGCCTCCCCAGAGTCGATGGCTGGAAATATCCTCTCTACCTATACCAAGGCTTTTGGTCCTTCTCTAAATTGCTTCAAGGTGAGATCTTATATGTTGGATATATCTGAATTTATCAAAACTTTAAGTCATAATTACCATAATTTTTATACCCTAACTATGAATTATTGTTTTGCAATAATTCTTTTTAAAAATTAAAATAAGAAGTAAAAAACATTAGGGAGAACTATAAAGCTTAATTGGCTTTTTTTTTTTTCTTAATTTTTAACGATAATGAATATCTATACATATCTCATGTTGTCTAGAAAAATATTTAAAATATTTTATTAATTTTTATAATATAATTTATAATTTATTCATAATATTTATATATATTGAATAACTAAATATTAACTCAACAATTTTAAAGCATTGACCCAATAAGGTAATAACCCAAAATAAAATTGAATGAATCTTTTTTGGATCCATAAAGACAACTATAGATTTATCCAGCAAATGCAATAATTAATTGGGCAAATATAAAAAATATGACAAATTTAACAAATGTGAAATTCTATATAATTAATAATCTCGTACAACAATTTTCTCATGCGAAAAAAATTGGATAAATTGCATTATAAAATTAACCATCTTTTCTGACAAACCCTTGCCAATGAAACCATGTTTATAAAATTAACCAAACCTCGTACATCATACAGTACAAAATTGCATTAAATTCCAACCAATTGCAATTATAGATTAAGAAGAAATTCAAGTTTAAAATAAGAGATTATCATTTTTTTTATCTGAAAATAGGAATATTATTACTGTAACTTAACAATCACGTGTAAAAAAAAAATTTCAAGAGTAAGTATCTATTGAATTTTGACACTCTTTTGTGCTACCTTCTTTTGATTTGGCATTAAAACTTTTGTAATTAAAAATTTAAGCTTTCTTTTGTGAATTTAAGTGTATAAAGTACAATACATGAATTTTTTTAAAAATTACTAATGTATTGTAATTTAAATTAAACTATGAGATATTGGGATGTAATGTAGAATTAGAAAATTAAGTATGTAATACAAAATTACAAAAGGATACGTCAAGTACTTATATTCCATTTAATCATTAATTAATGTATAAATATATATTAGTTCCTTCTAATTTAAACACTAAAACCTTAAATCTTGAAGGAATCATGGCCTAATAATGATTTAAAATCATCAAATAGGAAATTCAGTCAAAACAAAATTTGAAATACCCCTTACTATATATATATATATATTTAAAACATTAAAAATAATAATAAATAAATTAGTTCGATTGGTCCGATCCAACAACTTTAGCTTAATTAGGATGGATTTAAGATGTGCACCTTTTACAAATGACAATGTGGTGTTCTTTTTTTTTTTTTTTATTGAATGGCTAATATAATTTAAACTCAATCATGTATATGGGTTTATAGTTTATGTCCTTAATCTTTAATAGATTCAATTCATGTGGATTTTGGACCCACCAAAATCTTCTTTAACATGAAAAGCCTTTGAAAAATCTTTTACTCACGCTTACTTAAAAAGGGGATTGACTAAGAAAAAACAAATATGATCTTGATCAATTTGTGGTATAAAAAGAGGAAATAGTGACATATTAACAATTCATTTTGTGGAAAGTTTATGAAAGGATCCTAACATATATATTGGAAAGAGTTAATTATAATGGATGGCTGAGATTATGGTGTCCAATCTAACATTGTTGATGTAATTTAAATAAAATATAATGTTAAATACAATGCACAACGAATGTAACTTGTCTGCTCATTGCTTGTGTCATCCACAACAACCATGTGCTTTGTCGGATAAAAGATATCCTTTAAAGGACATATTGAGGATGTTTCTATATCATTAACCAACAATTCTATCACCATTTATCTCCCATATTAAACACTTAATTGTATTACTAATTGCATTAAGTATCTTCAATTAATATTAATGAAAGATTTTTAAGTTTTACTCGGCACATTTTTTTTTTAATTTTATAAATTTATAAAAAATTATTTTCTCACATATTTTCAACTCCTAACAATAAAAAAAATGTCACTTGAACTAAACATCGTCAATAACTTATTGATTATTTACTTGCAAATACTAAAAAAATTATATATATTACGATTACTTCATATATATATTTTCATTCTAAGGGAGCTATAAAATAAAATATTAATTATTCATTAGATATCACATGTGACTCATCATTAAATGGTGAAACCCTACTTCATGAATATTTGTTAAAGATATTTGAGAAGAAAATAAATTAATTTGTTTGAAATTATGTCTACATGTTATGATTTGTAGAAAAAAATGCAAATACATACATACATATATATATATATATATGCACTAATGGAGTAATTGTTTGATAGATTTTTTTGTTATTATTATTAGAATAGATTGTGTTTTAGACATCTACGAAATGCTGGAAGATACATGAAGTTGAAACATATCTCTTCAACGTGTTGACGTAATAAACAAGAAGTTGTGCACACACACTTATCCACATTGATTAATAAGGCTTGTCCTTTTTTTCTCTCAATAGTGTTGATATTATTTTTAAAATTAGTGTGGTAATTTAATCATTAAAATAATTTTATTGTTTGTGATTTGAAATTACCTTATTGTGTTGACATAATAAATGAGAAGTTGTGCACACACACACTTATCCACATTATTCATTAAAATAATTTTATTATTAAAATGATTTTATCATTTTTATTTAAAATTACCTTATTTGATGAAAAATAATTAATTTTTAATAATTAAAGATCTATCTTTTTGTGATGTATTTTTCTTTTAAGCCTAAAATCAAATTCAAAATTTTTTTTTTTGTTTCTTTGTATAAAAAAAGGTTGTAGCATTGACATAAGAAAGATAATGGAGTTGCAAATGTTACAATTTAAATTTTAAATTTATTAAATGTTATCTTTTAAAGATAAGTATATAAATTAATTGAACAAACCACTTCTTTAATATTAAAAAAAAAAAAGGAAATTTCAACCATCAGAATATTTTATTATCCAATCATATAACCTCACACTCATGCACATATATGTTACTACTATAAATATTTCCTAGGACCATACATGCAATATTTTTGGCAATGCCACCAAAAAAAGAAAAATATACATCCAAATATAGCTAGGAGCCCTTGATCTCAAGCAGAGTTGTCAGACATAAATCTTCTGATAATTTGCAAGGTTTCATTTGCAGCATCAGAGTAAGGATCATAATTGAAGTAACCATGTTCCTTTCCTTCAAACTCAACGTATTCAACTTTCTTTCCCATGTCTTTTAATCTTCTTGCATAATCCTCAGCCCTGTCTTTCAACAACTCATTGCCACCTACAATGACCAAGATGGGGTCAAGGCTTACTGCTTCAAGGCTAGGGCTCAACGGACCAAATGGATTTGCCAAAGGGTGGTCTCTTGTCTCTCCAATTGGCATTGACAGCCTCCAAAACCTAGAATTGGAGATAAAAACAAAAAGAAAAACATATATATTACCCATTCCATACACAAAAAATGTTGATTTTTCATTAAACAGTTTCAGTTCTCTAAAGGAATAACATGAACATGGTGGCAAAATCAGTAGCTAAACAGTAGTATTGATGGGGATTTACATGACATCACTGGCGACGAATGAGTTAAATCATACCAAACTCCAAATTGTCAGGCTGAGAAGTTTCCAACATTAATGGAGTACTACTTCATTCCTAATTTTTTTTTTTAAAACTATCATCCAAAATAAAAACACTCATGATAGACATGAAAAGATCTTTTTCAAAGATGGGTATTGAATTAAGAACCTTTTTCAAATATGAGGAGAGAGACAGGAAGACAGATTATTGATGAAATTAGACAAGGCACTATCTCATATGTGTTGAATTAAAATTTTATTATATTGTCATAGCAATATATATGATTATAATTAAGTTTTCAATAATGGCACACCACTTTCAAGAGATATTTTAGTAAGCATATGCTGATTTAGAACCACACAATAATCGTATTAAACAACCAATTTGCCCTCGTGGATATCTTTTTCGTGTTACGTATTAAAGCACTGCATGCATTTTTATTTTTTTTTTTGGATTCATCCATATAGATATTCTAACATATATCATCATCACCTATATTGGATTATAGGTAAAGAGGATGTCTTGTAACCATTAGATCCAAAGTTAAAGCTCATTATGTATGAACTTTGTTTAATTTTTCTAGTTAAAATTTCTCTAGTTATTATACACTAATTTCTTAAAGAGCTTCTGATTTAGACGTAATAATTATGTCATATATATGTCAAGATTTTTTTTTTTTTCAAATTTGAGGAAGACGATATTTGAATCTTACTCTAACAAGGTGTAATGAACCAACCAAATAGATTAAATGCTCATGTGCAAATGTCAAGAAATTTTAATTTTAATTTTAATTTTAATTGTTAGTTGTATACGTTATTATCAAAAGAAACATTTGTCTGGCTAAGGATATACAATAAAGTCGGGAGCATTTAATTTACAATTAGTTAATCATAATAAAAAATTATGTAAAGATTTATCACTAAAAAATTTAAATTTTATATAAATTTTTAATGGATCTTACACAATATTAAATTATAATTGATTAATTGTATTACAATAATTATAAGTGATATGTTCTATTAAAAAGCTAAAAGAAGAGCACTAATTATAAGGATTTGTTTGGTAAAAATAAAAAGAAAGGAAGAAAACAATTCTAATCTAATATTTGAATTACAAAACAGCACAATGTTATGTTAAATTTGATCTGTTTTCTACTGATTTGAAAAAACAAATAAATCTAATATATAATTATAAATTAGTATTAATAATTTAATCATATCATTACATATTTAAGTGAAAATGTTTGTTAATATAGTAATTTCAAGGCTTAAAAATATTAATACTAATTTGATTTTTTTAAATAATTGAAAATTATTTCATAATTATAATATTTCATTTCTCAAACTCATTCTCATAATATTAACATCATTTTTTTTTACAAATTTCAATATATAAAAAATGACTACACAACATCGTGTATCATGTGTGAGCTCTAATTATTTATTTTAAAAAAGTTGTGCGTGGAGCATTTCAACTCCATGGAGAGAGTCCACTCAAAGCCAGCCATGGTGGTGTATATATGTGTATTTGATTTCCATGATAGTGACCCAAGCTCAAAGCTTGGGCCTTATCTTGTGGAGGAGACTCATGATTAATTAACTATTTATTAATTAATAGTTAAAATTTAAAATCACATAATTGATAAGTATGATTTTTAATTATAATTCATAAATATATATTATACGAATAAACATACTAAAAAATAATGAATAAAAATATAATAAAAAAGAGTCCGACCCTCCAAAAAAAAATTTAGATCCAACACTCAAATATTGAAATTCCCTATTTATAGAATTATTAAAAAATAATAAGAATAATTATCCTAATTAAATAATAAAATTGCTTTCTTGAGATCAGGATTACTAATATTATATAGTTGTTTGAAGATAATCTTAATCCAATTAAAAGAATTAATCTACAATAAAATAAGAGACAGATATGTCCAAAGTAAAATTGATGTTTTGTCGTGTAGGAAATTGCCTTTTTGTTGATAAGAAACCGCACGAAAGATACATTTCTTGCCCAATGTTTCGACAATTGGGCCTTGGAAAATCTTGGCCGCTTTTGTGTATAGTTTTGTTCTTATTCCAATTTTATATAGTACTTTAGATTTTCTACATTCTTCTTGTGATCTGCTTACGCAATAACCTTTAACTATATTAATTAATTGTGTTAATTAAAAATTAATGTTTAATTTTTAATATTTTAATTCTCTGTAATGCATAAAAGAATTTAGGGTTTTTTTTTTCTTTTGGTCAACATTACGGTTTTCATTTGGTTAATGTTTTTGGTATTTATTTTTTGTTTTTAAAAATAAAAAGTATTTTTTAACAAAAAAGCAAAAAATATATATACTTTTTAAGAATTATACACAAAATATCTGTTAACTGATTTTAAATAACAAATGCACAAAAAACTGTATTTTATTTTATTTTATTTTTCAAAATCAAATCCGTTACTTTTTAAGTGAATTGGACGATTCAGAGAAAAAAAAAAAAAACAAATTGACCTTTGGAGGTTTGGAAGAGCGAAGAGACTAGAAAAGATGAAATGTAAATCACTAAAAAGTAGTGACGGCTCGGTTTCGTAGTGTGGAAATGGCCAAATGGGGTGGCCATTTTCACGACAGAAAGGTCGTGAATCAAGTGGCACCACCCCTTATGTACGGCCCTAGAGCCGGCACTATCAAATCTCATTCGCTCTGTGGTCCAATCGAATCGACAAAAGGTTAAAGAAGAGCCTCGAAAGGGAATGCCAAAAAACCAAGAGTCTGTCCAATTGGCTCCATTTAAAAAATTTTTTTTCATAGTTTGTGTAGTTATTTTTATTTTATTTTTTATCTCTAATACTTACAAAATATAAAATATTATACTATAATTTATATTAGTATTTTTAATATAAAATATATTTTTTATTTTATTAAAATTTTAAATTATATTATTTTTTCATATTATATTTAAAATTATCAAATCTATTATAATCAAATCCTAATATTGGCATATATTCGATTGCGGTGTGACAAAAATGAAATGAATTATTATTATTATTATTCCATTAATTAATGCGTAATTAAGGAAGCTTGAGTAGAGTATACCTGTCAAGTATCTCAAGATTCAACAAAGCCTCGCTAGGTCCCGCCTCGGACTTTGTCCTGACCACGCCACCAAAGAATGGTGCCAACAGCACGTAACCTCGTACTCGAACCGGAGCCAACTCTGTCGAACCAGCACCAAACCTAACTGCCAAATGGTGTGCAATATTGCCCCCTGACGAGTCACCCAAGACAAAAACCTGGTCAAAGTCAACCTCGCTACTGTTGAGCCATGCATCACTACTATTTTCACTCAAAGCTTGACTTTGCAACCACTTCACGGCAGTGGCTGCATCATCCATAGCTGCCGGCAGCCTATTCTCCGGGGCCAACCTGTAGTCCGGTGCGACGACGAGCGCGTTGAGCCCCGACGCTAGGCGAAGGCAGGAATTGTGACAGGTAGGCCACATCCGAGAGCCTAGGCAAAAACCACCACCATGAATGAAAATGATGATGGGGAGCTTATAATCATTGCTTGTTAAAGATGCTGATGTGGGTTTGTAAATTCGAAGATGGAGATTATGGTTTTTGTCAAACATAGCATCTTTGAAATGAACAGATTTTTCATCGATGGAAGGCATGTTAAATTGTATGCTTTTGGACCTGAAAATGGTGCCATCACTTAACACTTGAACGAATCCCATGCAGTCTTCCACTATGTAAGGAAATGAACCCATGTTCCTTTTTTCTTTCTTTATTTTTGGTTCTCACTGATTTGTTGGGTGAGGTTGGTTGGCTGGCAATGGTGGGGTTTATATAGAGAATGAGGGGAAAGGGATGAAAGTGGAGAAACTGTAGAATGATAAGGGTGATAGTGTAAATTCAATGGATATTAATGGGGGGTAGTGCCACATGATTTCAGGTCATTGGTTCATCTTATTGTTCTTTGAATATGGACCATAGATGAGCTTGGGTGGCTCTGGTAATGTTTATTTGCAAGGGAATTATGTCATCATGTTTGATAAGGTATAGTAAAACCTGCCAATTCTTCAAGGTTTTTTTTTTTTTTTTCCCTAATACATTTCTATCATAAAGTTCATAGTATCCAAGGCTATGGCAGAGATGGAACTGCATCTGTTTGATTAAGAGATGATATAACGTTCAGCTTCAATGAAAATTGGAAACAATTTGGTTTTGGATTCTTTTGAATATATAGTCAACGAAATCACAAAGAAAAGGCAAAATTGACTGATAAGAGATTTGTTGAAATGGTAGGATGGTTTCGAGTCCAGCTAGTGACTTTTTGTTAAGGTTATTTCGAATATATAATTTAGAATTATAATACATTTTATTTTGATCTGAAAAATTAAATAATTTATTTATATTTAGATTTGTCGAATAAAAAAAATAAAATTGAGAATAAAGACACTTGTATTTTGGGTATCCATGACATGTTCCTTCAATTATTATTATTAATTTTATGGAAAAGTAAAAAAATTTCAAATTCTTCATAATCTAATGACATATATTTGCAATCCTTTTGTTCTTTTCTACCTAAACATATTCTACTACATTACAAGAAAATGAAAGATTAGTGACAGTTTTGTAGCGGTGTTTCACTTACAAACGTCACTAGGTTTCGTGTTTTTATAAATCTTAAGGCATTTATTATCAAAACACCACCAAATAAACATCACTAAATATTCAAATAACGGCGTTGTTACTTATAAACGTTATTAAAGATAAAATTAACGGCGTTTATCGACTAAAACGATTTGAATAATCTTTTCTAAAAAATTAGAGTGATTATTAAAGACGTTCTTTTGCTAAAAATACATTGAATAATCTCCTTATAAAAAATAGATAAGAGATTATTAAAGGCGTTTTTAGTAGACAACGCTTTGAATAATCCTTTAATAAAAAATAAAAGCAATTATTGAAGGCATTTTTTGCAAAAAAAACGCCTTCAATAATTCTCCTAAAAAATTATAAAGGATTATTAAAGATGTTTTTTATTAAAAAAAAAAGACCTTCAATAATCTTTTTCAATTTTTTATAAGAGATTATTGAAGGCGTTTTAGGCAAAAAAATCACCTTGAATAATCCGCTCATAAAAAATAAAAGTGATTATTAAAGGTATTTTCTACCAAAAACACCTTCAATAATTTTTTAAAAAATTATAAAAGATTATTGAAGACGTTTTTGGTCAAAAACGCATTCAGTAAATCTCTTTGTCAATGAATCTACCAAAAATGGAGTAGCGTTGTCGGTTAGAGTATATCGTTAACCTATTAGAGTATACGGTCGTTAATCATAAGGTCGTAGGATTAACGACCGCATGCTTTAATTGACAATGTTACTCCATTTTTGGTAGATTCATTGATAAGGAGATTTATTAAAGGCGTTTCTGGTAGAAAACACCTTCAATAATCACTTCTATTTTTTATGAGTAGATTATTCAATGTATTTTTTGCCTGAAACGCCTTTAATAATCTCTTATAAAAAATTAAAAAAATTATTAAAGACGTTTTTTTGCACAAAATGCCTTCAATAATCCTCTTTATTTTTTAATGAAGAGAGAAAACGCCTTCAATAATTCCCTCTAAAAAATTGGAATGGATTATTGAAAGAATTTTTGGCCAAAAAATGCCATCAATAATCCTCTCTAAAAAATTGAAAGGGATTATTGAAGGTTTTTTTGATAAAAACACCTTTAATAATCTCTTCATCAAAATTTAAAGGGATTATTGAAGGCGTTTTTTGCCTGAAACGCCTTCAATAATCCCCTCATAAAAAAAGGAGGGGATTATTGAATGCATTTTTTACAAAAAAATACATTTAATAATCCACTCTAAAAAATTAAAGGGAACGCTTTCAATAATCTTCCTATCAAAATTTAATGAGATTATTGAAAATATTTTTTTACAAAAAATACTTTCAATAATCTCTTCTAAAAAAATTGAAGAGGATTATTGAATGTATTTTTTGCCTGAAACGCCTTCAATAATCTTTTTTCAAATAATGGTATTTTTTTTTAAAAATAAACTCCGCTATCGTAAAAAAATGACGCAACTAAATTTTTTTCCCAAAATTTAAACCCCCTCTTTCTTCTCTGTAATTTCATTTATTTACTTAGCTTTTTTTTGGAAAAGAATGACGAGAAAGAAAATTCAAATTAAGAAGATTGACAACATAGCAACGAGGCAGATGACTTTTTCAAAGAGGAGATGAGAACTTTTCAAGAAAGCTCATAAGCTTTTCACTCTTTGCAATACTAAGATAGCACTTCTAGTCTTTTTAACCGCTGGAAAGCTCTTTGAGTACTCCAACACAAGGTTGCTCTCACTTATCTCATATTTATATGTGAATGCTTTACCTTGCTTCTTGCTCTATCTCTGCTGGTTTAATTTAGAAATCTTTGCCTGCTGTTCGATTTAATGTATTGAATGTGCTTGGGTGAGTGTGAGAGGAAGTAAAAAACGAAATTGTTTTGAAAGAAAATCTTTCGAATCAAGAGAACTTATAAAAGTATAAATTCATGATAATTAAATGTACTTGAATCTTGTACTCTATTACAAAAAGAACTTCTTTTAATAATTTGTCAAAAGCTGAGGGATTTTGGGGTGGGAGGCCATGGTTTCACATGAATGTTTTAATGATATTTGTTTATGCTTGTTTGTACTTTTATGAACTTTGTTTAAGCCACATTTTATGACTAATCAGCTGTCTTATAAGAAGTTTATGCTATCCATATATCTTTCTTGGTGCAACTTAAAGCACAAACTGATATTTTACCTTTTATTTTTCTTCTCAAAACCTGATCTGCTGTCATTTTCATTTTCTTTCCAACCAAATAGCTTTTAATTTCAATTTTCTTAATTGAATCTTGTTACAATTTTAGGTTTCCTACACTCTTTTTGGTTGTTCTTTAAGGTTTTCATAATGAAATTTACAAATTCTCATGATTTCCTTTTCAAATTCTGTAAAATTCACCTTGAACTCAAATCTGGTTTCAAAATTGCACACCTAACCTATCTTCAGTCTTTTGATCAAAACTTAGTGAATTCTAGCTTGATTTACTTCAAAAATTTTTCCTAGATTCCTAGTTCATAAGGCTATAATCCAGTAAAAATTCAGCCTCAAATCCATTTGTACAAGTACAGTTAATTCTTTAAAATTAAAGTTGAATCCAGAAGGTAGAAACGATCCATGCATAAGAACTTGATGAATGATGATCCTCTCTCCTTCTAGGTGTTCGATTTTATTTTCTCATACTTTGCATTCTTAGTTTTACATGTTTACTTGTTATTTTTTAATTGATTGCATTTATTTCATGAATTCATTTGGTGTTTGGATGGATTTAGTTGTTAATGCTCTGTTTTTCTCTGTTTTGAGTATCACTTGAGTTGCTAGTTCATTAAGCTGTTTTTCTCTATTTTGCTACCATTTTTTTGTTGAATTTTGTAGCAAACTTGATTGATGAATTGTTTCTTAGCTCATTTCAAGTTCATTTTCATTATAAGCTTCTAGACCTAATTTTTTCTTTCATCAACTCAATGAGTTTCAGTTGAATTTCACTTTATATTTTAGTTGTTTATAGTTAATTCTTGTATTTTCTTGCACTTTTTGTTCTTCAAATTAGTTTTCCTTTTGGTTCCTTAATTGAACTTTTCAATTCCAGTTTATGATCACTTGTTTTAGCATCAATTAGATGTACATCTATTAATTCACGTTTGGTTACAAGTTAGTTGTTAGTTGCAGTTTTGTGTTCTTTCATTACATTGTGCGATTTTTCTTCAACTTTTGCACTTAGAGAGGGAGTGTACATTCTTTTGCCTTATGCATTTATCTTGATCATTGGCCAAAAATATATCTTAGTTTGTTGCTTTGGTTAAATCTATTTCTCTATTATTTCTGCATATATGTAACAATGAGATCTTGTATATCTTCCACGATTTTATCTTGCATTACAAATTTATGGTCTTTTTTATAGTTTACTCAGTGACATTTTTCAATCAGGATGGAATATGAAGTTGTGGAGAAAATAAATGAAATGTATTGTGATGCATTTCTAATAGCACATTTTGAGGTTTTTGGAGAAATGATTTCTTTAGCAATGGAAGCCAAGATGAGCAATGGGTGTTTTAGGCTCCACTCAAATAATTGTGACTCCTTTCATGGAGTCCATTGATGGGTAAGAGGAAAACAAATGCAAAGTGAAATGTTGTTTATCTCATTAAATTATAATACTCAAAATTTTTTTCTAAAATATATTTATCCAAATAATACAATTCACATGCTAATATCTTGAATTAATACATTTAAAAATGCTTGCAATAAGTTTTTTTTTTTTTTAAATTTAAAATTTATCAACCAAACCCCATAAAATCCGGAGTACGTATGACTAGCCTAGTTGCTTCCTACTCAAATGCATATATAGTAAAGTTGCCTCTATTTTATTACGCACAATATGAATAAGGTTTGAAATTGCAGCCGCAATTATCGCTGCTCAACTTTTGGTGTTTTCTTGCATGTTGGCTGAACTATGGAATTGGAAATCAAACAGTAAAAAAATCTATAGACCTAATCACTTGTGGACCACAAACTGACAATTCTATAAAGAAAAAATTATAAAAGGATTTTCTTATTTATATAGTTAAAGATAATTATCTTAAATCATGAATTATCATATGATTTGCAGATAAAATATCAAAATAATCGAAATTTGAGATTTTTAAAATAAAATTTGAAGTTATAAATATTGTTGTGATTGATGCATAATTAGCACTATCATAAGATGAAGTGGAGTATAATATTTTTTAATTTTTTAAGTTTCTTCAATTTTATATGTTACAATTATATTTGTTAGCATCGAGCTGTTTTTAAAGGATAAAATTCTAAAATCAATAAAAACTATAAGAAAGCAATTAGAAACAAATGTTGGGAGAGGTCTCAATATTTGCGTTTCAACGTTTAAATTAGAGAAGGGTCAAGAAAAAAAAAAAAAAAAAAAAGAGAGTAAAAAATAAATAAATAAATAAATGATATTTAGAATGAGTTATTTATATTTATAAAATGAGATTTTGAGTAGTTTCAACTGTTTGAAATTAACTCTAAAGTTAAAGTTAATTTCATAAATTAAATTGTGTTGAATGTTAATCATCTATTCAGAGAATGACAAACCAACATTTAAAAGTATCTAACCTATAAACTGATAAGATAATCAAGTTAACGGATTTTGAATTCAGATCAATCTAACACGTTAATTCTACTTAAATACTGATTGTATCTAATGAAAAAAAAATTCATTTTACACTTTAAACCTAAAAATACCCTTAATAACATCCATGGATGGTGGAAGTATTTTTCGCAAGAAGTGTGGTAATTGGTGACATGTCAATGGCGTTGTTGCCGCCGGTCATTGTTGGGATAAAGAACCGACAATGGATAGCTGACACTCAAAGATGACATGCAAATGTACGGGTAATTTCATATGGCATGTTTTTCGGCTGTGTTAATTGAATCTCCATATAAATGTGATCAATGCTACGGCCGTACTATTACCATTCACATTAATTAATTTGTAAGAATTTGTTTTTTTCAAATCTTATTATTTTGTTTCATAAAAGATTATAAATTAAAAGTAACGTGAATATATATAACTAAAATTAAATTATAATACATAATTGATGTGAAATTTATAATGTTTTTAAAATTATGACCAGTATTATATAATATATTATTAAATTATTAAATTTAATTTTAATGATGAAAATTTAAATTATCCTATTGATAATATTTGTTTACCCAGCAATTGCATCTGTCATTGTATCAATCCTTTTTTGTTTTTTGTTTTTTTTTTTTAATTTTGTTCCAGTGTATGAGAACAATGTATCAAACAACAGTCTGCCAAATCAATCCAGCAAAAATCAAATTCAACATAGGAATCAATTGGTTCACTGGGTCAGAAACAATCTTGAAGATTTAACTTTATAAACAAAAACAAAAAACTTTTTAAAGGTCCAATAGGAATCTAGGAGTTGTAATTTGTCGGATAACTTGTTTTGTCATTTTCCCTCCCATTGACTTCAACAGTAGTAGTAGTCGTTGAAGTTCAACACTCTAGGCTTGCAATTTACTTGGGGGGGGGGGGGGGCGGGTTGGAGCTGGAGAAAGGTGAGAGTGCAGTGGACATTATTTTTATTGATATGGACAACGCCTTGATAGCCTTACAGGGATTGTGGAGACGGGAAAGGAACAAGGAAAGGGGGTTGTTCTGAGCACTACTCTCCGAAAATGAAGTGAGAGACAGATTTCAAACCCAACCTCAACTGAACTTGCATTGAGGTGCATGTGTATGGCATGCACCGGGACAAGAAGTTGCTGCTCATCCAAAGCAGGAGTAAAGGAACAATGGCTTAATCCCAAAACAAAAAAAAATTCTGGGAATGAAAATCTGATCATTTTTCATGTGCTAATTTATTGTAAGTTTACAAAAGAAAGTTTTCTTATTGCAAGGAACAAAGGGATGAGACAAAGCCAAGTCACTCGTATTTGGCTGATAGCGACTGACTCTCCAGTAACAACTTCAGCCTGATTAGCAGAACAGCTACAGCATGGGATACATGCATGTACCAGCAAGAGCAGATGAAGAGTGCTCTTAGAAGCAGACATGAGGAGGAATTAGCTTTCCTGGATTCATGATATTGTTGGGATCTAAAGCTGTTTTGATTCGCTTCATCGTCTGCAAAGCCTCTATTCCAAGTTCCTTTTCAAGATACTGCAAACGTAAAGCAAAATATCATCAAATTAATAACTATGTTTTCATAAACATAGGCAAGAAACCCAGTTTTCAGGACTGGATAAACAACCCTGAACATTGACAATGCTGAAGCTTTGTTGAAAAACAAAAACAGCACAGCACTACGAAAATGGAAGACACCTTCAATGTTCATCTTTTGACAGCATTATCTGTTTGAAGATAACTCAAGGATGATGAAAATCGTGCAGCACCTAGACTGCACAACTTAATTATAATCAAGAAACTTGTTCATTTTCATCTGTGAGTTGTGTAATCAAATACCAAATGAAACGTCACAATTCACATATGTTGCTAATAAATATTATATCCAGTGTAAAAAATTAGAGTTTTTATTCTTACTGCTAATAAATAACAAGTTTGGCTGTGATGGGACTTCGAAGTAGAAACCACTAAAAAGTGACAGCCCAAATCAAACTGCGTGAAATCAAAACATAGAGATATACCTTCATTTTCCCAGTGCCAACGCCATGTTCACCAGTGCACGTTCCTGCTCATTTATAAGATAATGGCAATTAAGTTTAGCATTAGAATTTGATTCAGCATTACCATAGTATCCAGGAACCGTAGTCAAGTATTATCACATCCCTTTACTCTATAAACCAAAGATAATTCTGAACCTAACAAAAGCATTCTAATTACCATGTCTGCTAATTAGAGGCAAAATTAGCTTCCATCATTCAATGTCTAGAATAAACTAATATAGTGCCATGATGAGAGTATGCACCTTCCATCGACAAAGCTGTATAAACCATAAATTGATTTAGCCTTTCAGCTTCCCTCCTATGCTCTTCTTGGTTAGGATCAAAGAGAATAACTGTGTGAAAATTCCCATCACCAGCATGGGCAATAACTACACTGTAATTATGAAAAAGAAATGCATCAGTACATTAGGGGAATCAGGTCCACTGAACACACAACTTTAACCCTGCACCTCCAAATAAAAAATCCAGTGATATAATGTAGTTTGAATTTACCAAATCAGTGGTGATGCATCCAGCTCTTGCTTAGACCTTGATATTAATTCTGCAAGGTGTGATAGGGGAACACAAACATCCTACACAGAGAAAAAACAGAAATTTGGTAAACTGACCAATGGAAATTGGCAATGGCAATTCAATAATTTTAGATCAGATAATTTCACATCCATTTAAACTTATTTTTATATTCTAACTTACCGAAATCATTGCTTCAAAATTGGGTTCCATTGTAAAGCATGCCCATAGAGCTTCCTTCCTAATCTGCAAGGAACCAAATATATTACAGAAGATATGAGTAACTAAATAGCATATGTAGATGTATTTGGATGAAATATATGACCCAATACCTTATTTAGAATCATGAAATTAATGAATATAAAGAAAGAATTTTCATAAAGTATAGAAGTTGAGGGCAAAGGAGGGGGTGTGATTTGAGTCAGTAAAAGCAAGTGCTGACTTGTTAAACATAACAAGAAAGTCCAGTCAGGCTTGAGATGTTTCAGGAATTATTACGGAGTTGAAAAGTTGGAAACTAATCTACACACCACTGATTTTGAGTAGATGTTTCAGCAATAACATCTTCCTATGTGCTTAAATATATTGTCCGCTACTAAGGAAGCCATCAAGCAGTTGCAACTCTAATAAAATAAATGCACCTCGTCTTGGGGATGGTTTCATAGCATCCACTTGGCGCCTACAAGAAAATTCCATAATCCCCCCCCCCAATATCCAACCCCTTTTTCCTCCTTTCCAGTTCTACCTTCTGTGAGCATATAATATTATCCTAGGCATGCATATCTGTATTTTGTCTTTCCCACTGACATAAAAGCAAATCAACTTCTCCACAGGATAACTGTATAAGTAATTCCCTTCTCGAAAAACACATATTATGATCATGACAATGATAGAAACTGAAACTGCATGATCAGCTAACCGACTTAGCTGTAGCTACCCACCTATGTTAAATGAGCATGGCTTGTAGAGAAGTGTTTCTGATAGTGCACGTGGTCATTATAAACTAAATCAGGTCATTTTGCTACTTTCAATAATCCTCTCAGCCTTTTTCTTCAATATATCCCTAAATGTAATACATACTTGGGCACTCGATCAAATTTAAATGCATCAATCATGGGTTCTGGCAGAAAGGCATCCTTCATCCTTCTTTCTAATCTATGAAATATGCTCCAAAATTGGTCTTGTCAAATGGCATGGAATGACCAAAAGAGTTAGCTAAAATACTTTCACTTCGACTCTGTTTTGCTTCTACTGACTTGTACATCTGGAGGTTTTTCACCAGGAATTCAAAACACTATCTAAAATATTTTCCTAAAAATAATTCTGATGTCAAACCAAATTTAAGAACACATAACGGAATACAAATCAAAATTCATCTTTTACATAATAAAAACAGACAACTAAAGCACCAAACACCTTGTAGGAATTAAGTTATGTTACCTTCCAAAGTTCTTTCTTAGCTTGGGGATCTTCCGCAAAAACAAAATCGGTGCCATTGTGTTCAGAAACAATTCTTTGAACAATTTGTGTTTGTTCACGAGAGTATGCCTCTAACAAACGGTAATAAACATTTTAGGATCCATGCAAGTGAAAAGGAAAAAGCTTACATATGATAAAATGATGCAGGGCTAGCTGACTCAGGCTTTGGCTGAAAAAAACATTGCACTGCTGCCTGTCCCAAACAGGCTAGGCTTATTCTCTCTTCTCGCCAACTCAGACATGCTGTTATTCCTTTTGTCCTCTTTCTTTTTATATTTCTTGCTATATGACATATCATCACTTAGAAACCTTCCAGTTTCAATAATTAAGACTGGAACTCCACGTTTACAGGGCTTCTAAATGCCAAAATCAGTCAATTTTCCGGCATGAAAAGGTTCAAATGAAATAGTAAGGCTAAATTATTCTATTGAAAGTGCTTAAAAATATAATTCTCTCCAATTTGACATTAAAGAAGACATTAAAGGAAAATTTTCAAAAAGAAAAAGGGAGCAATCATGCCACTCACCAGTGCCAATAAATTCAAACATCAGGGTTGGAACTTCAGGCAAATTCTTTGCATTAGCAATATTGATAGCCCTTACTTGGACCTCATCCAATAATTCTACCCTTGACGCCTAAAGAATATGAAAACAAAATCTGAGAATTTGAATAAGTGCTAAACTTTACAGGTTTAACCCTACCTGTATACCAGACAACATGGTGGCAATAGCAACATCTGCAGCATCCTTAATTGTAGGGAAGTTGCACATTGCAACCTGTAGTATTATCAAATTAATCAACAAAAATGCAATAAATATTAAGATTTCAAATATGATATGAGAAAAAGTAACCAAAAAGAAAAAGAAGAAAGAGAAATTATTATAGTATAAATACAAGAGCAAGAGTTAATTGGTCATCCATGATAATTCCAGTTGAGACGTGTTAGTAAGATACTAAGAAGAGCAGACTGAGAGAGGTTGCACTCCTCAAGCAATTCAAAGTTTGCTTGTCATCAATTTAGAAAAATTCACTAGAATAACCATAAAACATGATTAACTTGGAGCCAATGACTCTTTTCCTTTTTTGGGGGGGGGAATATATAAAGAAACCATTAGTTGAAGATAATGATAAGTAGAAAATGAAAGAATCACCACTTTGATATCTAGCTCTTTCCAAGCTATCCTCTAGAGGAAAGAGGGGAAGAAAAGGGAGGTAAGAAAAGATGCGTTTATGACAATTAAAGACAATGAAAAGAATGCCAACTCAATGAAAGCAAAACCAATCACCCTACAATAGCCAATATATAAATGATTTCTATGGAGAAAACGTACCATTAGACCTGACTCATCTAGCTAACCAGTATTTGACCAGTTGTCCGAATAAAGAAACAGATCTTACTCCCATTAGAGAGGTCACATCTTACTCCCATGAGAGAGGGTCATAAAGTTAAGTTAAACCTGAAAATCAATACAACAGAGGGACTGCTTCCAATTTCAAAGATTTGGATGTCATCAACTATCGGTTTTACTTTAGAATTTTGATGTAAAAATTTTGTCTGAAAAATCGAAAGAAGAAGCACCAATATAGAATCTGAATTCTAATAGCAAACATAAATTCAAAAAGCAAAATAGAAGTACCCTGTCTCATTAAAGAAGAAAGACAAATATATCATTTCTCATTAATTAGGGTAAGCACTTGATATTAGTGACATCTAGATATTAAAAAATGTTTTTAATAACTATAAAACTTTTCAAGAATTTTTAGTTCAAGTTTCAAATTTCAAAAGCGTTTAAATTCAAATTTAACCACCTCTTTCTAGCATTCTTGCATTCCTAATAATTTTGCTAAAATGGAAATAATATGTAATAGTAGCACATAACATTATTCTCACAAGCCAAGATAGTGGAATATCAATAGCTGAGATAGATAAAAATTATGTTCTTTTTGAAGCCAAGGGCTAAATCCTTGAGTTCTTCAATATATAAGTCCTTTTGGCTCAAAGTCATTGGTAATTACTAAACCATTGCACTAATCATTCTTTAACTTAACAGGGTTCTAGTGTCCAATGGACACTCTAGATTGATAGGAATGAGCCTTAATTAAGGTTCATTATCTCGGACCTAGTTCATTCTTCGGATGTTTATATGGCCTTTAGTTTACTTGAGTTGGGGTTTTTCCTGAACCTAATCATTTTTAATTTGAATCCTGCTTGAATCTTTGTAATTTAGGAAGTTAATTTTAAGTATTCGAATCATTGATAAGTTGTTGGAGTTTTCTGGCTGAATGATAGGCTATTTCTCTCTTTCTTTTTGCTTGCACTTCAAACTCTTATGCTTCTATTGTAACTCTGAAGTTCACAGGAAACTAGTAGTTCCACGAAACTTAATTTCTTCCTTATTGAAGTCGATCTCAAACTTGCTTTCTTGAACTCTCCAACCTTTAATCCTACACATTTCCTGACCAACAAAGATTAATTGAATTTACCAAATACCTCGTTAACTATAAGATCTCACCATCATGGTTTTCAGTTTACAACCATTCTTTAGTAACCAGATTCAATTACACCATATCTTTCTGCTGCCAAAAGAAACCATCACCAACAACAAAACAATTAAATCAAACTCTAATTGCCTCATAATCATTCATTTGGATAGATTACTTAAATGTGTCCTATGTGATAAGCATACACGGACAAACTAAATGGTTCACTTACATAACAGACTTTAAATGGCAAGGATTTGAGTTAAGTGACTTTAAAAGTGCCAAACCATTGTACATCTTATATCCCATTATAAAAAGGAAACAAGTTTAAATTGCAAAATAAAAATGCCTTCAAGCAAAGAAAGGTCGATTTACCACTGAATGCTCCGGAATTTTCTGAAGCCGTAGAGTGACTTCTGTTACTACGCCCAGGGTTCCCTCACTTCCAATCATCAGGCGGGTCAAATCATACCTAAGATATGCAAATCCAATGAGACTAACAGCATGAAAAGATTTAAAGATAAACAAACAAAAACATACACAATTTATAATGCAGAAAAAGAGAAAAGATATCAGAATAAATTGATGTTAAAGTAATCTTTTGCATGTAAAAGTAACAAATCATGCTAGCCTGACTCTATGCTAGCCTGACTCAAGCAGTTTGGACTAACAATGGTGAATTATTACTGAAAAAATTAATAATAAGACTTAAAGACTGCAAGAGTAACTACACATGATTAAAGCAACATGACTTCAAACCATACTTTATAAGCAACTTAAACTTGCTGCTAATACGACCAAGCCCACCTTCAACTTAAAGTTAGTGTACATTTCTCTCATTCACTCTAACTCCCTAGAATTCAAGACAACTTCATCAAACAGAAAAAGGAAGGAATGCCTGAAAGACCTCCAAGAATGCAAAGAGAAGTCTTTTGGACTCCCAAAAGATTCAGGAGACTTTCACAATGTGAAATGGATGAGTGTGCTAGAAATATAAGCATATTTCCGGTGGGAAAAGAGAGAAAGATGCTTGAAGGAGATAAGACGACCTACCCAGCAGCACTCTTCCGAGCACGAGAAGCTGTCTTTACAATATCTCCATTGGCAAGGACCACCTGAGTTGTACAAAGTGTAAGAAATATCTCAATGATGAACAAGTTAATCCATCAGAAGAGTAATTAACAAACCTTGAGACTGATGACATTGTCACGCATAGTGCCATACCTAAATGCTAAAAGCAAAATCATTAAATCCAATAAACAATGAAAGCCATTTAAGCATTATATACATTTAACAAAGTAATACATGAAATAACGGATAGTCCTCCTGATTCAAATGTTAATGAATTTCTTTTCTTTTTTATAAAGCACAATTATTAACGATTGTTTTATCAAAGTAATGAAAGCAGAGGAAAGATTACAAGAGGACATCCACATGTGGCCATCCTTTTACCAACATATGCATACAGAAAGAATATTTCCCCATTTTAGAGCAGTATTCTTAATTGTGACATCTTGAAATCTCAGGAATAGACAAAATAAGGGACTTAAGGTAAAAAATCCTTTGGTTCAAGGATTCTCTATTCCCTTTAGAATAAGGAATCTCCAAAGTGCTAATATTTTAAATCTCAATATTTCCATATCCTACACTCAAATCCCACCAAAAGATCAAACTCACAAGGAAATATTAACCAATTTCTTGCATGGTGTTCTGTTCTGAAAGATGATAATCCAGAAAAAGCATACATAACCTTCCTTGATGGCTTTCTTAAAATAAGGTATTACTGCATGATGCTTGCACCTCACGGAATGGTGAAATCGAGATGCTATTAGCAATATTCACCTTCCAACCTTGCATGCATCAGCACTGTCACTGTGATCCAAAATTGGAGGTGATAACAGCTAGAGGACATTTAGATGACAACTATGTGCAGGATAATAATGAAAATTTCTTCTGGAAACCGATGGAATCCAACTAACCAAGCCAAGAAACAGTATTAATATCATGTACAATGCTCAGACATGCATATTATGATGCAATGTCACAATACTGCAATCTTTAACAGTTTTCCCTCAAAGTGATGAAATGTTAAATCACAACTATTCTGCTGAAAAAGGTCACTAATAACACTAGCTGACTCCTCAGTACAACACTTAGAGGTGTTTATACATTTTTAATGTTGACTTTCTTTATCAAAAAGGAGACAAAGGCCTGCAAGAACAGTCTAACATTGTTTAAGCCATAATGGTACCAAAAAGGTGCAGTACATAGGAATGGAAGGTGTATGCGTCCAAATCCATAAAATGTTTTCAGTAAGGAATCAAAACCTAGTAATGCCTTTCAGAAGCTGAAACACAATCCTGAAGCCAACTGCAAACCATTTTGTCTAGGTAAGGCTCCATTTACATGCACAACAGAGATATACAAGCTCCAGTAGAAAAAAACGTCCATCTTTTCAAATCTGAATACACTTGCTTGAGACACTAAATTGCTCAAATGAAATTCATACTAAACCTCAGTAGGAGAGCTTTCACATGCAATTTTTACAATAGACCGCAGGGAGCAACTAGGAAAGGCAAAGAAAGAGAGGGTGCATCAAGTAATTAATAGTTAAGCAAAAGATAACCTTTTAGTTTCGCTATCAGGAAGCTGATTCACATGTAATATAATGTCAACACTAGCTGAGATAAAACCAGTAGAAGAGTAGTGACTACCTCACAGCTAAAGATCCAGAGCAACGTGTTGCACACATGCCTCCTATTGTTGCACCAGGCCCTGCAGGTCAACATGGTTTAAGATGATAACATTACACCCAAGACAATAAATAATAGATATATGAGGTAATTTTATCAAGGACTGGAGCAGAAAACTGTAATAAGTTATTTCGCATTAAAAAGAAATGCTGCAAGGATAAAATATATCAAACTGACCTGGATCAAGAGGAAAAAATAAACCATAAGGCTCCAAGTATTCATTGAGTTCCATCCATCCAATTCCAGGCTCGACAACTACATCCATGTCCTCAATATGTAATGCTTTAACTCTCTACAAATTTAAGAAATCACTGCTATTATTGCAAACTAAAAAGTGAAAAGCAAAAGAATTGCAAATTCAATTTATAACATAAGCAACATTGATAATTTCTGCCACAAAATTAACTGCAAATTGAAGTCAAATAATTGTCAAAAGAATGTTCTTAATAAAGTTTCAGCTCAAAATATATAAACAAGGTCTAGAATGAGTACTAATAATGATAATATGTTAATAAAGCCCAATGCCACAGAACAAGCTTTGGTTAGATGCTACTACTATTAGGAAGAGTATATTACAACTAAATAGAATAAGAAGCATGCTCAACAGTATTGGAAAAGCGCATCGTATAAAATCAAAAAGAGATTATTTCAATCCTTATTTTTTTAGTTTATCAGGAGAAGAGATTAAATACACCTTCATTAAGGTCATGTCAATGCAAACACCTCCATTAGGAGACAAAGTGTGCCCCTCAATGGATGTAGCTCCACCATATGGTACTATAGGGACCTGCTTACAACATAAATAAACAATTAAAACTTTACACTTACTCGAAGAATCAAAATTTTTTATTATACCCTGGCAAATTTCATACTCTAAACTTTACAATGTCTTTCACTTGTATCACCAGGTCCCAATTGAAAGATTTAGTAAGAGTCTAAGAGATATTAAAATCATTAACCAATACCATAACATGCACAAGCACCATATTATTTATCAAGGCCTATTCAATCAAAAGAGAATATCAAATATTTAATCGAAAATTCCACATTAAAAAATGTACTTCAAATAAAAAAGGGACATGCATCATAAATAAACTTACAGACAAAAGAAGAATCAGACCTTATGTTTATCACAAGATTTGACAATCTGGGAAACTTCCTCCTCAGACCTGTGCATATGAATTGTGAGTTGATATTCAAAAAAAAAAAAATGCAGATAAAGAGTGGACATATATGGTGAACTGTTTTCTAACTTCCAGTGGTGTCCCAAGTCTGATGCACTTAACGTTTTTATAAAAAGCACCATGATAAACGCAATTCATATATTCAAAGTAAAAGATTTGTGTTAAAATTATCAAAGATATAGTTTCTCACTTAACATTGGTCAAATATATCCAAGCAAAAAAAAAAAAAAAACTGATTCTGGAATTAGAGAAATAATTTTAGTTATAGCTTAAGTCATATCATTAATAAAATGACTGACTCTGCAAACGATTCTTAAAAAACTACTAGAAGAAGACCTATGTAAGGACAAAAACTCCAACTTTGGTACATATTCAACATATTCCTAGTAACATGACATCATGAAACATCTGACTTGAATGTGACATGCATTAAATGTAAGGTATACGATCAGAAGAGTTCTTAATAAAAGAGCCACGAGGCAAAGCCCACCCCGATTTGGGTCTGGAATGGCAGTTCTTATATGAAAGATGCAGACATAAATGGTTACAAATGCCTGAAATATGGATGTCCAATTCAAGGATTTATTATATGATATCCAAAGTCTAAAATATGTTAATTTCTTCAAGGGGTTTCTTAGACATTCTAGCCAATGTTTCATTCACCTCTTTTAGCAGAAACATTGCATTTTTCACTCAACTTATCATGCCTAATCCACTTCTGCAGCCTACAACTAATAAGAGGGACTCTCAAACCCATTTAATTAAATTTATTAGGACTGTTAAGTCTATTTTTTTTTTAATTATTGGTTTGAATAGAATCATTGTGTTCACAAAGAAAAGAAAACTGATGTTTTGTTAAGATCAAGAATCAGTCTCACCTAGGGAAAACAACCACATCAGGAATATTTACTGCTTTATGGAAACTGTTCTGTGGCTTTCCATGGTAGAATCTTTCATCATAATCCAAAGTCATATTATCCTGTAAAATTTTAAATTTTCCAAAATTTTTCTTATTTCTCAAATTCATCCTAAACAAAACATTTAAATACTAAAAAAAAAAAAGATTAAAAGAAGGTAAAATACCTGACAAATAGCCTTCAATTCATCAATAAGCTCTTGTGTCACTTCTTTATGAATGCCCTTCACCACAAACTCCGTGCTTGACTTCCTACCAATGCTTACTTTACTGAAGAGAAACGAAACCAAAAAAAAAAAAAACATTTCTTTGGGTGATTTCTTTGTTTTCCAAGAAAAACAAAAGGGCATAAAGGAAAAGTTAAAATTTTCTACTGTAACAACAGCTGAAACTCATTCAATCAGAAATAACAAATAAAACCCAAAAAATTATAGAAGAAAACAAAACAAACAAACAAACAAACCGGGAATCCAGATTAGAGGGTTCACAGAGAGAAGGCTGAATGTTCTGGGATTGAAAAGCAAGGGACCCAGCAGAAGCAGCCAAAGCCAAAGGAAGCAAAGAGCTGGACCATGAAAAAAACTGGGTTTTGCATTTCTCAGCTATGGTGGATGGTAAGTTGTTCTGAGAAGTACTAAACTGAAATTTCTTAAGGTAAGAAGAGTTACGTAAAGCATTGGAGAAAGCAGATTTCTTCGAAAAAGAACGCAAGCCAGCAAGCCAAAACGAGAAGCCCATGTTTGGAACTTGGCAGAAACGATTAAGAGTCAAAACAGAGAGCAAACTTTCCGTTGTAAAGTTCCTTTTTTTTTTTCGACCTTTTTAGGTGAGATTCATTGACGTCTTAAAGTTGTGTTTGGTTTGCTCCATTTACTATTCGTTAAGATTTTGATGGATGCTTACGAAAAGGCCGAAAATATTGCGTTATTTTGCTGGACTCTGTATTTTTTTTTACCATTTCGGCACTTCCTATGTGTGTTATAAAATTTTGATTTTACTGGAGGTTTTGACTTTAGGTAAGATTCAGATTTCATTGGCAGCTTAATAACGTGAACAAAGTCGATTTCTTTTCATTTATAATTATGTTAGAACAAATTTAATTTTTTTTTGTTTATAATAAATAATCACAAATAATATTTTAAAATTTATTAATTAAACAAATATATCACAAATATAATAAAATTTAATTATGTTTGATTCATTCATATTAATTTGTTTTACCTAAAAATATAATCAAACAAAACGTTTAACAATCAATTAAAAAATAAGTTTAGTTTTTATTTATTTATTAAACTAATAGTTGATTACGAATAATATTTTATAATAATATTTCAAAATTTATAAATTAAATAAATAGCTCATAAACATAAAGAATTTTATAAATTATTTTATGTTCAATTCATTTACATCTTAAATTTCAATCATTGGCTCAATTCCTTGACTTCCTTAATGTCAAACCTAACCTAGGTGTACTTCTGGAAATATCCAAAAAGATCACATTTAAAGCTCAAGATTCAGATGTAAATTCATTATACTTTTGAGAAAGTAAATATAATATATATATATATATTACTTTCTTCAAATAAATAATGCTTACTCAAGAGATTGAAGGACAAAAATGGTTGGTTCCTACTTCCTATGGAAAGATGGATTCTACTACTACTCAAAAACTTGAACTGCAGTCAACCAACAGCCAACTGATGGCCAAAAATGAAAAGAACCAATAGCCAACACTGTGTCTTAAGCTTACTGCTAAGCTATGCATTGATCGTTGGCTTCATCTTGAAAGAGATCCAGAGCTAAGTTAATAGCCAACCACGTATTTGGTCTGTGATTCCCAGTACTCCTTAGATTGTTTCACCACCTCAGCACGTTCCGCCATGGGCCTCTCTTTCCAATAATCTTTGTGCCTGTACGTAGGCAGATTAGTGATAATCAGAAGCAGTGAATTTCACGAGAAGAAATGAAGGTTGTGGTAGAAAGCAATGTATGTAAATAAGCAAAGATATTGGACTATACCATTACATTTTCACACGTTTTTCCCAAGAATGAATAGAGTTTTCACTGTTATTCACCTTTTCTTTAATTAGCATATCTAACTCTAGCATGTGTTCATGCATTAGGATATACTCCAGCCTGCAGATGAGAGGAAAAATACAAAAGATTAAGAGGAAACATAGTGAATTCATCCTTTGCAAACATATTAGAACAAACAAAAATATTAAGTTGACACTCTGAAGTGGGAGAAATATTCTGAAATAACTTTGAAGACCACAGCACCATTTGAGTAAGTTTGTGGTTCTATTTCATCTCCTATTGTTACCCAAAAATTTTCAGTCTACACTAATTAGAACGGAACTTACATCACTAGGGAAGAATAACTTTCTGTATCTTCATCCAATCACATGAAATAAAATCAGCAAGACATCAGCAACAGTTAAAGAAAGAAGGTATGCAATGAACTACATAACCTCTCCTCCCCAAGATTCCACATGTACCAAATAAAGAAGGCATGCCCAGCACCATCTCCAGTTGCTACTTAAAGATGGCGCTTCGGGGTTCTGGCTTTATTCGCTGAAGCAGTTTCTTAGATACACGGCTGGAGATTTAGCAAATAAAACGTGGAATTCATCAAAGGCAAGTATCTTACTCTCTGTTCTCAGCTAGAAGGGAAGATGAACTTTAAATTACAGGGACAATTGAAAGCACAAAATATATTAAGGTCCTTGTTGCGTATGGCAAAGTTGGAGCCAACATTTTCATAAGTTCACAAGGGAGAAAAGCATGAAATGATTGATTAAATTGATCTACAAAAAATGACTCATTGAAAATCTTAAAAGCAGGATAAAGGGAGTTATCTTTATGCATATTTTATGTGAAGCAAATTCTTTTTGCTGATGGTTTAGCAAGGGCTGGGGTTTCTTGTACTTCTAATCCAGTGAAATAAGCATGCATGGGGAGAGAAAATTATCTGTTAAGAGAACTATAATGAAAAAAGAATAGCATCACTTAAGATATTATAAGAGAAATGGCTTTCCAGAAAGAGGACAAGAGATGCATGGATCATTTACTTAATCTTTCGTGACATAGGTGTGTAAATCCTTAGCCTAATTAACTAACCAGACGGTAGGGCAGGGAAACATACTATAACTTTCACATGTAAAAGGATTAAATACTCAAGAAGAGGCTGAATGTGTTTGTAAAACTGTAAACAAGTTAGTTCAAAGCTGAATCTAAACCTCTAATCATATTGGGCATTTTGATTCTGGACTTGTTGCTTTGAGTCCTTGAAAGATCATCACAGAAGCAGCTGAGCAAGCACATGACTTGCAGAAAAGATGACCACAACTCAAAGCATATGGGTTGAAAACAGTTTCCTGAGAGATAAAGAAATGAGAAATCACCATGCTTAAAAAGCCAATTATATTTCCTTGGAATGTACTAAGTTACGAGTTTACCTAGAAAATAGCATATTGGATTGTATTCTAGCTTTATTGAATTTGGAAGCAGCAGTGTCATCACAAGTTCCATTGCATCGAGGTCGCAAGCGAAAGTACCTGAAAACTAAATGAACTGTCAACCAAGGTGATTATATAACATATGATCCAACTAAGTTCATGAACTCTACATCAGCAACAAGGGCACTATTATCCATTACCTTGCGTCAGAAAATTTGAAAAACGTAAATTTTGCATCCCAAAGCTATCCAAGAAATTTTGCAAACAGTCCTTTAAAAGCCTGTAAGCTGTTTTCAGACCAAGGAAGAACCAAAGTTTTGAAAATAGGAAATTAAACCATTGTTTCTTTGAAAATCCTTGAAAGTGGTGAGTGTGAACACGGGAAACCAAAATTCTCTCCTTCTATAATTCAATTACCAGTACACAGCTAAAAATCATGATGAAAAGAAAGCGGAGTGCCAATAAAATAATTGAATAATTAAAGCTTGAAGGAGGCAAAACATAATATATAAGCTTGATGTTATGCCTCTGGTATTTAAATGTCTAGATTAATATGAAACCAGACAGTGGTTTGAGAATTATCATCTAATCCCATTATTACATAAGATTTTGACAGTTTAGTGTAATTAAATTGACTAACATTAACATAATACACCAGGGGTGGAAAAATCAGTATACAAAAAAAAAAAAGGAGAAAAGCAACTTACCTCGGTAAGATTGGCATTGACAGAATCGAGACAACGTGGGGTTCTCTTCATCATTTATTCAGTTTTTATGTTAGAGTCATTTAATGCTTTACTTGTTCTGCAGCCTTTTAGCACTTTCTTAGGCCTTCCACACTCAACATGAGAAAACTTATCTAAAACCCATTCCTGATCCCCATGCAGATACCCCTTGAAAGTCTCTCCAAACATCATCTTCCAATATGTCAATCAAAATTATATCACAAGAAAAAAAAAAAAAAAAACCCATAGATCCAATGAAAAATTTTAACCTTTTTTCAAATAAAAAACATAAAAAAAAATTTTGATCTGATCACCAGAGATCAAAAATAAAAAGAACCCAATACTTGAGAGCTCTTTGCCTCCGAACAAAACAGGGTTAAAACAGTCTTAGCTTAAAAGACAAGAAGCAGGAGAGTTGCTGAGGTTTCAGCTAGACATGAGAGCTGAGTTTGTTTTCGTAAAGGTGCTTGAAGCCTCTTCTCAAATTAACATTGGCACACATTCGGCCCCCACGCCTGCAGCACTTTGCTGTCGACGACTGTGCGCCACCTCTTTGGGTCTCAAACAAACCAATGGTCTAGCCTCAAGCCCCGACGTCTTCTCTTGTGGGTCAATTCAAAGTAAAAAAACGTTTGTGTCAGACTTATAATTTGTTCTTTGATTAGAGTGAGACTACCCATTTCACATTTTAAAAAATATATATTTTATATACCATCAAATTCTAATTAAAAATTTGTCATATATTTTATTTGACATATTTAAATAATTAATAAATGTCTGACCAAAAAAATAATTAATAAATGAAACAACATAATATTTTAATCCGTTTATGAAATTTAAAAATTTCATAGACAACATATATAATAAAAGCTTTTATATATAATTTTGGTTTCCATCTTAAAAATTAAGCCACAATTTTGCATGCGGTTAATTTCATACACAGTTTCTATTGTAAAAGCGAGTAAAACTAATGGTTTTTAACCTTCTAGGATTTCGGGTTATATCTTTATTATTTGCTTTGAGTTTATTTTAACAAAAAATTACTGAAAATAAAAATAAAAAACCAACTAAACAGAATTATGATTTCAATTGCTCTCATGGAAAGAACAGCTGCCGAAACTCAAAACTGCCAGGGTTTGGTGTGGGCTTTTCCAGGCCCAAAATCAATTAAACTTTCACTATGGGCCCACCTGGCCCATGTATTGCCGCCAACCCAATTAGCTTCATTATTTCAGTACCTTGTATAATATGGCTGAAGCAATAAAAGCATTAGTATTTATATATAGTTTCCAATCTAATTGGTAATCTAATATATATATATATATATATATATATTATATAACAACATACATAAATAAATTTACCACATAAACATTTATATGAACAACTCTTTAAATGACACATAAGATAATTTTTTAAAAAAATAAGATAATTTCTTTTAATTACAAATTAAATAATTTTAAAGTTACTCAATTATCAAAATTATTCAAATTATAATTGAAAATCAAATTAATTTAGAGATATATATTCTAAAATTTAAAATATGAAATATAGATTTTATTTTTTAATAAATAATTTTAGTTGTTTACCAAATAACCTTATTTAAAAAATTATTTAATTATTAAAATCTTTCAAACATGTTTAAAAATTACAAAGATTAAGTTTATCCAAATCTTTCAACAATCTTCTTGATTTAAAATTTTTTATTTAAAAATTTATCTTTTTAAAAATTTACATAAGACATTAAAAATTTAAGTAATTTTATATAAGATTTTGAAAATGCAAAAAAATTTCATCTTAAATCTTTAAATAATAAGATTATTAAAATGATTATATCCATTTGAACTCTAATTATCAAATTTATATTTCAAATAAATACAAAAAATTTAATATTATCTTTATCACGTATTATATCCATTTTAAATTTTAAAATATTAATTTAAAAATTATTTATTTAATTTTAATTGCTACTAAAGAATTATTCTACAAATTTAAGACAACAAATATAATGTGTTATACATCAAATTTTTTTTATTTTTTCAGTAAATTTTTTTCTAAGGTATATTCTATTACTATTGCAATTTGTTTTTTTTTTTTGTTTATAAATTTTTTCTAATATATATTTTATTGTTATTATAGTTTCATTCTTATGAAAATAATTTTTTTTTCAATTTATTTTTTCCTTTTTCACATATTTTCTAACATTTTTCATATTTTATATAATAATTTAGTCAAGATTACTAAAATGAAAGTGTGTTAATACTTCTTTATTATTTAATTTATCATTCAATAATATATATTTTTATTTTTTTAAAATGCATAATTTATTTTTATTTGATATAATTTTACAGGTGTATAAATATTATTGTAAATAAAAATATCCAAAGACATAATTTTTTGAGTGTTTTCAAAAAAAAATTTTTAATGACAAGTCAATATATATAAATTTTATATATGTTATAAGTTTTAAATATTTGAATATAATTTAAAAAAAAACCTAATATATATATATTCTCATATTAAACAAATAAAATTATTTCGCATATCGCATGAGTTATAATCTAATTATAGGTGATTGGACTAACTACTTCATTTATGTATGTAATTGAAATTTGTAAAATGATAGTAACGTTCAAGAAGAAGATGTTATACATTTCATTGTCACCACCACTATATTTAACATGATTTTTTTTTAGAAACAAAAAAAAAATCATAAGATTTTCTATAGATCTTGTACAAGTTAATATAACAATAATAATATATAGAATTCTTTTTTTATATATTAATAACATAAAATTTTAATTTTACGAGTGAAATTAAGAGGTTGTCACATAATTTTTTAATTTTTTTATTATACCTTAAAAGTGTAAGTCACCCTAATAATTTCTTATGATGATAGTAATAGAAATGCTAAAAGCGACGCAAACAATTATTTTGATTGTATCACCCTTGCTTAAAGATCATTTAAATCTCATTGAAATGCTGTTGTGGTGTGATTTTAGATTTATTTGGATAGTTGATGAGATTGATTTTGATGAAATTAAAAATAATGATGGATGTGAGATTAATTATTATAACGATAAAATTAAAATATATGGTTAGATATGTATTTGAATATAAAAGTAAATATGATGATATTTTTTAGTTAAAAAAATTGAAATAACTTTATTGATTTATTATAATAAATACATTTTATTATTATATAATAAACTAATAAATAAATATTTTATTATATAATAAATTAATCAATAATACGTATTAATATTTTGATTTAAAATAAAAATTTTAAGATTTAAAATATTATAAATAATATTAAAATATACATAAAAGTAATTTATCATTACATTTTAAAAGTAAAGTTCTTAATATTTTTTTCCTATTCTCATCTCACTGTCACATTTGCATTACATTCAAACATATATTTTATCATTAAATTTAATTTTATTGTTACGATAATTAATCTCACCTCTATCGTTATTTCTAATTTTACTGGAACCAATCTCATTATTCATTCAAATCAACCCTTCTAGAGTAAGAATGAAGTCTCTTCACCACCAAAGGGCGTGTTGCCTGCATTTGCCATCCTTGATTGATTATTGTACCAGCTCATAAATCTGGCTATAAACTCTGTCGAACAATTTGAATATATAATTTCGTTAAATAAGAAACAACGAAGCAGAGAATAAATTTGATAACACATGCTATGTTCGGGTTTAATGTTTTTTTGAACAATTTTAAGGATAAATTGCCGTACATTAATCTGATACAGGATGCTCTCACAAAAATGGAACTTATATTAATAAAAAAAAAATTTCTCCCCTTACCAATGGATTGATTCTTTGGATACTTAAAAAAAAAAAAATTGCAAGTACCTTTGTTTTAATTACATACCTTCGATTCTTGAGAAAATCCTCATTTTGTATTTCACCGGATCGATAACCTTTGTCGCCATTTCATCCTCACTCTCAATCATGCCTTCATCATTCGTCTTAATTAATATAAGAAATTAACGGGAATTAGCTCTTAATACGTTGGAAATAAGATCTAAAGAAAGAGAAAAAGGATGGGTTTTGGGCGTTCGTACATTGTATTCATCATATAATGCATCAACTTGAGGATGCAAATTCTCGTGCAAATGCTTCTTCACTTCTTCGACCAAAGACTGCAAATTATGATGATTAAATTGAACTATTAGAACGGAAATTAGAGAATGCTAATTCAAGCTGCCGCTTAAATGTTTGATTTTGGACAAAAATTACTTTTAAATTTTTAAAGACCGATTCGAATAATATCTCTAACTGAACTAATCCAAATTTCAAATTTTCAACATGTGAAACAAAAACCGAACAAAAAAAAAAACTTACTAATTAGAACTGAAATCGAACAAGTATAAACACTAAAATATGAATAGATTATTGGTTTTCTTTGTATTTTTTTTTTCTCAGCCCTACTTACCATGAATATGAATTCAGGAGATACATCATGTTCTATGAGAATTTGAAGCTTTCCGCGGATTATATATAGCCTGTAATTCAAGAAATTAAGTATAAATGAGTGAACGAGTACACTCAGTTGCAAAAGCTATATATGGTAATAGTTGAGAGCCACCGAAGTTCAAATTTAAGCTTAATAAGAATAACTCACTGCTTTGGACTTCGCTCCTCCACTATGTTCTTGGCAATATTTGCAATGTCTTCTTCCCATCCGGTTAATGGTATTTGGTCTTCCTCGAAAGGATAACTGTTATAGATGTTATTGTTTTTTATAGGAAAATTTAAAACGCTTGATACAAAAAGATGGAGGATGAAGCAGACGGTATGAAAAAGCCTGTTTTTCTCACCTTGATTGCCAGCAGGCTTCGAATGAACGAATGGCTTGACGCAGATTATTCTTGGAGCTGTCAGCTATCTTTTCAGCGAACTTATGTGGCAAATTTATGCCTTCTTGCTTAGCTATAAATTCCAGAACTTCAACAACCTGAAGGCAGAAAAAGGAAAACTTTATCAAATCTTTTGTTATGGTTCCAATTACTCTGTAGCAGTGTGACTATACAACACTTCAGACTACACTGCACCCACCTCTTCTTTTGAAGGCGGAAGTAGCTGAATGAGCGTGCAAAGTGACCTAATTGGCTGAAGTTTTGAGGCATCAGAACAGCTGAAGAAAACCTTGTTGTACCCTTCATATCTTTCTAACAGCCATCTAATATACAGTAAGGCATCTGTGCTTAGCTTGTCTGCTTCACAGAGAACAATTGCTGCAGAAAAAATGAAAATCAGGGAATATGAGACGCATTAGCCTTTGGACAAAGCAGAGGATTTGTTGTTAGGGAGTGGAATCAGTCAGATATACCTCTACAGTTTTCAGGGTAGGATAACAAAGCTTTATCAGATTTAGAGGTCTTGGTTTGTGTTTCCTTCATTAGTTGCACAATTACATGCTTCTCGTATCCTCTTAGATCCGAGAGATTGACTTCTACATGCTTGGAAGATTCCTTCACATTGACTTCGATTCTTCCTATAATTTCACCCTGTGAATTATATATTATAATTAGAATGTCATAAAAGATTAATATTTCGATTGAACTCGAAACTTAACTCAATTGATTTATGTAATTATTATAAAAAATAATATCAAGTAATTTTAAAATTCAAATCTCGATATCTATAATTTTTTTCCTTATCTCCAGATTAGATCTTCTTGTAAAAAAAATTCTTGATTTAGGATAAGTCAAATACAAACTATATCATCGATTACCTTCAAGTCAAATGCCTTGCACTCGTCCCTAGTCTGAAAAACATGAAAATCAAGGAATCCTTAGTGGGTTAATTACTAAAAGAAAATTGTTTCCCAATGTTAACGGATATTCAACATTAAGGTACCTGAACTCTATCGGGTCCGAAAGCTTCGCGAAGCATAGCCGAGATCATGGTTTTCTTCCCAACGCCAGGAGGTCCTTCAAATATAACGTGATCATATCCTCCACTTTTCACCTGTGACATCCATTATCTTATCATTTGAATCTTTTCCTAACTTGGCTCAACGCAGGATATGGATACAAGCATAGCAAAATCTGTATGAAAAGGGATGAAGCAATCTCACCAGAGCCTGCAACCGAGCGGCCTCACTTCGATTGCAAATGAAATCTTTTAAATTTTTAGGTCGGTATTTGTCTGCGAATATGAACTTTTGATTCACCTTGTACATATTGGCTTCTTTCTTCTCATCGTTAACAGCAGTTTTGGCTGGCAAGATTGTTGGCGCAGTCGGTGGTGCAGATGGTTCTGATACTCTCTCCCTCAGTGGCTTCTCCTTAACAACTAATAGTGCATCAGGAGGATATCTGGCCTCCTTTGTCTCTGATTTCATGTCCTGCGGAGAAGGTGCTTCAAAAGATTTTGGAACAGCAGCAATAGGAGAGGGGTCCTCGTTGCCAGTTTTTCTACGAGTGAAGCAGCTGGAACCAAGTTCTTGAACTCGACCTAAAAAAGAGAAAAGAGAGCTGGAAGCTGAAGTAACGACAGTAGTTGTGTGGCTTTGATGTCCAGGACTGTCTGCTCCAGACATATTCTTTTCGCGGTTGATAGACAGGGTTGAATCAGTAAGTCCCTTGTAATAAGGACTGCACTTGCTGTTCCTTTCATCCACACTGCCAGTAATGTAATTGTTGACATGAGCCCTTTGAGAAAGTATTCCATGTAACTTATTATGTGCATCGAGATCCTCCTCTGTCAAATTAGAATGCTCGGAGGAATCCTTGTTTCGTCGGTTGATGTATTCGCCTAGTTTATTGATGTTGCTCCAACTAATCCAATAAGAAGATTTCCTAGCGCGAGTAGAGGACGCTGAGGAACGACCGGACCGAGGTATAAATATGACAGTCTCAGATTTGGAGGTTGTGATAGTGACGTCTGGATCGGGTGAGGAGCGTCGGGGGATTGTAGCTGGACTCCGCATCGCATTTCCCAAGCTGCCAGAATCTGCAATGTGCTATACTGCTATACTGCTTTTTCTTCTTGTATTTCAGTTATAAGTTTTCTTTTAATATAGCGATGAAGATAACAAGAAAATATGTTGGGAATATCCAAGGAGTTCGATGAAATTAATGAATGTTAAAATGTGGTAGGTCGTCGAAAACAATGGTTTGATTTTCTCATCTGTTAAACCAGCTATTACTTGTTGCTTTGCTGTTGTTATCATCAATTTATCAATTTATTACCCACAACCAAATTGGAGGAAAAGAGAAGACGAAGCAGCCTCCTATTCCAATATTCTACAGCTCCTTCGTCTCTTGTAAACTTCAATTTCATGCTAGCAGCTTTTCTTTTTCTTCTTCCTGTTCCTAAACACAACAACTTTTGACTGTCAATTGACAAAAACTAATTTGGTTAAACTTCAATTCAGCCGCCAACTTATCATGGATTTTGGGAATTCTCAGCCTTCATTTGGTTCATCTTTTGTGCTTGCTTTATTTCATCTTCATCTTCCAAATCATGATCCATTTTGTGTTTTTCCCACCTTGATTGTGTTCTCAGAATCAGGGTCACAATTCTTCCAACATAGAACATCATCTATACTCGACAAGCTTTGTGGAGGTGAGTTGGTTAAAGAATTTCCCTTGCATATATTTCAGATATCATTATCTTCATAGTCAATCCCAAAATTGCTTTCTCTGATCAAGTTATTGCATTGCATTTCCATCACAAATTTGAAAACCATGAAGCAAGAACTGAAGAACTTTAACCAATTTCACCCTTCATTTTTAATGCAAGTGTTGTTGCCACTATAAATGTTGCTTCTAAGAAGCTATATTTATATAACTTCACTTTAAACGCCGAGTAAATTAATATATATGTATATATATAATGTTAATAATTAAATTTAAAATTAATTCAATTGATTTATATAATTATTTTTAAAAGATGAGATTCAATAAATCTAAAGTTATAGCGATTAAAAGTATCCATTTAATAATATCATTTAGAAAATAAAATTTAAAATTGATTTAAACTTTTTTATAAATATTTTTATCTTGGCTTGATTAAATGAAATTGAGAAAACAAAGGTAAATCTACAAACCCACAATAAGTTTAAATTGAATGAAAAAATTTTATTAAACTCGAAATTTAATCTAATTCATTTATACAAATATTTCAAAAAAATAATCAGCACATGCAACAAGTTTTAAATTTAAATTACAAGACTTATAATCTCTTTATTTATTCTTAAGTTATGATTTCTATTGTTAAAAAAATTATTGAATTTCGCATGAATTTTAATATAACAAGAAGATATATATATATTTATTTATTTAACATTAGCTAATTGTTTTTCAATATTTTTGTTTCCCTTCAATTAGCAAACCGTTATCGGTTGGTTGCCCATCAAGTATCCAAAATATAGCAGTTGAAGAGAAGCGGAGAATTATCCTTCCAATTTAAATTCCAAAGGGAGACTTTCCTATTATTGGATAAAAAGACAAGATTTTATTATTAGATATATCTAAATAAAAACTTTTGTTTTATGGGCTGTTTGCTGTCGGTAATATCCAATGTGTATTGTTGTCATCTTTTCATGAAAGTGCTTTTCGTGGTTGGTAGAGAAAGTAGTTGGACTTTTAACCTGAAAGATACATTAGTATCATTATTTCACATATTCATTTTGTTGTAAAATTAAAAAAAAAATTAATGTATTTCAACATTTTATTTATTGATAGAGTATCCGATATTTGAACTTCTTAACTTAATAAATAAATAATTTTTATGTAAAATATGATATAAATATATAAATTTTTAATGTTTTATACAATACGAATTATCAAATTTATTAAAGATTTTATTAAAAAAATAATATTTTTTCCTTTTATTAAATTAACGACAACAAAAACCATAAATGATGTACAAGAAATATGAAAATAAATTATCCGCAATGTCCAAAAGGGTATTTTTGATCAAAATAAAAATATAAAATGAATATTTATTAATTAACATTAATTTTATAATTTGCACTGTTTCATTGAATGTAGCTTGAAAGATGAAAACTTACCATGGCTACCTAGAAGCCAACTTTCAATTAATTTTATCTAATTTTTTATTACTTATGAAAAATCAATATAATTAATAAAGACTTCCCAAAATATTTTATCACATTTAGACAAAAAAATAAAAAATTTAAAAAGAAGTTTTATAAAAATTTATTACCTATAAAAAGTGAGTGAATAAATCTATTTGTAACCCAAATCATTTACGGTTATAAATTTTTATCGAATTAGTTATTTTAGATAAATTTATAAGCAATTATTGAAAATTTTTAACATTTTTTTGTATTTTTTTTTATTTGATATTAATGAATAAGAAAGTGTTAATCAAGTGCGTAACGATTTAGTCAATATTCAATATTAGCCAAATTTAGATAAGGTATAAACGAGCTCACAGTAAACCATTTATAAATGACAAGAAACAACGCAGTTTTGACTATCATACTCCGAAAAACCGCCATTGTCTAGCAAATCAGGATATATCAAAGCCAACCAAATCTCCACTGATTTAATCATTAACCGTTCATTTTCATTTCAGGGGAAGAATCGATCGTTCATTTTTTAAACCTTTTCCTTTTTTTTTTGTTAATTTCATCTTTCCCCAAAATGCTTACCTCATTTTCGCTTCTCGTCGACACGGAAATCGAGAAAACGTTAAAGAAAAAAACCAAAAAAAGCTTAATAAAATGAAGGAACTCTGCTCCCCATTAAACGAAAACCCAAAAAAAAAAAAAAAAAGGGTTTCCACCTTCTCTCCTTTTTTTTTTTGTAATGTTTAGTTTTTTCCCTCCGATTCGCTTTATGTTCTCGGATTTTTCTTTCCTCCAAACACAATAGTGATTGTTTTCATTTACCCTCTTGGAATTTTTTTTCCTGCAGGCGATTTTTTTTCCAAAGAAGAAGTTTAATGAAATTGAAAATAAAAAAAGACTGATTTTTAATTTTTCTTCTCTGGAGGTTAATTTTCCCGGGAAATTTTGCCTCCTTTTCCGGCTCTCTCTCTCAGCTTCCATGGTTAGTTACATTTTTTCCGTCTCCCTTCTTCTCTCTCCATTAATTTCTCGTTCTATCTCCCTCTGCTCTGTTTCCTAGAAAGTTTCTTTTTTGGTGAGATTTTCTCGAGAAATGTTTGAACCTTTGAATGTTAACTGAAAATTACAATACAATGTATCTTTTGTTATTAATTTTTAAGAAAATTATATTTTTGTTGGATAATATATGTACAAAGAGGGAACTTTATTTACATATATCTTTCATTTATTTGTTGTTTTATTGTTTATTTCAGGAACTTTTCTCTGTGATTGAATGATCCAGGAGGAATTTATATAGCCGGTGGGTGGAGTCAAAAAAAGAAAGGAGGGAAGTTTCATTGGAGGATCTAAGATTCAAGAGAGAGAGAGAGAAAAATTCAATATTTTTTTCATTATTATTTTTTATTTTAATTTTTAGTAAATATTTAGATTTATCGAGTTTGAATGCATATTGATCTATGGAGTCAGAAGTATTTTCACCTCCAAGAGATTTGGTAAAATGTCGTGATTGCAGTTGTACTACTTGTTCTTTGATTGGTGCTCCTTCGAGTGGTTGGTTTCGGTCTGTAAAACGAAAATATGATGAGTTTGAGTCTGGAAATGGGTTTTTTGTTCCGGGGTTTGATCTTTATTGCAATGCCCGAGTCCAAATTGAGAATGAATGTACTGCTTTGCGGGAGACAGTGAGCAGCCAACAAGCAACTATACAGGACTTGTATACAGAATTGGAGGAAGAGAGAAATGCCTCATCATCAGCTGCAACTGAGGCCATGTCGATGATATTGAAGTTGCAGAGAGAGAAGGCAGAGATCCAAATGGATGCACGGCAATTCAAGCGTTTTGCCGAGGAGAAAATGACACATGACCAGCAGGAGATAATGGTTTTGGAGGATCTTTTGTATAAAAGAGAGCAGGGTATTCAATCTCTTACTTGTGAAGTACGGGCTTACAAGCATAGGATGCTGAGTTATGGGCTTACGGAGGCAGAGGCTGAAGGTGAGAAGGATGGAGAGATGCGGAATCTGTGTGTGGCTGAGAACTTTGGTGCCCAAGTTGATCTTCCTGCATATGATTATCCACCTCTAAAGTGCAATTTGAATGAGAATCCTGGTGATGATGTTGAAGATGTTGAGAAATATGCATTTGGTGAGACTCCTCGTGCCCAAGAACATTTGAGGAATCTGGAACAGAGGATCTGCCAAATGGAGAGGAATCCCAGCAGCAGTCAGCTGAGTCAGCTGGATGGAGATTTTCCTGGAACAAAGAATGCTTTGGAGAAGGTGATAGTTGGTCACTCTCCTAGGCGACCAAGACATTCAAGGAGGCTTTCAACTGATAGTTCAAATTCGTTCCTGGTTAAGGAGATGGGTTCAGAGTTTACCAATGATTCTCCTAGGTTTACCATTTGTTCTCCCCGGTTTAATGCTATTTCTCCCAGGTTTAATACTAGCTTCAAGAAGATGGAGTTCGTTTCTGAAATGGACGAGATATCTAGCTCAAGAAGAATGGATAATCCTTCAGAAGTTGGAGATGATATGAGTGACAGAATTTATACAATTGATTCTGTCCATACTGGGGTGCCATACAATGGAACTGCGGAACCAAAATCTGGAGTTGGAATTTATGATGATTATGCATCCACTCCAAGGGAGATGTTCAATCTACCTGATGTTTGTGATCCTGATATCAAGAAGCTCTACATGAGGCTTCAGGCCCTTGAGGCTGACAGAGAATCAATGAGACAAGCAATAATATCAATGCGAACTGACAAAGCACAGTTAGTATTATTGAAAGAAATAGCCCAACATTTGTGCAAGGAAATGTCACCAGAAAAACGAATGACTGTGAGGAAGCCATTTATTCTTGGAAGCCTTCCGTTCATGTCAGTCTTCAAGGTAATCTTTGTTTGCATGAATTTTTTTTTTTTGGTATATATTTTATATCGTCTACTACTCTTATTGATATTCTCAAGACGATATTTTTTTATCTTCAATTTCATGTTGCTTTATTATTGAAATTTTAGTACAATATAGTTTGGTTTCAACTCTCTCTCTCTCTCTCTCTCTCTCTCTCTCTGTGTGTGTGTGTGTGTGTGTGTGTGTATGTTTGTGTGTGTGAGTGCTCTCTGTATTAACTTCTTTTTGTTATTTGTAATGTTCTCTTATGATAGTTGAAATAGCATAAAATGTATTGGCCTAAAGGTGTTTTTCAATATAAATTGCACATTTAGGAGACCGGTTAACAATTTCTTGAAGCTGCCTACCTATGGAAGGTTATGCAGAAATACGCTACATATATAATTACTTTGATTACAAGAAGAACATAAATAATGAAGGTTGTCATCTGGTTGTGTCTATAGGTCATTTTTCCCCTTAATCTTTCATTCTTTGTTGCATCAGAAGCCTGCCCCTTATGTGTACTACTTGTATCCGTAATCTGTACTCATTGACTATGTTTTTACCATTTTCTTATTTCATTACTTTACTCATTTTTCCACTGAACTCTGGTATTATTTTAGTTCCTGTGTAGCAATCATCTGTTGAAGATTCTAATTTAGGTTGTAATTTATCTGAAATCCCTCATTTGAATGTTCTCTTTACATTGTTGAAAGCACCATAAACAGAAAATTGTTAATGTTTCATCAATAGAGCTATTTTATGTTTTCTATAATCTGAACATCCTTGTATACATTTTGATGTATTTCCACAGTGTTAGTTAAGTTTATTGTCTTTTGATTTTTTTTTTTTCCTTTTCTTTCAGTGGATTGTGTCCTTCGTATTTTGGAGGCGGAAAGCTCGTCGAAGCAAGTAAGTAGAATATGTGTCATATATATAGTTACTTTTGGGTTTGACCCATGTTTTAAACTGACATATTTTGGTTTCTCTCTTTTTTTTTTTTTTTCTATTAATAATTTATCTAACAACAAGCATTATTAGGTTAAAACTATCCAACTTGTTATTGCATTTTATAGCAGAGCAATATCAAAACGAATTATACTGGTTCAATATGCAAAGAGAAAGAAATGCAGTCCTATCATCTATCATTTAAGGCAGTAGCATTAAATAGTTGGGCCCTGAAACTAGGGAGCATGCACTTAGATGCATATTTTATTTATTTTCATGTAATCTGTTTAATTATCATATTTTATATTGGAAATTGACATTGAAGTTTATCAGCATATTGTATCCTAGCGAAATGTTAATGCTGGTGTTTGATTCGTTTTTGTTCGTATTTCTTCTTTAATTATATAGGTACCTGTATGGATTGTCACCAAACAATATTGGCTTGCTAATGCTTCTAGACAAGGGATCTCGATTGAGGCAGTGGAGATGCCTTTCAAGCACACAAGTGTGAAAATGATTCGTTCACTTCTTCTATCTCTAGATGAAGTCTATAATAATAACTGTGAATGCTGAATGGGTTTGATCAAGCTATCATGTGTATACTTTGCATCAATTTTCATGGTTTCCTTTGTGCCAAATTTGGTATACTGTGCAGTGTTCTTTTATTTTTCTTATTTTCTGTAATTGAATACATTTGACTGTTTGATCAGCAATACATGGATGCATGTGAGCATACTCGCTCATATAGTTTGTTGGATTTCAGCTTGAGGTATGTTTCTATTGTCAATCTCCTGTATATTTCAGACTCATGTATGATTTTCATTCAAGTATGCATTGTTTATTCTTTTGTAATACAAGCAATGGTTAAGTTCCCAAGTATTATTGATTCTAGTCTCATCAAAATTCTTGTTTCAATCACTGCCTTTTTCCTTTGGCTATGCCTATACCAAGCATCCTACATATCCTTTTTCACTTAGAAGGTGAAAAGAGGGGGAAATCGATTATAGAAGAAATATCTCAAAGAACCTTTGGATTTGGAAAGTTTGATAAGTTAATTCTCTTTTGTCAATGTGTGTTCTAATTCTCTTTTAAAGTCCTAAAACTTGTTTATGTTAATCTGAACAACAATTGATTAGATTCAATAGGATGTAGGATGCTGTGTCATTTTGCTGTCCAAATAAAACACTCTTTGGCAAAACCTGGATTATTAAACGTACAGATGTGGTAGTTTCTGGACCAAACCATATCTTACTTGTCAAATTCGATGCCACTGAGGTGGTGAGCCTTTATAAATTTCTGCTTCTAGATAAAAGAATTTGACTCTCAAATGCGCAATTTTTGAGATGACTACTTCAACTTTAATGATTGCCCATGCTTGAGTCTAGGGACCAGAGCAAAAGCTTTTACATCGTTAGTTCTTTTTGGTAATAACAAGTGTAATGTTGGAAAACATCCCCGTCAGACAGGTACATGCGCGAACACGGATACGTTAAAAGATTTAGTTGTTTCTGCATTTCTGCTTTTGGTTTTTGATTATGGGCAGTTTCGTTGCCCTCAAAACCAGCCAAACTAGGAATACACGAGGAAACTGCCCAATTCATAGCCAAAATCAATGACCCTTTAAAGTAACAATATCATATGATTGAAGCCTCAGTCGAACTCGTCAGAAATCAAAATACAGCGAGCTTGACATGGTATGGAACAAATACAGTTTAGTTTTACTTTGGAGGTGGGCATAAAATAAAAGAAATCGTTTAATCAAGTTCCATGTCTAACAAGTTCTATTAGACAAATCAACTTTACAATATATAAATGTTCAACTAGATGGATAAGAATAACCGAAAACAAGCTTTCACGAGCTCTTATTATTATAATTTTATGTATTAAATATGATTTAATTTTTGTTTTTAATTCAAAATGTGGAAGGAAAGGGATATAAAATCTAACTGATTGGATGGATTGTAATTGGCTCCAATTCCAATTGATCACAAAAAACAACACTTAATTTTTGCTTAAATGCAAAACAACCTCAAACCTAAGGAAATACTTGCTTCATTTTCAAAGATTTTTATTAAAGATTTTTCACAATCCTAGCAAATGCTGTCACTCCAAGTTGAGATTTATTCAAGATTCATTCTCAAGGGTTGAAAAGGCGAGAAGGATGAAAAGATTAAATATCACAGTCAGAGCTTTGATTTGGCAGAAGCAATGGAACTAAGGAATATTCGAGTTTACTCGAACAATAGTAAGACAAGCAATTGTGCCGTTTACTTTTCAATTAAAAAAAAATCGTCGAACAGAATATGCTCATTTTGATGCTCATAATTTCAAAGTCTGAGAAAAAAATTGGTGATAAATTCAAATAGATTTATATAAAAATCAGATTCAAGTCAATGTCTTACCTCGGTGAAGAAAAAATGGCGAAGAAATACATCAATAAAGGAGCCAAGAGAATCAGGGTGTGCCCTAATCGGACATTAATCTAGGGTTTCGAAAAAGGATTTTGCTTTGCCCCAAAGTAAATGAAATTTTAAAGAAAAATTAAGAGTGATATCGATTCAATTTTTTTTGAATATTATATAATATCATAAAAATTTAAATTTTGATTTTAAATAGAATCAAATTAAAATTTATCAATTTAGTTCTTTAATTTTTAATATTTTTAATATTTATATATTATTTTAATATAAACATATAATATATTTAAGTAAGTTTTGATATAAAATTATTATTTTTATTTTATAAAAATTTAAAAAATAAACAAAAATTAAATATATATTTAATTTGATTTGATTTTTTTATTTTTTATTTAAAACTTAAGGAGAACTTAATATATAAATTTAATATCTAAATTTTATTTAAATTAAATATAAAAATTAATATGAACCGAATCAATAACTAGGATCACGATTCAATTTTTGAATTTTTCGATTTTTTTTGCAGGCAAATCAGGGAGTTTTGTTGGAGTTTGAACAAATTGGATTTCCATCCTATAATTGACGGCGTTACTTAACGAGGCTGAGTGCCGTTAGTGTTAGTGTTAATAGACTGTTGCTTTTATTGGGTTTGTAAATGTGGAAGAGGAATGTAAAACTCGCTATTAAAGGATGACACGTGTTAGGCTTTGCCTATTTTTTGGGTGATGAGTTTTGGGATTTGCAACATTCTTGGGCTAAGTTATCAAATCTCTATGACTTGGGCCTATCTATTAAATTCAAGGCCCAATGCTTTTTTTTTGGTTCTTTTAATAATTTCCTCTAAAATAATAAAATAGGATTTCACTACAAAATTTTCTAAGGCTAAAGAACACTTTTTTTTTTTCTTTAAAGAAGTAGTTAAAACCACTTAAGTATTACACGCTATGCATCTCGCTATCCCTATAAAATCAACTTGCATTAATCTAAATAAATTATTTAAAAAAATTAAAAGTTTAACTCATTCGAAATAAGAATTGATAATTACACATTGTCACTTTCTTTTCAAAATTTTTGCAGCAAGACGCCCAAGTATATTATGAAAAACATAATCAATCAGAGATTAATAACATAATTGTGTTTTTTATTAATAGAGTATTGAATTTTTAATATGATTAATTAAAATATAATCTCTAATAGTTTAAATTTAAAAAAAAAAAGAGTTTTCTGATGATACTAGTAATTATTGCTTGAGTTGGCATGAATTTTTTTAACAATTTACAAATTACCAACGTGTGATTTTTTCCTTTAAATTTAGGACTCTAGTAAAGTCATAATCATATCAATCTCAATAACTTTTAATTAAATATAAAAAAATTATTTGATATACTAATAATGAAATTAAGATGGTCACACAAGCACATGTTTTATAAAAAAAATTAAAAAATTAATTTTAAAAAAATAAAAATATTTGTTGTTATTTTAATATCACTTGTAGAATTAAAAAATTTTACTGTCAATATATCAAATAAATTTTTTTAAATATAATTAAGTTTTTCATTGCATAATAAATTAAAAAAAATTTCTAACTTATTGAGGAATGTAAAAATCCTATCTAAAGATCCAGAAGTACAAAGGGTGTTTGTATATTCATTACCTAAGTACAAAGTCATTATCCACCTATAATAAATGTGTAACAATCACAATCTTAATTTCTTAAACAAAAATAAATAATTAAGAAGTAGGTTCTATACACAAGCTAAGAAACGTAACCAAGTCGGAGACAATCCTACAATTTGATCACCATAATCAACCTCATTGAAAGGCGGCTTCATTTCTGCACCAAGCAAATTATTTGATGATCTCTCAGTCATCTTGGCCGCCATGGATTCATCATCCCCTACCATGTCACAAGGAGATGATGATGATGGTGACGACGGATTATATGATGAGTCCTTCCCTGTTAGGCGTTGCACGAGGCTCATGAACTCCTCTGGTCTAACATGGATAACCTTTGGCGATCTCAGATAGATTACCACAGGGTTAACCTTGCTGCTTCGATTTGGAATACCATGAGACGATTTCTTGATCGTTGATGAAGAGTTGCTGACTTTTAAAGGTGAAAGCCTTGGACCCTGCAATTCTCTTCCTCTACTGGAGTTCTTGATTTCACGACTTTCACTGATGGAACTCATTTTTCTTCTTATTAGAGCTATAAAAATTTTGGAGGCTGAACTGATTTTGAGCTCAAGCTTCAGAAACCAACCATGTATTTATATAATGACAGTGCATCGGGTAAGAAAGAGTCCACACATGCATACAAAAAATGAATAGGTCTGCTTTTGAATAGGTCTTTGTGGTATTATAATAATACGGTGTTTTGGTAGATTCCGCCGGCTGTGTTTTTCAAAAAAATTGTTTGTTTAAACCTTTTGGTTGAACAATCAATAGCAAAGGAATGCGACAAATTCAGTCAAGTCAAAGTCATCAGCCAATTTATTTTCTTCTTTGATCAGAATCCCAAATTCTAACCATGCTTAATTTCTTCTAACAAGCTTGTGGCCTAGAGCCTTTTGGCAAGAACGATGGAATTCAAAGTACAGCAGCTTGAAACATTCACAGCCAAGTGTTAATATACAGTATAAATTAGTTACATTAATGCAATGTTGACACAACATTCCTAAATTTCTTCTTTTCAATAGTATATGGGATACTCCACCATCAATTTAGTCGACATATCAATTTCACTACACTTTTGATATGAGGTGATTAAGTTCATTCTATTAATAATTGAATTTAAATGTTAACTCTAATAAAATTTATTCAATATAAAATTTTTATTAAAATTTTTAATCGTATTTATAATAATTTTTTATTATAATTATAATAACTTTTATTATTATTTTTAATTTTATCAAAATTAATTTCACCGTTTAAGTTTTATTGTAATTAATAAAACACACTTATTAAAAGATCAATACAAAGTTCTATTCACCCTTTGAAGTCTGAATGCTTCTCCTGATAGGAAAATCTTCATTATCACTTCCAATTAGGTTTCTTGCTTTTCCTTTATGCAGTGTGTAAAGTTGAAATTTTGTATGATTTTCAATTACTATATACAAAATTGCACTTTTTCTTCTTGGTTCGGCATTGCTTTCTCCTTTTGTTTCCTTTGGCTTTAACCACCTTGACCCTTGTGGTCTGGATTATGTTCTTGGAGCATTTCGAAAAAGAATAAGAAAAATAAGGAAAGTCTATCATATTTGTTTCTATAAATAAGAGAAGTAATGACCAGAGACTCTAATCTTTAATTATATAAATAATTGCATGATAATAGATCATTCTTTCATTTTGTCCTTCATGAAGGAATATTCTAATACTATATATATATAAATATATAAAGAGAGAAATTATTAAATACATAATAGAATTTTTTAATTTTACAAACGATATTAAAATAATTATACATATATTTTATTCATATCATCATTTTAATCTTGTTTGTAAAATTAAAAAATTTCACTATCAATATATCAAATAATTTCCTATATATATATATATATGTAATTGGTCGGACAATAAAAAATAATAGTAATCATCAGAAAGTTTCTCAACCCTAATTCACTCGGCCACCAGATGTCAATCCCTCTTAACACTTCTATTAATATATTATAATTTAGAGTTAAAAGTCAGCTGATCTAATTTTAGCAATTAAAAAGGCAGTGGACATCTTCTAAGGAACGATTCTTCTCTTTCCCATTGCATACTGTGGTGTGCAAAACAAGCATGTATGATTTCAATTACTATAAAATTAAAAGCAACCTCATTGTCAACCAAAGTAACAGTTTTCTTTTGCATTTAGCCAAAAGCAACCTAACTTTAACAGCTTCATCATATATTTATATTCTTGAAGCGTTTGAAAAAAATAGGGTAAGTCTAAGATTTACATCTGAGAAAAGCAATGAAAGAAATTCGTTTCCTGGAATATTATATTATATAAACTAATATAAACTGCTTTGATTGATTCCCATTTTGAACTAAGAAAAAAAAAAGATTTGAAACCCGAAGTATAATCAACAAGGAAATTGCATTGATTAATTCCAAGCAAGGAAAGTTTCCCTCAAATCAATTAATTGGAGTTTGCTTGGGGAAGGTGGTGTAATTGATTTAGACAATATCTGAATTTAATTCCCTTAATTGGAGTTTTCTACTACGTTTATTTTTTTCTAATTAATTTGTTGAACAGATCAAATTTCAATAAAAATGATATTTCCGTAAATCTAATCTTAATCAAACGATTACTTGATTCATGTGAAGTATTACATCTCTAGATTTTAGCTATTTGAGTGAAACATTACTAAGTTTTTCCTAAGGAAAAGCAAGTAGTATTGTATATTTAATAATTAACAAGTCAAATGATATAACTCAATTGATAAATTTACAAACCAAATAAATTTGTAAAATAATTTATTAAATCAAGGGTTGATATGTAACTTCATTTTTTCAAATGAATAAAATTCACCACTTTTGTAATTGCTCATTTTCTTAATTACTTAAAAAATAACCATTTTTTATTGAAAAAACTACCCATTTTGATATATTTATAAAAACTCACTTTTTGCTTCAATATGTATATATATTTTTTTTAAGATAAAGTCATTGTTTAATCTCTCATATCAAGGTAAAATGTATCGTATCTAATAATCTAAAACAGATGACTGCAGGTCATATATTCGAAATAATCTTAATAAATGATCACTGATAAAACTCGAATCAAAAATTTTTTTATTGAGGAGAACAAGCTTTAATCAATTAAACTTTAATTATCTTTGAAGAAGATCTCATTTACTTGATGACCAAATAAATTCCTAAAATGCAAACAAATAGATAAAGTAGCTATAAATAATAAAGTTAAAAAAATTTTTATTTATTTTAAATGATCAAATAGGTGATACTTAAAGTTTTATTAAATATTTAAGTTAATATTTTTTTTATATGAAACTGTCAATATTTGAATTCTGAAATTAAAACTTTAATACTCTAACATCATATACAATAACTGTTGACAGTTGATATATCTTTTTAAAACATAGCTAATTAATCAAAACTAAATACCTATCATTTTCAACAATTGCGGCTCAATTAGTTTATAAAGCAAAATAATTTCAAAAAAAATTTGGAACAAGGAAGGAGGAGGGGCAAATATACTAAACACTAGTTTATTATTAATGAAAAATAAGCTAAAATTAATTCGTGTAACTGTTTTTGTAAAATAAAATGCTAAACTAAAAAAATCATAAGAACATATATATAATTTATAATTTATAATTCATATAAAGGCACGTAGATAAAGAATCTTTTGAATTAAGAAAAATAAATATTTATATATATTTTTTATATTTAAGTTGTCAAGAATTTATTTTTAATAATTGAAATTAAAAATTTAATATTCTATTAATAAAATATATTATTGTTAATAAAAATAATTATATTTATTATATTTTAAATTGTTACTTTTAAAATATTTTATTATAAATAATAATAAAATTTATCTAATTTAAAAATAAAAAGTCTATTTTCACTTAAAGACTTTAATTAAATAAATTTATTTGATACATTTTAGCTAAAGCTTCCATTAATTCTTTATCACTGAAAGACATGGTTTCTTACGTTGGTCGGTCAAAGTTGCCATGCACGCAGCAAACCAGTTAACCACTGTAACCCAATCCATGGAAAGTGGATTTTTTTTTTTTTTATGATAATTCCAATAACTATATGTTTAAATAATATGGGTTTTTTTTTTTTTTATGTAATTATGAATTTTTAGCCATCATTTTGATTTTCTCTTTCTTTACCTAATAACCTGGATATCGAACCTCCTGCATTTTGTTTGAAGAGAGAGGAAATTCAAAGCAAATTAATTTCGTTGTAAACTTCTCAGTACCCATTTCACCATTGGGTTTATTGCCTACTCTTCATTTCTCCTTCAAAATTTGTTTTTGGGATTTTGAGATTTGTGACAAATCCCCTGCTTTGCATTGAATTCATGACAGAAAGTCAGAATCTGAGATCTATTTAGTTTGAATTGGTGGGTGCATGCCATTTGTGGGTTTTTCCAGAAGAGGCTGTTTGGAAAAGAAAAAAGGAAGGACTTTGGTAGTTTGTTCAAGGCCTGTGATCTGTTCTCACAGCTTGAATTTGATTGTTTTTTGCTCTTTAATGGAATTACCAAGGACCAACTTTGATGTTGGAATTCATAAGAGAGAGTTCATCGTAATAAGGACCTGAGGATTGGGAAATTTTGATGGGGAACACATGTCCAGGACCAAATAATCTTGGATCGAATGGATTCTTGCAATCTGTTACACAGGCGGTTTGGCGGCAAAGGCCACCTGATCAGGACCGGTTACCTGCACCTAAAGAAGATAAAAGCAACCAAAAAAGTCAAGAAAATGCAGGTTGTGATGAATCCAAATCCAAAGCCACTGGTGGTTCTGTTGCAATTCAGAACACACCCCCTGAACCAGTCAAGATCATGAATGAGGAATCTAAGAATGTTGAACCAGAGAAACCAGGTAAACAGGATGTCAAGGTGGAGGGCAATAATGCTTCGGGTGACTCGAAACCCAATAAGCCACATCATATGAAGAGGGTGGCAAGTGCGGGGCTGCAACTTGAGTCAGTGCTAGGAAGGAAAACGGGGAATTTGAAAGAGATATATAGCTTGGGGCGGAAGCTAGGGCAAGGACAATTTGGAACAACATTTTTGTGCGTGGAGAAGGGCACTGGAAAAGAGTTTGCCTGCAAATCCATTGCCAAGAGGAAGTTGACCACAAAAGAGGATATGGAGGATGTTAGGAGGGAGATTCACATAATGCACCATTTAGCAGGGCTCCCCAATGTGATACAAATCATAGGTGCTTATGAGGATGCCGTTGCTGTTCATGTTGTTATGGAACTTTGTGCAGGTGGGGAGCTTTTTGATAGAATTATTCAGAGAGGGCATTATACTGAGAGAAAGGCAGCTGGGCTTGCAAGGCTAATAGTTGGCGTTGTGGAACAATGCCATTCTCTGGGTGTTACGCATCGTGACCTAAAGCCTGAAAATTTCCTATTCATTAACCATGAAGAGGAGTCTCCTCTTAAAACAATTGACTTTGGACTCTCAATGTTCTTCAAGCCAGGTATTCCAAAGTGATCATTGTTTTTTGTTATGTTGAAAAATGTTATAGTGTCATATCATTATAATTAGGAACTTTCAATTGAATTCCTCCCAGATGGAACCATTTGATCATTTTTGCCAATTTGTTGTCATGAACAAATTAACACTAGCCAGAGATGATTTTTAAGCACATGAACAGCTGCTGGATAAATGCCAGAGTGAACATTTTGTTACCTTCTTGGTCAGTTGGACTAAATTTTGTCATTTGACATCTGGGTCATTTTGTTTATTAAATTATTGAGTGCAGAGATCCCTACTTCATACTTTATATTATACATAATCATTCTTTCTTGTAAGTGATCGTGGGACATAAAATCTCTTTCTTGTATGAGGAAATCAGAAATCATTCATAGTCTGATCATTGCCTTCGTTTACTTGGAGTCAATCATCATTATAGTTGATTTCATTAAACTTTATTATGTAATTTCTACTCTACTGTCTGGGAACTAATTCTTTTTCCTCTAGGTGAAACATTCAGGGACGTGGTTGGAAGTCCCTATTATGTGGCTCCAGAAGTGTTGCAGAAGCACTATGGTCCAGAATGTGATGTCTGGAGTGCTGGAGTGATCATTTATATTTTACTTAGTGGGGTTCCCCCATTCTGGGCTGGTGAGTGTTTTGCTGCTTGTGGCTTCAATGATTTGATGCTTCTATATATGCTTCTAGGCATGTTTGAATTACATCTAAGTTATTTGGCGCCAATGTTACTTTTTACATCAGAATCGGAACAAGGGATATTTGAGCAGGTTTCGAAAGGTGAACTTGACTTTACATCAGAGCCATGGCCTAGTATATCTGATGGTGCAAAGGATTTGGTTCGAAAAATGCTTGTAAGAGACCGTAAAAAACGGTTGACAGCCCATGAAGTTCTTTGTGAGTACGCATATCTCTCCCTTTCTCTACATTATACTGTTGTTAAGCACAACTGATGAACTTAAATATTGTTTTATTTGGAAAGCCTTGAGTGTTATTCTGTCTATTTCAACCGAATGTTAATCTTTTGCAGCATTACATGGTGGGGAATTATCTTGGATATACACCTTTTCTAAACCTGTAGAGCTACCTTTTTCACACATTTTTGAGTTTCTTCACTCAGTTGCTTCCCTTTAATAGAAGTAGACAATAGCATTTTTGTTTTCTGAATTTATTCTATTCAGCAATCTATCAAATAAGAGTTATTTACCTTTTTATTTCTTGGCAGGTCACCCTTGGGTTCAGGTGGATGGTCTTGCTCCAGATAAGCCTCTTGATTCTGCTGTCCTAACTCGTTTGAAGCAATTTTCTGCAATGAACAAGCTGAAAAAAATTGCCATCAGAGTTAGTATCTGGAACATGTCAATTCTCAGAAGTTCATAGCAGTGGTGGAGATATTTCAAATTAAATTGTGTTGTTTCCCCAATAATATGCATGAATATTTATATCAGGCAGTTGTGACAAGTTGTGATTTAGTTTCTTTGGGGCCATGACTTGGTTTTTTTATATATTATAATTTTCTTATTATAATTTCTATATAGGTCATTGCTGATAGCCTATCAGAAGAGGAAATTGCAGGCCTTAAAGAAATGTTTAAGATGATAGATGAAGATAATAGTGGGCAGATCACTCTAGAGGAACTGAAAATTGGTTTGGAAAAAGTTGGTTCTAATCTCAAGGATTCTGAGATTTATGGGTTAATGCAAGCGGTAAGCCTTCGTTTCAAATTCATCAGGAACTTTCTAATTTTATGCTGGAATGATACATATAATAGTTCGATTTAGGAAGTCTGAGTTTCTGTTATCTGCTCGCTCCTTCTCTAGGTTGAAAAAGATAAAATTTACTTTCACTTTTCTAGGTTGAGATTTTTGTAACAAATTGATCAAAGTTAGTTGTATCATTCATAAACAAATTGAATTTTAAAGAATAGCTTTAGGACAGACAGCAAGTCATATATCCTTCCTGTAGTGTAGTATGAGGCTGGCTTTTCCTGTTTTACTATGAAGTGCTAGCAGGGGACATTAATAGATTCAATGTTAAGTAGGGGAATAGCTGAAGTTGTTCAAAGAATAAGTTTCTGCTACCCTTGAATCCACTTCATTGTCCAATCATCATCACTTTTGGAAGTGGGCTAAAATGCAAGATCAACCGGCCTACCAGTGGCGTAAGAATGAGCCGCCAGGCACCTAGGCTATAACATTGTTGCTGATTTTGTATCATTTTTTTATTCCAAAAACTGCAGGCAGATATTGATAACAGTGGTACTATAGACTATAGTGAGTTCATTGCTGCCATGCTTCATCTAAACAAGGTCCAGAAAGAGGATCATCTGTTTGCGGCTTTCTCCTACTTTGACAAAGATGGAAGTGGGTACATCACTCCAGATGAGCTCCAACAGGCCTGTGAGCAGTTTGGCTTGCAAGATGTTCACTTAGAAGATATAATGCGTGAAGTTGACCAGGATAATGTAAAGAACACGCAAGCTGTCTTTAACTTTTATTTCCCTTTAAAAATTATCTTGGTTAAAGATGCTGTTAATTTGACTTGCTTATATCAACTATCATATTGTGTTCTCTTCAGGATGGGCGCATTGATTATAGCGAGTTTGTGGCTATGATGGAAGACACAGGTTTAACCATACGGCACAAAACGTTTAAGTGATACTTCATCTTGGTATGCTGAGACTGCATGATCCATTGTTAAACTGTACGTTCTAACTGTTATTTTCTCTTTTATAATTGAAATTGAAACTGGAAACCAAATTGTTGCATAGATTGTCCAGGCTTCGGAGAGACAGAGAGAGAGAATTCTTTCTTGTTTAGTTTGTTTTCTTGTTGTATTTTCGTTCAGAGAATTGGCATATTGTTTATAAAGAAGAAAAGAAAATGATTGTCCAACTGTTGTGATTTTACTTTATTCTTCTTTGATGATGGAAACCGCTTCCTTAAGTCTTAACCTTACTCTTTAGCATTTTCTTTTTGCTATTTGGAAGCCCTCTTCTTTGAAACTAATTACCGTGAAGAATGGATTATGCAACCACTGATTCAGGTTCACACAGCTCTTTACATTTGACTACAATTTTGATTATATAACCTGAGATCTTTTGGGCAATCCCTGCTCTAATCTATGAAATTAGAGAGTAATTTCAAATATGTCTTGGTGATCTTACTGAAGTCTGTGAACATTGTTTGCACTTGTCGGTTCACTGAACTGAGTCTGCACAGACACTACTTTCGTACATTAAATGAACCTGCACCATTCATAGCTCTATATGAATGACAAATTGTCAAATTTCTCACGTTTAATGCATGAATTGCCTGCATTTGTTACTGGCAATTCTCTTTTTTCATTTTGGTCCCAGACTTCTTGATGTTAATTCATTCATCAGTCCATACGTTCCCTTTCGCGCAAAAATGCGACTTAAGGTAATGTTTTAAATTTAATGCATGAAAGCATGCATATAATTTTTGGCCAAACATTAAAGCATGCGATTCGATTGAAGCAATCATCAATCATTGTGGCCCCAGACTTCTTCAAGGTTTTAATTCATTCATCAGTCCAATTCATTTTCCCTCATCTGAAAACATAAGGTTAAGATGGAAGTTCTGGCATCAGATGTCGTCCAATGCATGTTTAACCATTTATGTCTTGCCTTGCATGATTTCATCTAGATTTGACAGGTACTTGGAATAGCCATGTCCAACACGAATCCCCTAGCAGCTCTGTTAGAAATGTATCAAGTTCAATGCTGTGTCTGGTGGCGATGCTCAGGTCAACTCAATCGTATGGTACACCATCATGCTACCATATGTACGACACACTACTAGCATTTATCTTTGCTACTTTGCCTAAGGTTTTGTCATATCAATGAAGGCCATAATATCTAGATTCCCAGAAACCTATGCAGAAATGGCATAAACAGCATGTGATTTTGCTGGCGAGATTGACTTGTTGACAAGGAACGCACATGGCAGAAGGGGAAAGCCATGCGAATGCGTATTTTTGTACCAACTCAATGGCGTAGTTCGCAGGGCTCCCCTCGAAGAGTTTCTGTCAAAAATGCTCCGAATATTTTGCGGAGAACGGACCACCTGGTTAATTTTACTTGTCCTGGATTGGACCATGGCAAGAGCTATGAAATTCATTGGTGATTTCAACCTTTTTTTAAAACTTTTACAATCACAGCGAAGGTAAACATAATTGAAGATAATTCCTGTTGAATGCGAGATTTGATAACAGATTCTTTGTACAACCACAAAAAAACCAGTCGAGCAACTTTAACAAGCTGAAGAAGATGGATTAGATAACATTTATACGCAAACTTGATGATGACAGCCTCTTGATTTCTTACCTCACAAAGACCATAAAAATACAAAGAAAAAAAGATCAACAAAGGGTTTTTATCATTTGCTTCAATTCAAAAAGATAAGTCAGAAATGGGGTTTTCAAGTGGAAGAATCATGAATCTCTCATACATATGTATGATATATAATTTGCTACCATTTTCCATGCAATTATTAACCTAGTATGCCTTTTTTTTTTCTTCTTTTTCCCGTTCACCCAAGGCCTCCAAAGCACATGACACCTGACCTAACACAGTCTTTTTCATTTCATCTGAGCCTTTATTTTTTCCTTCTAAATCCAAAAACTTTCCAAGACCATCCATAGAAACTTGAAAAAATTTGTCAGCCCTCATTTTCAAGCTTTTATGGAACTTAAGATGTGAGTGGGAAAAAAGGTGGGTGTGAGTTGATTAGTTCCCACCACCTTTGACACTTAGTACTCATCATCATCATCATCTGCTGTCAAATATCAATTTCAGCTTTTCAACTTAAATGGACAATCTTTTTTTTTTTTTTCTATTTTTTTAACTCAATTTCTCTAACGTTGAAATATATAGAAAACAGGCTGGCTGGGATGCGGCTCAGCTATACCTTTTTCTAGATATCTCCCCACTGACATGGCAGATCACAGCTAGGGGACACCATGCAGAAAATGCCAACTGCACCTTTTTCTTAAATCCATGTATTTATGACTTTCTAATCGTGAAACCAAAATTAATATCACCAAAATATTTATCATGCATTAATTTTAAAATATAAAAAATAAAATTTTAAATTTTAAAAAAATAAAATATAATTTTGAGATATTTAAAAAAAATAAATAAATGGACAAAAAAAGTATTAGCTTTTATATAAAAAAATCTCAACTTAAAAAAAATTAAAATTTTAATTTTAAATTTTTTACACGTTATATTTTTAAAATATTATATAAATTAATTGAATTAAATTTTAAATTTATATAAGAATATTAAAATTAAAAATCAATAGATTATACTATCGTTGTCTCAATTATTAATTTTCAATCCATATATTAAGTCTTAGTAGTATTTTTTTTTTTTTGAATTTTTTTTCACAGTTTAATAAAATGGCATTCTCATTAATACCAGTTTCATATTCTCTTATCCACCTTTCCATTTTCCAATTGGGATGACAGTAACTAAAATATCAGATTTTAGTTGTCATATCAAAATACGTGACCCTAAAATTCCACGTGGGAGCATCGACAAAGCCAAAGCTCCCGCATTTAGGTCCACGTGTCAACGCGTATGCTTCGGTGACTCACAGCCACCAAACTTTTACTTACGTGTCCACTACCGCATTCGAGTGTTACACGTGGTCAGAATTGACGGTTAAGCTTTTTGATGTGCAAAATTTTTTTTTGAAAAATTGCCAATTTATTTTTTTATTGGATTTGGAACCTAATTGAAAAAAATATAAATTTTAATTAAAAAAAAATTGAGACTCCTCTGACTCTGAGCTACTGCCTGTTCCTCACGGTCATGTCCTTATCACTTCGCTTGCCCTGTGTTGGGCGGCACCGCCCTTTTTTTTAGATTATTTGGATTTCTAATTTTACTTTTTTTTTGTTGAATTTATCTTCACATTTAATTATTTATAGATTTTTTTTTGTCATGAAGCAGTCAAAAACAGAAATGATATTTATGCTTGCAAGCTCCCTTCGTTTGTATTTATGGACAAAAGTGCCCTTTTCTAACAATAGTTTGATTTTTTCGGTTTATACTTATGATTATTGAAATAGCATATTAATACGATTGAAAAATATATATATATATTAATATCAAATTTAAAATTTAATTCAATTAATTTATAAATTATTTTTTAAAAATAATATTTAGCAAGTTGAGAAGTTTAAATTTCAACACTAACAATATTTTTTATCTTAAAATTATGATTTTTTTTTATAAAAATAGCATATTAATATTTGAATTTAAAATTTTTAAAATTTTTCTTAGGAAAGAAATACAACCAAATTATTATATCATCGGCAATTAATATAATTTTTATCATTCTTTTATTCCTTTTATGAAAAATTATTATTGAATTTTAGCTTAATTCTTATAAATTAAAGAAATGATGCTACAAAAAAATTAGATTTAGCCATGAATCATATAATTTTTTTTTATCACGGCAGCATATTATATACAACTATAATAGTATAATTAATTATAATTCATAATTGTATAAAATTTATAAAAAATTTAAATTCATACTTTTAAGTAATAAATCATTCTATAATATTTTATTATAATTAATTAATAACAAAATTATAATAAAAAAATTATTTGTAAAAAGCTTGCCTTTGATCACCAATGAAAATTTAAATTTCAATTGGCGTTTGGTTTAATAAAAAAAAAATTGAATTATTTTCATCAAACATAACTAATATTATGATTAATAAAGAAGGAAATAAAAAAAAAAAAGCATAGTAAAAGGTTTACCTAAATCCTTACTATTACAATGAGATTTATTTTTAATATGTGACAAATTATTTGTGACATGATGATTGAATGTTGATTGGTGACTGAAAATGAAAATAAAGAAGTGGATTAATAAAAAAAATTAATAAGATAAGTCATGTGAAAAGATCTTATAATTTAAAATAAACTACGATGATATGATATAAAATTGATATAAATATAAAATTTAAAAATGATATAATTTAAAATTTTAATAAAAATTAAATTTATATTTAATAAAATAAAAAATATATTTTATATTTTGTATTAATAAAAATTATAATATATAAATTTTATATAAAAAATAATATGAATATATAAAATTTAATATTTTATATAATATAAATACGCTAATTGTCGGCTGGACCAAGTGACGGTGGCTGGACCAACCATCCACCCAGCAGAGACCATCGGCTCCTTGCCAGAAATCACAGACACTAAATATTTCCTTTTGGGGCCGGACCACACCCTTTTTCAGGCCAATTATTAGCCACTCATCTTTCTGCCCTTTACATACGCACCCCAATTGCATTTACATTTCTTCCCTTCACCCATCGCTCAAATTATATTTTGTATTGATTTATGGTTCCATTGGAAAACTTTCATGTAATTATTTCAACCTTCATTAATAGATTTGCAGATAGTATATATATTAAAAAATTAATTAAAAATAAAACATATGATAATTTTTTAATTTTATTTAGAGTTTTTTAATTAAAAAACGTTTACTAACTATGTATAAAAAATAAACTCTAATAATAAATCAAAGAAAAATAAAACTTGATTACTTAATTAATTTATATAGTCAATTTTAAAAGTTAATATTTAATAAATTTAAATTTAAATTTTAATATTTGTATTTTTTTAACCTTAAAGTATGATTTTTTAGAAATTAAAACAAGAAATTAATAGGTCATGGGATGGAATGGCCTTCAATAACGTAGGAGAAAGTCAATTTAATTAAGAGAATGGCGACAGTAAGATGGTCGGTTTTAGCAAGCCAAAGCATATTCCAAACCGTAGCTTTCTAGCTCCGGATAACTGCATTTCCTTCGTTAAAAATTTTTTTCCTTTTTTTTTTTTTTAATTTCTGTTTCCCTGGCCCTATATGTAGATACTGAATTTATATAATTTTTTTTTTACTTTTTTTATAAAGTCAATACAATTCAATGAAAAAAACATTATCATTGATGACGTGGAGGATAATATCAAAAATGACGATAAGATTACAATTGCAAAAGCACATATAATTCTAGTTTTCATGGTGTTTCCAAATTTGCAAGGAAAGGAAAAGGCTTTTTGTACAAAGCTCCAAAATTCTTGCCTTCCCTGATGAAGAGGTAATCTAGAATTGAACCATGGCCTCATGCTGCACACGCGCAGGCCCTCCGATGACCAAACGGACAAGAACATCACCGCTTCTGTCTGCATTTGGACTACTTGATTAGGCGGCATATATATCCACCACCCAAATAAAGGCTAAACAACATTAAATTTCAAAAGTTAATTTCAACTCATCTTTCTCCTCTCATAATCTAATTATCAAGTAAACTAATTTTTCATTAACAGATCTCGAAATTGACTCAAATTAAAATTTGATTTGAATCTATGATAAGAGTTTCTGTCCTCTTAATAAATTGAAATTCAATCATAAAATACAAATTTCAATGAAAATTTTTTATTATGCATTCAAATCAAGCGTAAAATATAAAAATAATATATTATTCTAAACTCGAAACAAAAAAAGCAAAACAACTATGAAACTGTCCGAACACGTGTACGACAGGGATGGTGGTACTCATTGAGAGTGATGGGTGCTAGCTAGACCTATCGTATCTCCTATCGTTTATAATCAAAACTTTCAGTTATTATCAAAATTATGGGATCAAATGGGTGTATTTGTAAATTTGGAAGAATTCGAAGGGTGTATCGGTAATTTAAATCTCTCCCTTCTTTAATTGCACCTATATATAGTAGTGGTACTGATGGTTGTTACAGTTGAAGCACATTACACCTCCAAGCAAAAGGCAAAACTGATCTTCCTTTTTAAGTATTTTTCTTCAGCTTTTAGCTCTTCTCCTTTTGGTTCACAAAAAAAAAAAAAAGGTATGGATATAATCCCAACATTATCGGTTTCATGAAATATCCAAAATCAAATAAATTATCATTGTTTTTTATCATTCAAAAACTTGGGTTTTTCCTTATGGATCTCTCTTAAGCAACTTCCTGTTCCAATGAAAATCTGTTCTTGATCTTTGCATTTTTCTCTTCAAACAAATGAGACTTGGTTTTTCTTGACTCATCATGGTGAACAAGAAAATCAACAGTACAAGTTTCCAAAAATAGTTGAACAAAATCATTTCGTACATATTAATGATTAATTGGAATATCTCATATGTAGTGAGTTACCAGTTCATGTGGGAACCTCCTTGACCGTACATTTCCTCCTTTTTATCATATGCATTTCATTTTATCCAAAAGCTTCGAGGCCGAAAATGGTGTTATAACAATTTTTTTTTTGAAGAAATTGAACTTTGGGTTATGTCCATGCAGTTGTTTCCTATATGGAGAAACCAATTAATTCAACCACTTTGGCCCGAACAAAATCGGACCAGCTGGCGGAGACCCTGGCAGCGGCTTTCAAGCCACCGACGCAAAGTGATCAGCCACCGGGAACTTCTGATAGCGGGGGGACTCTATCTAGGAAGTCGAGCAAGCGGTTGATGATGAGTGCATCACCAGGGCGGAGCAGCGGGACTAGCAAAAATAACACCCACATTCGGAAGTCAAGGAGTGCTCAAATGAAGCTGGACTTGGAAGAACTGAGCAGCGGGGCGGCTCTCAGCCGTGCCTCTAGCGCTAGCTTGGGCTTATCTTTTTCATTCACTGGCTTCACTGTGCCGCCTGATGAGATCGCTGATAGCAAACCCTTCAGCGACGATGATATACGTAAGTTCATATATATATATATATATATATATATATATATATTTGTGCTTTTTCATGCAAAAACTACTGCTTTGATGCTTGGTTAGTGGTTTTCGAATCATTTACAGTTAAATTTGGAAATAATTGCATAATATAAAGTTAATAATTAACAAATGAAAAGAATTTTTTTTAATAAATATGGGATTTTTTATTCATTTTCAAGCAAAAAATTTATTAAAAAAATTACAAAGCTATTGTGCAACAAAAATCAACTAAATGACAAAATAAACTAACAGTAAGCTTTGATTTTTAAAATCTCATTTTTAATAAAAAAATTTATTTATTATTGTCCCTAAAAAGTGTTAAATTTCGTAGAATTTGTATCAAAATGCTTTATCGACGAACTTCAATGGGCATTTTGATATATGACAATCAATTGCATAAGACATTATTATTTTTTGGCCAGCTCATTGAATTGGGTCCATTATAAAAGATTAAAAATATTATATTTTGACCACAAAAGTCACGTATAGAGAGTGATGATTGCAGGGGTCTAAGCAAATGATTGGTTTTTGTTACATTAAAAAGTTAGGCCAAAATTAAAGTGAATTTTGAAGATTGCCTTTCTACCTAAGTAATTAATGTCGAGCTTGTAGAGCTGTAGATCCTTCTTTTCCCAAAAGTAAACAGTCTTTTTTTTCTACCTCTTTCACCCCTTTTTTTTACAATTTTTAAAAAATAGCATCACATTTTATAAAAATTTAAAATTTTATAAATTATTTTTTATCTATTCAAATATAGTATCGACTAATAAATATATATTTTTTTTATACTTATCACTATCAAGATTACAAATTTCATCCATTTTATAACCTTTTTCTTAATTTTTTTTTTATATTTAAGATTGTCAAATTTTAATTTTTTATTATTAAAATTAAAATTTTAATATTCTATTAATAAATCCCATAATTATGGGTAATTTATTGCGGATAACATAACATTAACGGTATGATGGAACAATTTGATCCCATGTCGTAGAAATTTATTCTTTTTTTATAGGGATTTTTGCTTTAAATTTCGTCCATCTCGCCCACATTCACTCACCTAAATGCTGACTTCCAGCCGTAGATTTCAAACATTGTGGCTAATTGATTGAGAATCTTAAAACATTTAAGGGATTGAAAACAATCAATGAATTCATTATGATCCATTAATATCATCCGAGTTTTTATTATATAACATTGATGATGAATATATCGACTATAGAAAATGAATCAAGTACAAAAGAAAAATGGTGAATATATATATATATATATATTTGTTATTTGGTACCTCAATAAGGTTTTTTTGTCTAGAATCTAGATTAAAAATGATGAACAGAAATAGAAAGTGAAATTTTAAGAAAATTTTTAACATTTACACATGTTAAATTAAAATAACTTTTCGTTAATTTATTTTTAAATTAAATTTATATTTACTATATTATCAATATATAAATATTATATATATTACGTCTCAGTGGAGTCTTACTTTCTTGATCATGTGCTGTGAAGTTATAATTTGAGAGATAAATAGTTTGGATTTTTCATAAACATCAATGTAGTATATGGTAACAACATTTTAATCAGAATGTTAGGATAATCTTTCTGAAGGTATGTTCAAGTGGTAAATCTACTCGCTCGTAGACATAAGAGCAGTAGCAGATTTCTCAAGTAGCAGCTAGTATTAGATATTAATCAATAAATCATCAAGCAATTTATGTTATCCTATTGATTCCCTAAGCAACTAGTAATCTTCGTTGCAGCTGAAGATATTGAAGCTGGCACCTCTAAGCTTAAATTTCAGACAGAGCCCACTTTGCCAATTTATCTGAAGGTAACAGTCTTTGAACATGCAGGTTTTCCTGCACCCTCCTTTAATCTGCAACAGCATCTTCAGGTCTTGAAAATCTGTGTTTGTTAATCGTGCGTGGATTGATTTGGGTACCATGTATTTGGACAGGCAAGGATGGAGAATTGTCTAAAAGATCAACGCGATCCATAGAACATGGCTAGAATGGTTAGAGTCAGTCTTGTACTGAATCTCATCTTACATGACATTTTTGTACAAGACTCCATTCTTTCCAACAAATGAAAATTGCAGAATCTGGTATAACTGGTATTGAAAATGTTAATTAAACCAAGTACAAGAGTTGAATATTTCTTATCTGACAAAACATGCATTTAGGCTAGAAAGTCATCTTTACTTACTGTGTCTAGGGCATTAAAGTTACATAAAAGAACCACCTGAAGCACAATTTCTTTGAGGAAAGAAGGGTATGGACTATCTGATATATACTACCTTTGCCATTTTATCTTTCTTTTTGTTTTATCTTCCTCTTCATGGGGAAAAATTGTTGTCATACGAAGAATAATCATATATTTGAACAAGTCCAAGGAACTTGAGATGAATATAGCATACTTAACGATGGTTTATTCCTTTCCTACAACTGCAGTTCACAGATGTCACTTACAAGGTGATTATCAAAGGAATAACAACTTCAGAAGAGAAGGATATCTTGAATGGAATCTCTGGTGCTGTCAATCCTGGGGAAGTTCTGGCACTTATGGGACCTTCAGGAAGTGGGAAGACCACGCTTCTTAGTCTGCTTGGCGGCAGGTTAATTCAGTCTACTGTCGGTGGTTCAATTACATATAACGATCAGCCTTACTCCAAGTTCCTGAAAAGCAGGTAAGAATCTGAAACTTTGTGTGTGATTCATCTTGTCATGCTTGCTTGTGTTGGTTTTCTCCAAGGTAATAAGTTCAAACATCCTTGCTTTATGTTTTTTCACCAAAATAAAGATCAAGGTGATTTAGTTCCCAGATGAAACTGCTTCATCCTTCAGCTAACAAGCATGATTGAAAATGAGTAGATTTTGGGCTTCTGCAAACTGCATTTTATTGTTTACATTTGAGCTGCATAGCAAGCTACAATAAGAGACAACTAACATGGTACAAATCAAACAAATGAAAGAACAACATACTGAGTCATTGAAGAAAAAATTCAAAGCAAGAGGGTTTGCATTATTTTCTGGTGCATATATAGTCAATTTGACAATCAAGAATTTAACTGATCATGCGTTGTTCAAAGAATTGTTTTGTAAAAGGATTAACAAAAACTGCTCCTAGAGGCTAGAATTGTAGTCTAAATGATGAACATTGGAATAACAGTAATGTTATATGGCAGGATAGGATTCGTGACTCAAGATGATGTCCTGTTTCCTCACCTTACAGTGAAAGAAACATTGACATATGCAGCCTGCCTGCGACTGCCAAAAGCATTAACAAAACAGCAGAAGGAAAAGCGAGCCATAGATGTCATTTATGAGTTAGGCTTGGAGAGGTACTCTCTCTCTCTCTCCTACTACTGCTATTGAATCTCAGATTACGTCTAAGCATCTAGGTCCTAAATAACTAGCTTGTTCTTGCAATGATGCACACAGATGTCAAGACACCATGATAGGTGGATCATTCGTCCGCGGAGTGTCTGGTGGGGAGAGGAAAAGAGTTTGCATTGGCAACGAGATCATAATCAACCCTTCCCTTCTGTTTCTTGATGAACCAACCTCTGGCTTGGATTCCACAACTGCTTTAAGGACCGTTCAAACATTACAAGACATAGCTGAGGTTTGACCTTTGTTGAAGGAATTATTATAATCTTACGCACTGTCGTAAGCCAATGCTGTCGTTTCAAAAGCAGACCAGTTGCAGAATTTTAAAAGAAAAGAAATGCTTTTGTTCTGTTTTTAATTTCTTCTACTCTCATGACAGGCTGGGAAGACAGTGATAACAACAATCCACCAGCCATCGAGTAGGCTCTTCCACAAATTTGACAAGTTGATTCTTCTTGGGAAAGGCAGTTTACTCTACTTCGGGAAAGCTTCGGAAGCAATGGTTTATTTTTCATCTATAGGATGTTCCCCTCTAATTGCCATGAACCCAGCAGAGTTTTTGCTTGACCTTGCAAATGGGAACATAAATGATATTTCTGTGCCATCAGAACTGGAGGACAAAGTACAAATGGGGAACTCAGAAACAGAAATAAGAAATGGGAAGCCACCACCAGCAGTTGTACATGAGGTAAACTTCAATTGACTCTACACTTGCTTAGACAGAACCATTTTTTTTCCTTTCTTTTTTCGGTACAAGAGGAGCACTATGACTCCAATATAAAATCTTATTCAAAACCCTCCAAACCCTTATCAATCGAGGGAAGCTCACGTAAATTGACTGCATCTTGAAGGAGTATACAAAGCTAATTTCTCAATAGACATCAAAACTGTAATCTGCCTAATAATGCTTTCACTTTAAAGCAGTATCTTGTGGAGGCCTATGAGTCGAGAGTTGCAGCTAACGAGAGGAAGGAACTTATGTCTCCTCTTCCCCTAGATGAAGAGCTGAAGTTGAAAGTGTCTTCTTCAAAGCGGCAATGGGGAGCAAGCTGGTGGCAGCAATATTGCATCTTGTTCTGTAGAGGGATAAAAGAGAGAAGGCATGATTATTTTAGCTGGTTGAGAATCACCCAAGTTCTTTCTACAGCAATCATCTTGGGATTACTTTGGTGGCAGTCAGATAGTAAAAGCACCAAAGGCCGTCAAGATCAGGTGAATTGATTATTCTCTTGACAAAGCAAATCCTATATAGTTGTTTGACCACTAGAGATACTACTATCTCAACTTGTCATCACAAAAATAATTACTGGAATGACCATATCATGATATTTGGCATTGCAACTTAATTTTGTACCCACATCATGTAACCTTTGCAGGCAGGGCTGCTATTCTTCATTGCTGTCTTCTGGGGTTTCTTTCCTGTCTTCACTGCAATATTCACATTTCCTCAAGAAAGAGCCATGCTTAGTAAAGAAAGAGCGGCTGACATGTACAGATTGAGCGCGTATTTTTTAGCTAGGACTACAAGTGACCTTCCACTTGATCTGATATTACCAGTACTTTTCCTTCTGGTTGTCTACTTCATGGCAGACCTGAGACTGAGTGCTGGTCCCTTTTTCCTCAGTATGCTTACAGTTTTTCTCTGCATTGTTGCTGCCCAGGTATGTCCGTTTGTAACTACTAGTTAAAAGGAAGCCATAAACATGACCTGGTGCAAAATCAAGAATGGCATGACTGCTTTTGCAGGGTCTTGGACTAGCTATTGGCGCCACTCTAATGGACATGAAGAGAGCTACGACTTTGGCTTCAGTAACTGTGATGACCTTCATGCTAGCTGGTGGCTATTTTGTGAAGGTAGGCAAGCAAACCTTGTTCAGAATTTCAAAACTGCAAAAAACTACTAACTTCATGTGAAGAACAATGAATAGTTTCTTAGCGATAAATTTTATGTAATCCAGAGTCAAGGTGTTATTTCAAGAAGAAAGACGATCATCAACTTTCTCTGCCTTACCAACGGTACATTACTGATGCATGAGTTTACCATCGATTAGTTGCCTGATACAAGCATATTCAATTTTGCAGAAAGTTCCAGTGTTCATATCCTGGATCCGATATATGTCATTCAACTATCACACTTACAAGCTTCTTCTCAAGGTACAATACCAAGACATCATGCCTCCTGTAAATGGTATAAAAACAGACAGTGGCTTGAAGGAAGTCAGTGCACTGGTAGCAATGATTTTTGGCTACCGTTTCTTGGCATACCTTTCTTTGCGGAGGATGCAACTCCACTGTGGAGTTTAAAGATAATATGATTTTGAGGAGCATTCGAAGAAAAGGGCTTCTGAGACCCAGTATTTCGAGGGTAATCCTGAAAAGCTTGAGCTTCAGATTTACAAAATTAGCGAGGATCAGGACTCAACGCATCGGACCAGCTTTCTGGGGTTTTTACCTTAAGAATTTGCCAACGCTCTCATGTAACAGGCAATAGCTTTGACCAGAATTTCACATCATATTATAAGCATTTATGTGGATTTTAGTATCTGGATAATCCTTGCATATGTTTTTGAATTGATAATCAAAGACTTAACTTCATGGGAACCATAATCTATCAGTTATCTTTGGAATTTGCTAATCAAATTATTAGAGTCTGGTCATCAACACAGAGAGAGAGAGAGAGAGAGAGAGCTAAAAAAACAGCATGGTGAATGGTCGTATTGAGATTTTCGACCATATAATACTATGCTATAGTTAGAAATTACGCCAATGATTAGAAACTTTATAGTCACTGCTAGGTGAAAAAAGAACCACCAATAATCAACTACCAATGCAAGTTATATACACCAAATATTATCATGTAATAATAACCTTGCCAAGCTTCAGTAGCATTCCACTTTCCCAAAAAAAAAACTATATCTTTGTCTGAACCTGCAATCAGCAGTCCAGTTATGCTTGTCTATCAAATAATGGTGTTGTGTCTCGTATCTTTGGATATGTTACCTTATGCCAATGTCCTTAACCAAGCAAGTAACCGAAGAAGAGCAGTATCTAATATAGGAGACTTCTTCTCAAGACCTTAAAAGAACAAGAGGTAAAAAAAAAAAAGAAAATCAGCTGATATATATAACAATTGATTAACAATTATAAGGGTGATTACTTATTAGCAAGTAACTGGCTTGTGTAGAAAGATGTAAACTAGGACAGAATAAAAAAATAGCCAAAGGAGTTGACATGAAATAAGATACCTTGTTGGACACATACCCATATTTGACATTCACTCTCGAGTCCAAGCAACATAGACTTATAGTACGTTTTCACTTCCTACTCATTTTTTTGTTCTACTTCTAATCTTGCTTAGTCAAATGCATAGTTAATGCTAATTACATCCTAGTCAGGGAAAGAGGCATCTTACCAATATCAGCAGCAACCCGATGAGCACACATTACTCCGGAAAAGGCAACTGCTATAACACCTTGTCCTGGAAAGCAGCTATCACCAACACAATAAAGACCACTTATACCCTGCAAATTACAATTGCATGGACCATCCAATTAGCATCAACCTTGAAATGTTTATGAAAACTAATATCGATTCAAAAAAGCTACCAGGGGTCACTATAAGACTTACTGTCGTATTAAATGGCATTCCCAATAAGCCCTTGGGAATTTGACGAGGCATTGGTCCATAAGTACCAATGTCACGAGCCAAGAACCGTCTGTGTGTCTTGGGGGTCCCTACCTACAGTGATATTAGAAATATTTCATAACCGGAGAATCAAAATAGTTATGATTATATCATTGCATTGACTAAATGCAGAGTGTATAGTTATGCACAAACTGACAATCAAAATAGTTATTCAGTTTACTATGGAATTTTGGAGCAGAAACATATAAATTTCATGTCGAAATAAACGAATGTTTATATTCTCCAACAAAACTCAGAAGAGCTTCAATCCCCACCATTTGTATCCAGACAAGAACCCATTTTCAGTTTTAGGAATAGTGTTACTCTGGACTACCCACATCTTTTAAGTTGGCAATATGCATGCATAGACTTTTTCTGTTTTTTCTCTTTTTTTTTTTTTTAATTAACACTCTTTATGTAGGTGCCACATTATGATCAAGTAGTATAAAGATACATACCTCCTTAAAAACAATGGATGATTTAAGCCCTGGAAATAGTTTCTTCTCCAACCTTCCAATGATTTCCTTTGCAATTAGCTCCTTTTTTGCCTCATAGTCCTTTGGCGGAAGTCCCTAGTACAGCCAAAATACTAATATTTACAAAATGATTCAATGAGCCAAAAATATTAAAAAATCTGTAACATCACTCAAATATTGGTGGGGAAAGGACAATGGGAGGAGAGAAAGGGGGAAGGGCTCAAAGTGAGGAAAACTACTATTTAAGTGTAGCTTCTAGATTATATACATAGTCTGAACTTACCTCCCAGTCTTCTATAGAAGAAGTTGTAAATATGTGAAGAATATGATGTCCTTTTGGAGCCAATGATGAATCAAGAACGGTTGGAATGCTTAAAAAGATACTCCCATATGATTCCTCTAATCTTGTCCAGTCATCCTTTTAATTATGGAAGAAAAAATATGCAAATGAACTATTAGCTACCTGCAAAGAAAATTTGTACTCAATTGTGTGTGTGAGAGAGGGCGAGTGAGAGAGAAGCCAACTAGAAACTAAAATACCTCAAGCACAAAATGATGACAATCCGTATCAGGAGGCAGAACATCAGCCTTTACACCCATGTGAATTGAAAGAAATGATGGAGCCTTAACATAAATTTTCTGAAAATTTTCTTCTTCTTTTGGAAGGTTTTCTCCTTTTAACAGCTTCCCTACAAGACAATGGATTGCAATTCAGTCATTTTAAAACAGACGCGAAGAAACCAGTGCAAGAAACCTAACCAGCTCCTTCCGAAGACTAACCAAATGTATCCCATCTAGTAGCATTAGATATTATGGTTTGGGCGAAGAACTCCCTTCCATCTGAAAGTCTCACTCCCACCTACAGAAGTCAATCCAATATACTATAATACAAATTGCATTTACCACATGTAGAACCATCAATCATAAAAATTTAGGCATTAATTTATGCAAGGTATTTAAAATCTATGAACAAACTTACAGCTTTGCCCTGGTCAAGTATGATGTTAGTCACATTTGCCTTGTAAAGTATTTCACTACCCTGATCAATCAGGCCTTCAGCCAAAGACTCCGCAATTCCACCAACACCACCAACAGGGTAATTAATTCCTCCAAAGTGCCTGTCACATAGAACCTGGCACAAGCTATGGATAAGAGACAAGATAATAAGACAGAAAACAGTGGCCAAAAGCTAATCAAACAGCTTACCATGCCTGCATTTATCATTGGCGTCCGCAAAGCATTAACTGTGCTCACTATGAAACACTGCAGAGATACTTTAACATTAGTAGAAAACCTTGCAATAAATCCCTTTTTCCCTCTTTTTTTAAGATTACTGGGATTAACTTTGTCACACCTCTGCATCTATGAAAGACAACAACTGGGGATCCTTTACATACTTTCGAGCAATATCTCCAGCATTTTGGGGCAGATAGTAAGCTGCAGGACAGGACATCACAGTATATAGATTCAAGACCAGAAACATGTGGCAGTTAATTAATATGTAATAGCTTTAACAAGAAAATGACCAGCACAAAAGCAGTATCAATTAATAATAACATGATTGTCCACATTTTACTAGGAGATTAATAGCTTATTCTTCATTATATGAAATCTCAACATTCAGGATGCCCTACCAGAAGGGTATAACAACATGATTTTCACCTCAAGAGTCCAAAGATTGAGACCAAAGTGCAATGACTTTTACCTTGAAAAAGCCAAATTATTTTATGAACCATCTAAGATCATGTTGCTATCAAAATCTATCTTGTTTCAAACAAGTTTGCTAGAAAAAATTGTATGATCGGGAAATTCTATAAATGCAACAGTTACAATCATCTATACATCTTGAAGCAGTGGCAATGGATTTTTGAAGTCCTTTTTTTTTTTTTCCTGCTAAAAACAATAAGTACAGTATACTTCAAAGATTCACTTATGCACTTCTCAATCAAGAAAAATGTCTTCCTACAGTTTTATCATTACTAGTGACAATAAATATGATTTCACACAATAAATGTCCTCAACAGAATCAGAAAACTAACCCCCCCAATCATCTCTATTTATGTTTTAAATTTCACATCAAATAAATATTCAGCAGCCGTTACCAAGTGTCAAACATTCAAGAGGCTTCTGAAAGAACTGTCCAAAAAGGTAGATTGGCTCTTCAAGTGACTTCAATTGCAACGAGTTCAAGGCATTGAAGATCTAGCCAATATGTATATAAGTTCTCAAAGTGAGTAATGAACTAAAACAAAGACTTTAGAAACCACAAGCAGTCATCTCAATCAGAACAGACCTTCCAACATTTGCCATAAAATTTAAGGATTCCTTCCTTCTCATGTGGAAATTTACTCGTAAGTTCTTCGATAAATTCACTGTATTCTCGATGTACTCGAACAGAAAGGTTATTGGGTAGATGGAAATGAACAGTAGTTGGATCAGGAATCACCTCCATCTCACGCCCAACTGCAGACAATGCTTGTGTAATCAAATTCAGATTGCCCTGCCAAAAATTAAGCACACATCAACAGTGGAAAACTCAACATTGAAGATGTACTAATAGCTTAGTATACTTTAGCCCTTAGTAAAAGAAAATTAAAACCATGATACTTTCAACATGCTTAAACTCCCAAGAGATTTGCCAAATATCCATGTAAATCTAGACAATCCTGCAACTTCAGTTAAACAAGCTATCGATGATAGAGTTGCAAGTTCTTTACATATGAACTAATTACCAATTTCTTTATTGCTAATAAATAAACCCTGTAGGGTATATTAAACTCCACCGGTGCGGTTAACAGGGTGTTCTACATACCCTGTAGAACACTTTAGTAGCTTAACCCACTTGTGGAGTTTAAAAAACTCCACTGCGGTATATAGAAAACAAACTCATAAACATATTCCAAAATAAAAGATCAAAGAATCCAATTCTTCATAATTGTTTGACACACAATAAGGTTTTCTCTAACTCCAAGTCCATGATTCCAAGGGCCAAATTTTCACCTTATTTTTTCAAACAAAGAATTACTCATCTAGATCACTGAGAAGTTAGAAAACACGAATCATAGTACTCTTTTCATATTCAATCAAATTAACAGAATCCTAACTCAAATGCCAACAACCAATGATAAGAAAAACTGACCTTATCACTGAATCCAAACATCACAGAAGATCCTACATCAAAAGTATATCCATCCCGCTGGTAATACCCAGAACTCCCTCCAGGAATCACATATTTCTCGCATACCAAAACCTTCGCTCCTTTAACCGCCAGCTGTGTAGCTGCAACCAGCCCTCCGATCCCTGACCCTATAACAATTGCATCATACTTACTCTCCGTACTAACTCCTTCCTTTCCCTCCATCTCCACCACACTATCTACACTCAACATCGATTTCAACCTCATAGTAACGTCCTTTCTCCTCTGACTAACCTGAAAGTTTCTGAATTTGACACTACCAGCCTGGATACCTTTCAAATGTGAGCTTTTCAACGGATTACTAGACAGAAACCTCACCTTCCCGCTTCTAGGGAACTGAATGGTTTGATAACACCCTAAATTCATGTTTCTAAACCTGTATTTATAGGAAACAAAGGGTTTAACTATCTTAAAAGATGAAAGTTTCAGTTTCGGACTTGTGGGTCTAAAACCACCCAACTTTCCACCATTGAAATGACCAAAAGCTTGAGAATTAAGCTTCTAACAACCCCAAGTCAAGGTTTTTGAAGCATCAAAGGATTGGCTTCTGGGATTTCGAGAAACTGGGTATTGAGGTTTTGAACTAGGTGGTTACCTGATTAATAAAAATTCTCAGAATTGTGACTTTGTGAGTGGTAAGTGGAGGAGAGACAAACCCCAATCTAGTTGTACAGGAGAGGAACATATTTGTTAATTGGGAATAATTTTCGAATTTTTGTGACTGATGTGGCATCAACATTATAAGTGTGTGATGCCAAACCATGTCACTTTCTTGATACTTGAAAGAACCAGACAAAGACGGACAGTTTCAGTTGTGCACTACGATGTGCAATATCAGTAAAAGTTAAGTTAGTGCCTAGTCTTCTTATCCACATTGGGTTTTTGCCCTTTCGGTGGGTTTGGCAGAAATTAAAAACTTTAAAATATCTTAATTTGTTGTTTAAAATTTGTTTTTTGAAATAAGTAGGACAAAAAAAAAATTACAATCATATTCTAATATTATATATAAAGAATTAATTATTCAATAAATAAAATGAATTAATGTAATAATTAAAAAATTAACATGATATTAAATTAAATTCACACATAAAAATACTTGAACATAACATCTTCCTCACCACTAAACCCATTTCTAATTGTCATAGTATCGACTGATTATGTGGCTCCTAGATGAGATTAATTCTAAGCCGTCCAACTATGCCTACTAATATAATCCAAATGGCTTAGATGAGATTCACTGTAATTTGCATTCTTTCTTTCTTTTCTTTTCTTTTTTTTCTTTTGAAATGTCTTAAAATTTTTTTTTAATATCTAAAATTTTTATTTTTTATATTTGAAAATATATTTTATATTTTTTTAATTTTTAACATTAAAAATTATGAAATTTTAATTTTAATATTAAATATATATTAAAATTAAAATTTCTTTTAAATTTTGTAAAAATAAATACAAAACAAAATAAGAGGGAGAGAGTAACTGATAAAGGAAAAAAAAAAAGGTTTTAAAAGCGAATATGCTAAGTTTGTTCTCAACTAAAAAATTAATGAGGACACGTCACCTGTATCCCATGATAGTGGACCCCAGGGGTCCGGTTAAAAGGGGGTCCACAGTCCACACGCCCCCAGCCAGAAGCGGACCACTCCCAAGAAAAAAACAAAAATGCTAGCTTTATCGTCACAAAAGAAGCGCCAACAAATTTGGATCCAATTCCTTCCTTCCTTCCTTCCATCGCATCGTATCTTCTTCATCTAATCCGTCATATTGAAAGGCCACCGGCTCTTCTCTTCTCCTCTCCTCCCCTCCCTTTTTCTTTCTCAGTTAAGTTTCTCTCTCTCTTTTTCGTACTAATTTACTTACTAAAACAAGCATTTTTGTATATTTTTAATGGAATTCGTAATTTTCATTTGATCACAGGTGATATTTTCATAAGCTTCGTCTTGATCGATTCAGGTAGTTTCTCAATTTTAAATTTTTTTAATAGTCTCTAATTTCGCATGTTAATTTTTTTAACCAAAAAAAAAAAGTAGGTTGTTTTCTTTCAATGTAATTACAACAACTATTGTCAGTTTCTTTCTGTAAATTGAAATTTTTCATATTTTTATGCCATTTGTTGATAATTTTGATTGATTTAGCTGGTTCTTAGTCTTAATAATCTTGTTATTAATTGATGGAGAAATTAAATTACCTTTCATTTTTTTTATAGAATTTGTTAATAATTTTTAAAAATAATAGTTTCTTCCACACAATTTAAAGTTTTAACTCAATTTAATTGAATTTTTATTTTTTATATATTGAATAATTTCTTATCATGTTACAGGATTTTAATTGGTAAAATAGTCATGGATCGGATTACCATGGCGGCACGTCTCATGATAGTATCTGATCTTGATCATACAATGGTATGCTTTTATCTTGAATATTTGCTTTCATTTTCAGAAATGCTTGTGCTGCGGTTACTTAATCTTTTCCTTTTGCAGGTTGATCATCATGATCCTGAGAACATTTCTTTGCTTAGGTTTAATGCACTGTGGGAGTCGAATTATCGCCATGACTCTCTGCTGGTCTTCTCCACTGGGAGGTCACCCACACTCTACAAACAGTTGAGGAAAGAGAAGCCCATGTTGACTCCTGATATAGCTATTATGTCAGTGGGAACTGAGATAACATATGGCAGCTCAATGCTACCGGATGATGGCTGGGTTGAATTTCTGAATCAGAAATGGGATAGGAAGATAATAACTGAAGAAACCAGCAAGTTTTCTGAGCTCACTCTTCAGGTCTAGTTAATACTGCAACCTTATATCTAAACATTAAAATTATTCTGTTGAGAGCATCTTCATTGTAACTGAATATATAGGACCTGCTCTTGACATCTTTAACAAATTCAAGCATGTTGGATCATTCAGGCTGAAACAGAGCAGCGACCACACAAGGTTAGCTTTTATGTCGATAAGACTAAGGCCCAGATAGTGATGAAGGAACTTTCAGACTGTTTGGAAAAGCGAGGGGTAAGACTCAACTTACTACCAAGGGTATTATTCATTCCCAAGTAAATATACTTTGAAAGATATACATCAGATCACATCACATTAGTATTCATTTCTTCTTCATCTCACTTGCTTGATAGTTTCATATTCATTGAAAGTTATATTATTAATTAACTTGTGTCTTATTCTGTGCCAGCTGGATGTTAAAATAATTTATAGTGGAGGAATGGATTTGGATATATTACCACAAGGTGCAGGCAAAGGACAGGCTCTTGCATATTTACTGAAAAAGTTTAAGACTGAGGGAAAACCACCTATTAATACTCTTGTCTGTGGTGATTCTGGAAATGATGCTGAACTCTTCAGCATTCCAGAAGTGTATGGAGTCATGGTTGGTAGTCTTCTGCTTTTTAAATAATTCAGATTTACTAGCGCTTTAGAAATTGTAATAATCGTTGCCGCTATTTCTGTTCCATTAATCTTTTTCCCTCTTCAGGTCAGCAATGCCCAAGAAGAATTGTTGCAATGGCATGCTGAAAATGCAAAAGGTAACCCTAATATAATCCATGCAAAAGAAAGGTGTGCAGCTGGAATCATAGAAGCCATTGGACGTTTTAAACTTGGATCAAACACTTCTCCAAGAGATTGTGCTGATTTTATGGAATATAAGCTGGATATTGTCAATCCTTGTTACGAAGTAGTGAACTTTTACTTGTTCTATGAGCGATGGAGGCGAGGGGAGATTGACAACTGTGAGACATATATAGCAAGTCTGAAAGCTTCTTGTGTATGTTTGCTGCCCTTTCTTTCTTCTTTAATGTTATGTTGTTGTGATGGTAGTTTTTAGTTCATCAGAATTTGGTCAACATCTTAGATTCCTCTTACTATTTGGAAAAAACCAAGAAAGAGTCAATGACCATGTCACTTTATCAGCATCTTCTAATTAATGAATTAACAATGTGCTATTACCCTAGTTGTCCTCCATTTGTTTATTCTTCTTTGGTGCATCATTGGCTGCTATTTCTTGTTCTAACCTTAATTCTTTACACACTGGCAATTTGACTTGTAATAACTGTCATGATTTAAAGCCCATCTCTGAACAGAATGAATCAGCTTTGTGGTAGATAGGTGTGCAAGTGAATCAGATATTTTAATACATTCCATCATTGCGTTCTGTCATATGATTTTAGACATGAGTCCTTTATTTTCATTGTCTTTTCCTTCATTATTCTATGTAAAATGTACCCAACCAGCAACCCCATCACTTACAAAGCCAGGCACTGCAGGTATGAAAAGTTGTGGGACTGTTGGGTATGCATGCTAGGTCATTAGGAAAACATATAGATGAAAGTGTGTGAACTTGTTCTTCAGCAATATTATGTATCTAAGACATGATTTTATTATAAGATGATAAACTGAGAAAAACAACTCCCACAATCAACCAAAGATTAGAATTTGTCACAGGTGAAGTGCATGCGGATCAGTTCTTGGACAAGCTTAAGGTTAACCACAGATCTACCAGGCCCCTGTTGAATTTTAACAAATAATTTTACTGATTCTTTTCTTGGCCAACATTTGTGCTAAGGAAAAGAAAATAGTGGTTTCCTTTTTCTTTTGTGAGTCTTTGAAGCTTACTAATCTGTATCATGCTTTAAATTTTCATTATTTTTCTTCAGGATCCGTCAGCTAATTTTGTCCTTCCATCCGGTGTTGAGAAAACTCTTCATGAATGCTTACACACAATGAAAGGGTACCATGGAGACCAAAAGGGTAAACGGTTCCGGGTCTGGGTGGATCGTGTATTATCCACACCAATTGGTTCAAACACATGGCTTCTGAAGTTTGATAAGTGGGAGTTATCTGGTAAGTTTTTTTCCTTATAAAAAACTGGCTTGTCATTGTCTTTACTTTTGCAGACATCTTTTCTCGCAAGCATGCTCACATTGTATGTTCAACTGAAAAAACCAGTATTATCAACATGTTTTTTGAGCATGAGCTCTACGCCTCTACCTTATACACTTGGCAAGCTCCTAAGAGCAACTGAGTTCTATCTAATGTTCTTGAGTTGTAACTGCCCATGATTTCCCACTTTTCTATTGGCTTGCTAATTCTTTTAGGTGATGGACGGTATTGTTGCGTGACCACTGGTAAAATAAGTGCAAAGGTAAGAATTGTTAAATCTTAGATTCTATTTGATTGATGCTTTTGCTATTGGCCTTCTGTTTTCTTTTACTTTTTTTTTTGCAAAAAAAAAATTGAATAACAAAAGCATCAATCAAGTGGAGCTTTAATATATTAATTTGTCCACAAAGATTGCTTAACATAATTATGTGCTAAGATGATTACCATTTGTGTTGCAGGGATCCAATCCTTCGGAGGGGTGCTCTTGGGTGAATCTACAGCAAAAATGGTTAGAAGGATTTGAAATGAAGGATGATTCAACCTGGTTTTTCTAGGGTATTCTGCAACAACATTTTGACTCTAGAATCGGTATAAAGTTCTACAGAAATAAAAGTATCCAAATTTTAATATTAGTTCTTTTTTACATTTATTTCGATAATTCATATGCGACTTAGGAGATGGCACTGTGATGAATAAACTGAGATACCATGGCTCATCTCTTCTTGGATACATCTTATTTTCATATTTTTGCAGTTTATAGTATATCCATGAATTAGAAATTTGCATTTCTGTTTATATCATTTGGTTTCGAACCCGATACTGCCTCTAAAATTGCTATTACATTTGATCTCCCTTTGTTTATTTTCATTCATCCACCTGATAAAAGTTAGGTTTGGCTTAATTTCTAATTTTTCTACTTCATTTTGGCCATAAAATGCAAAAAGTGTGTTTGATAAAAAAGTTTATGTTTTTTCCTTTAAGAAAAGTTTTTTTATATAATTAAAACTAAAAAATAAACTCTTTTGTTTAAAATAAAAGTTTATTTGAAAATAGATCAAAAAATAAAAATTTATTTAACTAAAACAAAAGTGTAAGAACTTATATAAAAAAAAAGTCAAATAGTTCAAAGATAACATAAGATAAAAAAAACTTTCAAACAAAAATTTATTAATCATTTAAGTTTATGATAATTTGATTATAATCAATTAAATTTTAAATTTTTTATTTCGAATTAATTTAATACTTAAACATCTATTTTTATTAGATTGAATCCTTATATATATATTTACTCAATTAAATTTTCAATTAGATGAAAGCAATTAATTATTTTTCTTTTAACAAAGGTTTAATTGATTGAAAAAAATAATAAAAACTTGGATTATTATTAAATTTTAATTCAAGATTTTTTTTTAACCTTTTACCTTTATAGATTTATTTTTAATGTTTTCGCCAAAACTAAATCAACCTTGTAAACAACCCAAACCATTTTTTTTTCCATAAAGATGGAATAAAAAAATTAGTGGAGATAAAAGCTCAAGGCTCTTGCAAATTATGGAATCTTCCCTCGTACTAAAATGGGAGTACTTTTTCAAGATCTGAAGAAAATTAAAAAAGAGGGTGATAAAAGTAATTGTACGCTAAAGAACACCCAACTTTGCACTCCTTGCAATCGAACCCCTAGATTAGTACACTTTGCTTACGGAAAGAGAACAATAAATCAACATTTTGGAACTTTTTTGATTTATCCAAAATGAATGGTAAGAAGTCAAACATCTTGCATTTGCTGCTTCTAAATGGTGGTGGAACCATAAATTTCTCATGCAAAAAATACCAATGGGTCAAAACGAAACAGACCATTTGCAGCTTTGCATGATGACCAAAGCCTCTGCTTTATAGAAAAAGAAACAAAGCCCACTCTTTTAATTAGCTGTATTTCCATTTTTATAGAAAAAGGAAAATCAGAATCAGCAGGAAAGAACTTAAACAAAAATAAATTTAATAAAGGGCCCAACCGGGTTCGAACCGGTGACCTCTTGATCTGCAGTCAAATGCTCTACCACTGAGCTATGGACCCAATTTGAGTAACAACTTGCCAATACAATCTTTTATTACAACTGAGCATTTATATCTCCAGGCTTCTTCACTCTGTCTTCTTTTTCACTTCGTGATTATTTGCACTTCTCCTTTTTCAACTTATCACATCAAAAAAACCAAAAAAAAAAAAACTTCTTTATTGGGTTTTTTTTTCTATTTTTATTTATGTAATATTTGTCTTTAATTTGTTGTGATTTATCTTTTGTAAATTGTCATGGCATAGCTTTACGAGCTTTCTTGATTTTGTTTTTCTTTTTCTATTGGTACTCACTTTTTTGCCTTTCAATTAATTATTGTAAAACAAACACTTAATTACTACTACTAATTATTAACAACCTTCGTTTATAGGAAATTTTGAAAGATTAAGATTTATAGTTTCATTAGTTTAAATTTTTCTCTTCCACATTTTCTTACATTTTGATTTGTTTTTAAGTTGATAAAATTTTTTTATTTTATTTATGAGTTGTGTAAATAAAAACCATTAGTATTTTATTATATATACTAGTAATAAAAAAATAAAAATAATGTATAGAGTTTAGGTAGCTATAGTATGTTCATTTAGTAATTTATTTATGAATTTTTTATAGTATATTGATTTAATAATTCATTATATTGATTTGTCTAAAGATATGCAGTCATTTATTTATTTGATGTAATTCATTAATTTTTTATGTAATATTTAAATGTGATTATAATTTTTTTGTAATACTAATTTTATCAAAAAACCTCAAATCTTAATTCATTAAAAAAAATTAATAGTAAATACATTAATTTTATCTTGACTTTAACAATTCATGTATTTATATCATGTAAAATATGAAACTTGTGTATATTATTTTACATAAAAATTACATGTCTCAATTCATATAACATAAAAATATAAAATATTTTTTTGTTTTATTTATTATTGCTAAAATTTTAAACCGTTTCATTTTGTATTTTATTTTTCATATTATATTTATTTTATATCATCGTATCATGTTTTAAATTATCAAATTTAATCTTATCGAAACAAAAGTTAAAGAAAGCAAGAGTCAAACCATCCGTTTTGTCAACTTATTTTAGGCACACCAATATATCAATTGGGAAGTTAGTTACCTTAATTTTTCAGCCATAATATTTTTGTTTTGGGATATCTAAAGATAACAAAAAGATAAGAAACCAAAATTTGGGTTGATTTTGAGAGGTTTAATTTCAAGGATGAGTCAAATTAAGCTACATAATATGGAAATTTGATGGATATTAAACGAAAATTTTCATTACAGTTCGTTGTATGCATTGATCCTTTTTTTACTATTTTCTGTCTTTCAGATATGTCCAACTAAATGTCTCTTCTCTTTCCCTCTCATTTCTTTGTTCATCCATTGGTTTCATCAACGTTATAGATTGTAAAAGATAATAAAGGAGATAACAATGGAAGCTGGGTCTATAGGAGTAGGGTTCATGGCAGTCTTTGCAGTTTCAGGAAGTGTAGTTTTCGTTGCTCATGAAGTCCATAAACGTCTCCTCTCAGATTTCATGGAGAAGATAGAATTTGAATTGGGTGGTAATATATTGATTAATCTTTGATGTTTTTCTTTTGTATTTTTTATAGTGCATTAATCAAATTCTGGTTTTTTTTTTTTTTTTTGGTATAGGAAGTGGAAAATGTAAAGTGAAGAAAAGGGTTCATTTTGCTGATGATGTGATGGAACCATCATCCAATAACAAAGAATACAGGAAGGGGAATCATAGCTTCAACCTGGCAAAGCAGGCTAAGGAAATTGGTGAAGATGATCATCATCATCAGGTCCTGGAAATATCAGATTCTTCCATGCCTCTCAACAGGCAGGTTTTGTATAAAGGGATTCTTAAATATAAAACCCTCACCAAAACTCATCATGTATAGATTTTTTTTCCCATCATCATCATCCATAGATTTTATTTTTTTTTCATAATCCAAAGTTTTGATTTTTCCTTTGTGTGTACATTTTGTTTTCTTATTTCTTTGGTATGTTTCAAGCTTAATTTGTACCATACACAGAATTTTCTCTTAATTCCAAAAGGTTGAGCTTTTTTTTTTAGAGTATTGATATCTGAAAGTAGAAATTATGAAATTTCTAATTTTTTTTTTTTTGACTAAAACTCAAATCTTAAGGGAGATATATATATATATATATATATGATTATAATTTATCTCGATCCGATCCATTATTATCCATAACTATGAATCCAATCACACTTGAAGTTTGTTTGGGTAGTAAATGTTAGTGCAATGGAAACATTTTCACCTGCTCTTTGGATTAGAGACCGGATTGAGAGGATACAAAAAATTTAATTTTCAATTCGTAGCTCTCTTTCCATTTTATCCCTCTTTTTGTTTTATTTTTTGAACATTTGTTCTTTTTTTAAGATTTTGTTGCTTAAAAGTTTTCCAATGTTATATTCTTTTTTCACAAGGTCAAATTTTTAATTTTTAATTATTTATTAATAAAATATTATTGGACATAAAAATAATTTTATAAATTTATAAATATTAAATAATTTAAAATTTTTTATTATATATATATTTTTAATCTAATTTATTTAATGATTATTTTTTTTAATATTTCATCTCATCGTTAACACTATTTTTATATTCAAAACATATCTTATCACTAATTTCAATCTCACTATTATAATAATTAATTTTTTTACTATAATAATCAATCTTACATTCATCATTTTCAATATTACTAAAATAATTTTATCGGCATCCAAATGAACTCTATAAAAATATACGTGAATTTTCCATTTAATTTAAGCTTTTACATCCGCAATTGTAACGATTTGTTACCTTAAGTGTTCTTAAAAAAAGTTACTAATATTATTTTTAATTTTTTGGAAAAATTTTAACTCGATTGTCATTGTTTTATTATAATATTATTATATATTATAATATAATTAATATTATTATTATTATAATATTATATGATTTATAATTTTCATACAATTAATCAATCAAATACCGGTAATTCATTAATGAATAAATTAAAACATTTAAAATGTCTTAAAAATAAATACACAATCTTTTAAAAAATATTTTTTCATTATATATATATATATTCTCTATATTTATTTTTAATTTTATTTATTAATGAGGCAACACTCTATAATCCATTATTTATTAATAATATATAAATATTACACACAACAATACATTAAATATAAATAATTAATTACATGTCCATATGTGTATCGATTACCAAAAAGGCAATATATTTCATATTAAAAGGTTAGTTTTAATTACATATATATTTTTTAATTTAATTACGTACATGTTATATATATGTGTGTATCACACGAAATATTAGAAATTATAATATTTTTTGTACATCAAATTTAGAGTAAATAAATTGTTCAATCTATTAAGTCATGACTAAATTTGATATTTTTTTATGAAAAATCATGTACTTGATATGAGTATTAATGAGAAGTCAAGAAAAAAAAATTAAAATCTAAAATCATTTATCAACCACATGGATAAATTTATTAATTAATGTTTCATTTGGATAATTAAAGAAAAAAGTTTTATTACGAGATTCAAATCCAAAATAATATGATAATACGATGAAAATTTATTTTATCGGTTATTTAAATGAAACATAAAGCAATCTAACATTGAAACATTTAATTAAATTATTTTGAAAGTATTTTTAATGTTACGATATAAATTATAATTAGTGAGTTAGCTTCAAAGTTCAAATTGCACTTGGCTTTCGAAGGTAACCGTCATCAAATTAAATGAAGTAAACAGCCAAATATAAAAAATTAGTGTGACGCAATTGTTCTATAGTATATATATGGGTACTCCATTCTACACATTTTAATTTGAAGGCAAAAAAAAAAGAAGTTGTAAATTAGAACATTTAGAGAAAAGGACTGTTAATCATATGGTCGTCAATTAAGAAACATATGCCAAAGTGAAAACTAATGTTTTCAAAATAAAAACTTTGTAATTACTCCATATTTCCCAAAATTCCTCATTAAAAGTAGTGATATCAATGGGTAAGATTGAGTATTTCTCATATTTATTTTTAAATTTTTATATTATATCCATATTGGTACTCATATAGAATATTTTAAATTTATCATCATATTTATTATCACGAGTGTTTAATGGATATAAGTAATTTTTATACCCATAATTTTTTTAAAAAAATAAAAAATTAAAAATAAAATTTTAATTTTTAATTTTTATCTTATATATTTAAGTAATTTTTTATCAACATATATTTTTTCAATAAAATATATTAATTTTAATTAATCTAAAAAATAATTTATATTATTTAATAAAAATTTCATTTACTAAAATATATATAAATATATATAAGATACAAATACAAAAAAAGTACCATATTACTTATTATCATTTTTATACTGATTAAAAATTTAAAATTATACCCATCTTCATTCCTCAACTCATAATATAATATCTATTCATATTTTTATAAATCAAAATTTTCATTAGATATAAATAAAATTAACATCACTAATCAAAGGGTTTTGCTTGTACTTTAATGGAAAAGAAAATTTTTGAATAATTCAAAAAGCACATGCATGGGAGGTAAAGTCTTATCAATGTCGTACATTTAGAAGTAGTACTTAGTAAATTTTTTATTTTGAAATTGACATAACATTGAAGGGGTAGAAAATTTAAGAATTTATTTATTATGAGATTTAAATTTAAATTTAATTAATTTTATAATATTTTTAATAAATAATATGTAATAAATTTAAACTTTAATATTTAATATTTATAATTTTTTTATTCTCAATTTGTAATTTTTTATATATTAAAAAAAACAAATAGAACATTTTTTTTGAAAAAAAAGTCAAATGCCATATTTGCTAGAGAGAATGTAAAGATGAAAAAAATTTTAATTTAATTATTAACATTTGTAATAACATGTGTTATTTTATAATTCAACCGTTAAATTTAAATTTTTTATTTTTTATTTTTTCATAAGAAAATGAAAGTTTCATTGTATTAACTTATATCAGTATTACAAAAAGAGAGGGGTAAAGCTCTTCACCATACACTCTGCTCCCTCGGAACACAAGATCGAAATGTAAAGAAATAAGAGAGTTGCAAGTTGGGATTTTCATTTGTACTTTATATCAGTAATGTGAAGAAACTTGATGATGTTTCTCTTTAATACAATTGTTTCATATTGCAATCACTGTAGACATGAAAGTGAAAGACTAGAATGATATAATATATTGATTTATGTATTAATTTATCTACTTAATTTAATTTATTAATTTATAAAATTGGCAGTTCTGAAATCACGACTTTTGAGAAAATTGAAAACTTTGATGGCAATGTACCAAAAAAGCAGGAAAAAGAACTTGATGATGTCAGGATTCGTGCACAAATTCAAACTCACGTGAGTCGTGTGCGCACGATTATTAGGCTTAAGCTTCTACCTGTCGCATGGGCACGTATAACTTAAAAAACTGTGCCGTGGAGGCATCTCTTCCGTGAAAACAAACTGCCACTCCCTTCATTTTTATCCAAAAAAAAATTTTCACCAAAACTAGCCCAAAAGCCAACAGCTTTTGGGTATCCTTCTATTCAAATGAGTGGAAGATTATCGTTAATCCATCACTTTCACCTGAAAAGTATACGTTTTCAAGCTCCTTTTTCCAGGCTTTCACAGTCTTGTTGTGAGTCTGTAAACGAGTCCACCAGTTGTAGGCTAGCTAGCAGCTTGTCAACAGCCAACTGCTTAAGCAAATGGGCAGAGCCTGTGGAACAATTTGCCCGAGAAATTAACACAAATATCTTGACATTTTCTTGTTTTACAGGCCAAAAGAAAACAAAATAAATATACACAACCATATGTCCAAATCCAAGATAGATTCCAATACTAAAGACTTCCCTGTGTGAAATCCTACTCACACAAAATCGGAAACAGCTCTCTTTCTTTCGTTTTTATTTTTTAAAAATCTTTTTCTTTTTCCATTTCTAGTGAACCCAAATAAAGCAAAGAACCCGTCAGAGTAACCAAAAGGAGAGAATTAGAGACCCCAGAAGATCAGAAACTCCTATCAAAACCCCGAAATTTGAGCTTACCTGGAAAATCTGACCGTTTTTCTTGCCAGATATTATAGCTTTCGTTAAGCCTTTCTTGATCTGTTTGCCGTGTTTTACCAGGGTACATCCCTTCTCTTAAAACCAAAGAAAAAAAAATTAATCCCTGGTTCATGAGCCTTCAGCTCTGTCCTTCTCCTGTTTGATTGTTGGGTTCTTGAAAACAAGATCCTTGAGCAAGGAATTGGAAACTAAACCCATACCAGTTTCTTATCCGTTGTTCAGGATCCTTTAGAAGGACACCCTCATCATCAACAGAAAGGGTAAAATCTTTAAGAAAAGAAAAAAGAGGTTCATTTCCAAATTTCCAAGATTCAGATTCTTCCGTTCTCTTCTGTTCCGTTCCGTCAAGCAGGCAAAACAGCAGTTTATTCTATCTTTATTCCTTCCAGTGAGTTAAGATTCGAGAATCCCAAGGTTGAAACCAAAAAAAGTTGCCTCTTTGTTGTTTATCATTATTTGAACTGACCCTTCTAAAATCCAAACCGTTTCATTTTGTTTCTTTTAGAATAACAGTTCCTTTGTTGCCAAAAGGAAAACAAACCGGTGACGAAGCTGGCCACTGCAACAGCTAAAGCAAAACAAGATCGAAACAGTTCCATCTTTTTTTTTCATCTTTAAACTATGTCTCCCCAGATAATCCTTAGGACCCCAGCCTCCATTCACCGGCCGCAACCGCTGCTGGAAAGCCGTTCCTCCTCTTCCTCCAGCGTCGATGAATGCGGCAGCTGCTCAAGGGGCACCTCCAGGAACAGAGCCAAGTTCGGGGAGTTTTGTGGGGGTGCGACAGCTGAGTGTGCGGCTATTTGTTGTTGCTGCCCTTGTGGGATAGCGAACCTTTTAGTTTTAGCGATTTACAAGGTTCCTGCAGGGCTATGCCGCCGTGCTCTCCGTCACAAACGGCGGCGTAAGTTGCAAAAAAATGGGTTGCTTCAGCCGAGGAACCACCGGGGTCATTATGGATGTGATGATAGCGAGTTGCAGATGCACCCTGTGGTTTGTCTCGAGGATTTTTTCCCAGATGTGGAGGCTTCTGAAGAAGATGAGAAAGCTGTGGTGGAACTGGAAAACGAAATGTGGCAAAAGTTTTATGGTACTGGATTTTGGAGAAGTCCTTCTCGGAGAGAATGAGAGTCACCCAGAATCAAACGACTGTAAAAAATAATATCCAATCTTAGCCGCTTGTCACATTTAACCTGGGTGTATATGTATATAATTTAAACCAAATATTGTACTCCATATATATTTTTGTTTTAAACGGGGAATATTGTGGTGATGGGATTTTCTGATTTCTGGTCATCAATGAAGAAATTGAAAATGGCAAGATTTTGTTGTCATGAACATGGAATTTAAGGGAAATGACAAAGGCTTGGAAATGGCCTTTGGTTAGTCTAGAAGGTTAGACAACAAACAGAAAATTTGAGGGAAATTAGAAAGTTGGAATAATACCAACATTGAATTATGAAATTTTGATATCTGATTTGAAATCATCCATGGAATTTTATACCTGATTTACAATCCTTGTTCAACTCAAACCCTGTTTGCAGAATCTCTGCTTCTACACTTTCAATGTCTGCAACTGGGGTTTGTCACTTTTCCCTGACTTTCCAAATGATTTTGTACTGGATAATATTACTATATCTTCAACTCATGATTCTCTTGGTTAAGATCAAAATCTTACATGGAACAATTAGGTGTTCATGAATCATGATTACTAAAGCTTTTTTTTTTCTTTTTCTGTAGCAAAAATTTGAAAGTTCTTACATCCAATGTTATAGTTTCAATTACATGTAATGAAGGATGGTTACATATTTTATGTTATAGTTCTTACTAATTTTGTTGTCCATTATAGTTGCATATTTTATGTTCAAATAATTGTAATTTTACATATGAACAAAACCTTGCATTAAGATGTATCTAATATTTTGATTGAATTATTATTCTTATCTATAAATTGGACAAATGTTATTAATAAAATAAATCTTTTAATGCAATTAAAATTTTTATTTATAAACTGAATAAATCTTATCAATATTTATTTAATACAAAATATTTAATTTGAAAACTTAAAAATATGATGAATAAAAATGTCCATTTTGATATTTTATTATTAATAGAATAATAAATTTATTATTTTATTTTAACATTATAATATTTAAATATATTTTAAATTTAAAGTTAAATAAAGATATATTATTTAAAAATTTTATATTAATAATAAAATAAAATAATTAAATTGAGCCGAACCCGAATATAAATATTCATGATCAAATCGGATCCCGATTAAGTGATGGCTCAAAGTGAATATGTGATTATCTACTTCATGACCCTTACTGCAGCGGCCGTGGCCTTTTTACTAGTAGGTCACTGTCGAGAACTGAGTAGATTAAAGTTCCATTTGGATAAACAAAAAGTGATTGTGACGAGATTGAAAATAATTATAAAATTTATTATAATTATAATTAAAAAAATTATTATAATTATGATTAATAAAAAAATTTTAATATTTAAATTTAATTGATAATACGATAGATTTAATCGTATTATATTGAATTCAAATAGACACTAACTAATCATTTAGGTTTCATCACACTTATGATATGATATAATTAAACTCTAAATCATTCTTTTTTAAATTTAATGCTTAAAATTTAATCATTCTCTTTTAAATTTAATACTGAAAATTTTTAAAAATAAAAACTTAATACTTAATTTTTTTAATGATAAATTCGTTCAATTTAATTATCAAACAACCACTTATTGATTTTTAATTTTTTAAGGAGTAAAGGAATTTTGCCTTTTAAACAAATTAATTGTTATTAAACAAGTAAAGAGATAGGAGACAATTTATGTCTAGCTAGTTAAATTATTTAATGAGCACTTTATAATTATCTAATTATAATTTTTATAAGTTATTTGTGGAAATTATGGAGTTTCTTTTGATTCATAGATATTAGTTTCATTGAGGAGTTAGTACCTCATTTTACTAGTCTTTGCTTAAGCTGGTATGGCCCTATTGAAGCAAATAGTAAAAAGGAAATTCAAGTCCTTTTGGGACTGCTAACAAAGTCTCAAAGACTTGTCATTATATGTCCCAATGGATATAAAATATATCACATCAAAAGAAACACAAAGATGGTCTCCCAATTTGTTGACCAACCTATCAATCTTGCCTCCCATTTATGAATTAAACAGGTGAAGCAAGTCCCAAATAATTTTCTTCATGCCAACCAACCATTAAATATTGATTATATAAATATAATATTTAATTATATTATAATTTTAAAAAATATGTATGCATTAGGATTAATATATTTTTATTGATTATTATTAACAAAAGAAAATTCCAATTTGGTGGAGCATGTTTAGAAAATTCTTCAAGGTTAGTTGAATGTTAGATAAAAATGGTTTTTATGATATTTTTAATTTAAAAAGATGATTTTTAGATTGTATATGACATAGAATAATGATTCAAAAAAATTAAGTAATTTTACGTAGTGATGATTTTAAATTATTATTTTAAAAAATAATTTAATTTTCATCTAAAATAATAAAATTAACTATAATTGCTTGTCTTTCAATAAATATATTGGTTAATTTTAAATTACATATCACAATCATATCCTTTTAAAATGGAAAGGATACCTTGATTACCATAATGTTCATTATTTATTATTGAAGAAAAGGTTAAAATTATTCCATAAATAAATAGAAAAAAATTCAAAAAAGTAGAAAAAATCCAACTAGAGCATTGAGTTGTGGGATAGGACAAACAATAGAATACACTTTGAAAATGCAAGATAAGACCCAATTATTTGAAAGGATGTGAAAGAAAAGACATTTTCTTTTCTAAAGAGGTGGTGGGTAAATTGTTTATTTGTTTTTTTTTTTTTTCAAAGGTGGTGGGCAAATTGTTGGAAGCTTTGTTTTTCAACATTCAAAATTAAAAAAAAAAAAATTCACAACATAAATGAAAATAAAATGTAAAAATAATAATTTTTTAAATTTTTATTATTTTATTTTAATAAAATTTTTTGTATTTAAATAAATTCTTAATTTTTACTTTATATCTAAATAAATTTTTAAACTTTAAATTATATCTAAATAAATCTTTGTCATTTAATTTGTATCAAAATAATTTTTTATTTAAAAAAATATACTTAAATAAAATAAAAATAAATTTTATTTAAATATAATAAATATATAAAAATTTAATTAAATAAAATGATAAAATTTAAATTTTTTTAATATTTTAGTCAAATCAAAACATAAAACCAACCCAACAATAAAAGGTAGAGGTAGCCAGGTCTTTTCATTTCCAGCTCTCTCTCTCTTCCTCTTTTATGATTATGTAATAATTTTTTTCTCTGAATTCTTTGGGGTTTGTTGGTTGCTCTTTAACGAATTTCTGGCATTCCCTTGGGAATAAATAAATAAGAATAGAAGGGGAATTCAAAAAGCTCATTTTTTGTATTTGTCTTTCATGGGCATTCCCTTGATTCCTTGACTCATTTCTGAAGAGTTTCCAAAATCCATTTTTGGAGGTAAAAACCCTTTTTTTTTGTGTTTAATTTTATAGTTTTGATATATTTTCAATATGGGTTCATGGATTTGTTTCTGTTGTTTAATTTTAAGATCCATTTCTCATCTGGGTTTTATTGGTTTATGTTTTAAAAAGGTTTTATCTTTGCTTAATTCAATGGATTAATATATTCTGTATTTATTTTACCTGCTTGCGGGATTATTTATTTTGCTTTTTTTTTTTTATTGTAATTCACATGAGTTATAGGTCGTTTTAGCCAATTTTTATATATTTGACGTCTAAATTTGATTTTTTTTTTTGCCTTTCAACAAATGTGTTTAAGATAATAAATCTGGGCCTGATGTTGAATAGTTGGAGTCAGAAAATGTGTACGCTTTTGTAGTTTTTGTTTGATATATACGGAGAATGATCTATTTGAAACATCAGCTGGAATAACTGTGTGAGATTGCTCCCTGGTTGAAGCTAATTGTCTTTGTAAAATTCATTGCTTCAATGTATTTAAATGTCTTAAAAAGAAGAAAAAAAAAAGCTTTGGCTAGTTTTTATACAACTGGATAGCTTTTTTATTATTCATTGATCTTGTTTGGTAAGGGGCAAAGAAGGTGAGCTTTAAGTCAGCAAGGAAAAGAATCGTTGTTGTTCAATAATTTTTGGGAAAAATAGTGTTTAGATAGAGAAATAAAAGAGGTGAATGATGTTTTGTTGCAGTCCGCAGAGCTAAACAAATAAAAAAGATTTATGTATCATCAGGGACAAAATTGAATTTTAGTATGCCATGTCTGTAGTGAAATTTCTGGGGTTTTTTATTCTTGAAGGTTCTGGGGATGGAGGAGATACAGAAGCCTGACAGTCATATCGCATCAGCTGCAGCTTTTGTGGAAGGGGGAATCCAGGATGCCTGTGACGATGCTTGTAGCATATGTCTAGAGGAGTTTTCTGAAAATGATCCTTCAACAGTAATACCCAAAACCTCAGATTCATTTTTTACTAACCCCTTTCTTCGTGATGTGAATTTTATGCACTATTTTCCTTCATTTCTTTTGTGTGGAAGTACCTCAACTCTACCTTTGCTTGCAGGTGACTAATTGCAAGCATGAGTTTCACCTCCAATGCATTCTTGAATGGTACGTTTCATGTAAATCTCAAAATAATTATATTTCAACTCTATTAGAATTCATTGTTCATGATTACTGCATTTATTTTTCTCACAACTCCTAGCTGTCACCTATGTTTTTGTCCCTTTATTTGACATTGACTGTAGTTCCATGGGAGGGAGAGTGTACGGAGTATCATGTAACTGGGAAAGGAAGGATAAGAACGACTTCTACAAAAGCTAAACATAGACAAAGTATAGCTTTATATACTGTACATTAAACATCCAACTTTTATATCACAAGTCGCAATGTACTTGGACAGATACATATTTGACATAATTATTTGGTATGACTACTTTATTGTATGATGCATTTGAGTCTAACCTGACCGTTTGATGAATCTGATTTTGACATGACTATATGATGAATCCGATTCCCACTTTCATGTTTTCAGATACTATTTTGACTTTGATTTCTTATCTTTTGGTAGCAATAATGGTGCTTAATTTTGTCTAGTTATGTGCTGATAGTTGCTAACTTGCATTCTCATCTACCCTTTTATTTATGTTCGAACTTTTGCTCCCAAACATTAGTTTTTCTTTGCAATTGCTATAACCTGAATTTTGATTAATCAAGATGTCTTAGTTCATGTTTGATCTATTGGGTTTTTGTTCAATTTCTAGCCATTAATATTTGATATTGCTTTGCTTCTTGGATGTAATTAGAGAGCATTGAAGAGTTTGGGATGTCTCTTGTATAACCACCTCTAGATGTCAAATTAATACCTACGTTTCTAACAAATCAAGCACCAAAGAGAGTGGCGCTGATGCCTTTCTTCGGAAACTCGATGCGGATACAAATTTTATTTTTAGGATTTCTATTTCCTAGTTAATTCACCCTATTCATTATCATTTATCAAGTTGCATGAACAAATTATTGAGTTAATTTGGATTGGCGACAATATCTTGGTGTTTAAGCTTAAGTTGAGTTGCATTCTGGAAGTGTATTCTCGAAAGGAAGATATCACCCAACAAAGCTTAAATTTAACACTAGTTTTTATTTATAGGTGCCAGAGAAGCTCGCAATGTCCCATGTGCTGGCAAGCCATTAGCTTGAAGGACCCTACAAGGTTTTACATTAATTCACATATTTTTGCTTTGAATGTTTTCTCATCATAACATCTATGGAGTTGGCTAATAACGTGCAAGTGGTGACAGTCAAGAATTGCTTCAAGCGGTAGAAAGGGAAAGGAGCTTTAGGGTTACTCCATCAAGAAATACCACCATATTTCACCATCCCACCCTTGGTGGTTTTGAATTGCAACATGTATGCTGCCTACAAGTGCTTCTTGGAATCTTTGGTTTACTATTATTTGGCAATAAACTTTGTATGACATTCATCCGTTAAATAGAACTTACATAATTTATGCATTATAATGCAGTTGCCAGTTGGTGTCAATGACCCTGAACTTGAAGAGCGTATAATTCAGCACTTGGCTGCTGCTGGTGCAATGGGAAGGGCCCACCACGCTGGTAGGAGGGAGGGCCAGAGAAGATCATCTGCTCATAGTCATCCACACTTCTTGGTGTTTTCTACTCATCTTGGTGCACAGCACCCTGGTTCTGGATCGTCACCTCTGACTCATATAGCCGGGGAAACAGAAGCAGCTACAATCACCGTAGCTGGTCCATCTAGTCCACTATCGTCTAGAGGAGATGAGTTATCCCAACAGATATCACCATTTCCTTCTGCTCAAAATACATTGGCCTCTGGACCTACTGCCAGTCCAGTGAATAGAGGAGGATTTTCCTTTAATAATCGGTATTTTTTGACTTCTTTTTTCATGCATTTGAATACTCCACGTATTATCTATCTAGTATATTTCTTTTGTTTACGGAAACCCTACTAGTTATTTCTAATCGTGCATGTATCAGCTAGTTGATTAGTTGTCTTTGTCTATAGAAGCACTTCTAGTAATTCCTCATTGCCAAATCAAGAGAGAGCAGGACCATCAGAGTTTCAGTCATTTCCAGAATCTCTGAAATCCAGACTTAATGCAGTGTCCGAGAGGTATGGTGCAAAAATATGATATTCCTATTATAGCAACTCATCAGAGGTGTGGAACTAGATAATGCATATTTTTCCTCATAATTACTAATTTGTTGTTAAAACATCTGGAATTAAAGATACAAGGAGTCGATTTCAAAGAGTTCTAGAGGCTGGAAGGAGAGGTGGTTCTCACGTAACTCTTCCATGTCTCATCTTGGGAATGAAGTTCGGAGAGAGGTGAATGCAGGAATTGCTAGTGTGTCTCGTATGATGGAGCGTCTTGAAACCAGCAAAAATAATAGAGAAAACCAAGCTTCTGTGTCGCATCATTTGGCTGAATCTTCTGTTACAGAGCAAGACAACCAGCACAATGCAGGGGCTCATGGAGATAACCCTTTAAGTACTAGCCCTTCACCTGCTTCACATGCTGCAAGTTCTCTTTCTAAATAAGTTATGAAAAATTATTTCAGCAAATTACATCTATCCTCAGCATTTCATCTCTGTAGGTGAGTCATCATGTTCCTTTGTATTTATCTTTTGATTTTATATTATTTGGGCATCGGAAATTCGGAACCCACCAATAGAGTCATAGGTGGCACTCTTGAAGAATTTGCTGCATTGACGTGATTTATAGCATGATTTTGTGGCACATAGCAATCTTATTAGTGATCACAGCTAAAAGCTCGAAACCATTGCACCTTCCCATGTTTGTTTATTGGCTGAAATTTTAGGGGTAGAAAAATCTGCTTTATTGTAGATCTCCAGTCTTTCAGCAGTTTTATTACTTGTTGCATTTTAGCTTTAATCTTTGTATAATATTCAACAATTTAGCTTGGTTTTTCAGGTTTCCAATCTTGTTTCTCCAGAGATGACATGCTGAGGAAAAGATGCTTTGCATTTGCAAATTGACAAGATTCATGGTGATTGTGGTCTGAATCTGAATAAATTGAGAGGAATTCTGATAAAGAGCTTCCATCTGGACAGAGACTTTTATATGTGTGTAAATTTGTTTATATAAATAAAACCCGATTTAATGCACGATATCTGTATTTAACCATGTCTGGATGGCTGATTTGGTACGGTCTGAATGTTAATTTCTCCTGTGGAGGAGCCATTGATACCGGATGGAATTTAAAACATCCTTAATGCATATTGAAATTTGATAAGAAAATGTCGTCTACATGTTGCTGTTGACATCGATGGACTTGAGAGAACTAGAGAAACGAAATTAGTGAAGGTATTGGCCTTGCCTAGACTTTTCCTTCACAAGCATTCCCCTGCACAATGTCCATGGTGACAAAAACAAAGCTATGCTCAACTGGAGTTTTCTGCAGACTCATTTTAGTTAAGAAGCTAGGGTCTTGTTTCTCCAAGGGTCTCTCTTTCTGGTAGACAATTTGAACCCTGCTACGTTTTGAGTTCCAGGATTTATAGCTTTCAAGTGAAAACAAAAGTTGGTTCATCATGCTGATGCCAATTGTAATCTGATCCATTGATTAGCTACAGATCTAGTCTCTCGGTTTCAGTTTTGCTAATTAATAATTTAAAAAAGAAGAAGACAGAAAAAAAAAAAGATTGTATGAGATAAGAGTGAATTATCTCCTATTTTCTAATCCAAAATTATACTATGTAAGAAAGACACTGACTCAATGGCCCAATGTCCCCCATCCTCAAACTCCAAGTTATGGGCAGTTGGGACACCTTTGTTTCCCTACTTTTTCAGCTCTATCTTCTGGTAGATTGGGTTGGAGAAGGGAAGCCCTCAAGTTTCACAGTTTTGTTAAATCCCCAACAAGAACAATCCACTGTTCTAACCTGCAGAATTTTCCAGGAAAAGCTTGACCCTGTCTTTTACATTTTTTTTTCTTTTCGTTTATGCTGGAAATTCAATAATAATAATAATAATAATAACAGTAAGTTCAGCTTATTGATTAGGAAAAATCATGTGGCTGTGGGCATCTTCAATCGTGGAATCCAAAGAGTATGGGCCCTTAAACCTTTATATCATCGTCACCATCCTTCTCTAATAATTAAGGCATAAATGAACAGTACGTTTGATTAATAATTTATAATGGACTTAAATTTTTTTTTTATATTTATTTACTAAATGAATCAATTTTAAATAAAAATATGTTTAATTTATTTATATTCACCAAAAAAATTTTGTTTAAAAATTGTTTAAAATTCATTGATTGCTGTAAATTTAAAATAATTTATTATTCATGAACACATTTTAATTGTTTAAAATATGTACGTTTGTTTATAAATTTATAAATATATTTATTTAATGTTTGTAAATAAATTTATTTAATTTAAATGAATTGATCTCAAATTTGAATATAATGTAAAATTTTTTTATGAAATTCGAATTGAGTTTAAATAATTTTAAAAATAAATGAATAAATTATAAATATAATAAAATTCATTTATATTTAATTTATTTATATCTTATTATAAAATATTATCAAACAACGTTCCAAACTCCAATTATTATTATTATTATTCTTTTGTGTTTTCACTTTTATTCCTTACAAAAAGTATTCAACAATTTACTCAATGGAATGGTTTGGTTAAAATGTTGAAAGGAAGTGAAATTTGGTTTTCTTTTTTTTTAATTTTTTTTATTTGGGTCAACAGTCAATGGGTTTATATTAGAGATGTAAATGATACATTAGTACTCACAAGTTATTCGGGTTCAATTCAAAAAAAATTCGAATTCAGTTCGATTATTATCGAATCAAGCTCGAGCTCGAGTAATTCAACTTATCAATCGAATCGAATTCGAATATTTTTATATTCAGTTCGAGTAGCTCACGAGCCTAATCAAGCTTTTATATTTAAATATATTTTTATTATTTTAATTAATAAAATATTTCGAGTTCGAATTTGAGCATAAATAATCGAACTTTTATCGAGTATACGAATCGAGCTTATTTTTACATATTAATCGAGTTTAATCGAACGAACTCGAATAATTCAAATTCAATTACGAATAGAGCTTGAGCTTGAAAAATAAAATTCGATTGAATTCGAATCGAATATCGAATCTCGAGTTGTGAGTCGAACTCGAATTTAAACTTCTCACTGTATCGATTCGATTCGATTTGATTACACCCGTAGTTCATATTGCTAACAATAATTAAAAAAAAAAAAAAGAAAAAATTTTCTAAGAAGGTAATTTTAGAGTGCAGTAAAATTCTTGGACAGCACACAAAATTCGATTTCTCACGTGGGTTGGAGAAATAAATCTATTTTAGACCATCAACTAACAAAGATGCTCAAATCTCATCTTTTAAATGTGAGCATCTATTTTTTGGAATTTTCTTGTTTAAAAAAAAAAAAAACAATTTTGGGGTTCTTAATATTTTGATTTATGACATTGTTTTTATATCATAATGGACCGCCATTCATGAATGGACCTATCTTCTGTGCTTAAAAAATATATATATCTGACCTCTAAAATTAACTAGGAAAAATATATGTACCCAAATTGGTTGGTTTGGCATTATTTGAGAATTAAGGATCTTCTACAACTTCTAGTGAAAGGAGCTTAGCTTTTTGAAGCTTCATTAGGTTGTCTTTGTTTTATTGTTTTAATTTTTTAAATGCCTAAGCTATTATCAAATGCATAAAAATTTCTAATTTAAACATCTTTTAAATCAAGAATATTTGCTTTTAAATAAAGTGAAAGTAACATCTCAACTCAAAGGCTACGCTGATGAAACTTGACTTCGAATGAAACAATCCAATAAAATTATTCTATCAACTTGAAGAAAAAAAAATTAGGTTTTACTAATTTTTACATCATATTGTTATCATAATTCTTATGATAAATTAAATTTAAATTTTTTCTAAAATTATGGAATTAGGTTAAACATTTAGATAAATGTCAAAATTCAATCTTTGTCAATTGTAAGTAAAAAAAAAAAATTGTGATTACATTTTACCTAATCAATTTCACCAAATTAAAATCTAGTTAATATTTTACTTAATCCAACAAAAATCAGAACATTTTATCCAAATTTACCCAAGTTAAAAAAAAAAGAAAGAAAAATATAAACCCTTTTTGGGGGTAGAATTGAAAACGGAAAGTAATTAAGCTGAAAAGGGCAAGTGAGAGCGACAAGCAATCTAACGGTGGGCAAGGGGTCACGCGCTGACGGCAGCGGGAAGACTTTGATTGTCTGCCCAAATAGCAAGTGTTACGCGCGAGTTTTAAGACTTCGTTTTGTTTTTGACTTGGCGTAAAAACAAAGGATATTTTTCCTTTTTTTTTTTTTTGCTTCATTTTCGTACACCGACAGCTTGCCTTTGGCTTAGCTTGAAGCCAACATGTGAAATGTTGTCTGTTGCATTATTTTAGCCTCGGCTTCTGTACGAACCGTTCTCCTAGACATGCCCCTTGTTTTGCCCATTACTACTATATGGAAAATCTGTTGAATCTTGCAATGCACAAGCAAAATAACTCACTTAATTTTAAGAGTGCGAAAACAAATTAAAAATTAATTTTAAATTACAGTATTTAATTTGAATCGATTTATTTTATTTAATTTGAATTAAATTTAAATATTAAATACATATAAAATTAACATCAAATTTTAAATTAAAAAAAATTTAAAAAAAATCGAATCAAATTATATATATTTTTAATTATTTTAAATTTTTATAAAATAAAAAAATAATTTTATATTAAAATCTACTTAAATATATTAACATTTTATATTAAAATAATATATAAAAATTAAAAAATTAAAAACTTATAAATAACACTAAATCAATAAAATTTAATTCAATTCTATTTAAATTTAAATTAATTATAAAATTTCGTAATATTATATAATATTTTAAAAAATAAATTAAATTCAACCAAATTCAAATCATTATTACTTCAATTTAATCTCATAAGACTCGAATTTTCAGTTTGAAATCGTCAGCTTCAACTGTTTCAAGTGTCTAAAAGCAAAACTTGCGAGGTGAAAGTACAATGTTTCTCAAATTTTGAGAGGAAAGTTCTAATCTCTCACCTGTCAACATTTTTATGGATAATTTATCCTTAAGATTCTTTAATTATTTGTATACCCCAAAGTTCACTGCAAAAAGTTTCAAAGAATTATTTGAATCAATTTAATATGGTAATTAGGTACTATACTTTAATAATCCCTATATTATATATCAAATATTCCACTCTCAACAAGGCTTTGGATGCTTTCTTACCCATGGCGGGCCATAGCCACAAATATAAAACTATATATTATAAAGCAAGGAATCTGGTTAGTCCAAAAGCTAACAAAAGTTTCCAAAAGCACAGCATTGTTTTATCTAATCAAACACTAAGAAGATGGCATCCAGGTCAACCAATTGAACTTAACCCAAAGAAGGCCTGGCTGGCTCAAGTGTCAAGTTAGAAGCCGAGCAAAGCAAACTCCTGACAAGTGACAGAAAAGGTCGACCACCTCCCTCGTGTGGTCCCCCATCCAGGCTGTCTCAACCTCTTAAAGTTCTCTCTCACCACCTTACAATCGCAAAGAAACCTCACCAAAACAAATCCCCCAAGGCCCAAACCTTTTTCTTCTTCATCACTTCCATTGGATTAATATTAACAGTACATATTTCTACTTCATCCTGCTGCATTATTTTCCGAGTCTTTCTCTTTGTATTTGCCTTTGGGGTTCTGTCCCACTTCTCTGACTCTTCCCCAAGCATTAATCACCAAACTCTCCCTCTCTTTCACTTCACTCCCTCTCCCTCAAAATCCCAAACCCAAATTCTCACAATCTTCAAAAATCTCATCTTGGGTTTTTGTCAAGACTGTTTCTTTGAGCACCATGGATTCTCCCATCTATGGTGTCTCTTCCTCCAAGATCTTCCTTTTCTTCTTCTTCTCCTTTGTTTCGTTTGTCATTGCTGCATTGCCTCAAAACCACCCATCTGGGAAATTCCTTGTTTCATCAGCTTCCGGTCAGATCAACTCAAACTCGGTCCTTGTTGCTCTCCTTGATTCACATTACACTGAGTTAGCCGAACTCGTTGAGAAAGCTTTACTTCTCCAGACTCTTGAAGAAGCGGTTGGCAAACACAATATTACCATTTTTGCCCCTCGTAATGAAGCCTTGGAGCGGCAACTAGACCCGGAATTCAAACGGTTCTTACTTGAACCCGGAAACCTTAAGTCCCTCCAAACCCTTCTCATGTTTCACATTATTCCCAAACGAGTCGGATCCCACCAATGGCCCGATCCTAAAACCGGAACAGTCAAACACAGCACCCTGTGTAACGACCATCTACACTTAACTTCCACATCCAACGGCGAGAAAACTGTAGACTCAGCCCAGTTGATTCGACCCGACGATGTAATACGACCCGACGGAGTGATCCACGGGATCCAGCAGCTCCTCATTCCTCGTTCCGTCATAGAAGACTTCAACAAGAGACGTAATCTGCGGTCAATCTCCGCCGTATTACCAGAGGGTGCGCCAGAAGTGGATCCTCGCACCCACAGGTTGAAGAAGCCAGTGCCGGTGCCAGTTGGAGCACCACCGGTGCTCCCAATCTACGACGCGATGGCTCCAGGTCCTTCCCTGGCACCGGCGCCGGCTCCGGGACCTGGCGGACCTCATCATCATTTTGATGGTGAGAGTCAAGTCAAGGATTTTATCCAAACTTTATTACATTACGGTGGGTATAACGAAATGGCTGATATTCTAGTTAACTTGACTTCTTTAGCAACGGAAATGGGGAGGCTTGTTTCCGAAGGATATGTTATAACGGTCTTGGCTCCGAATGATGAGGCCATGGCGAAGCTTACAACTGATCAGTTAAGTGAGCCAGGTGCGCCCGAACAAATTATCTATTACCATATTATCCCTGAGTATCAGACTGAGGAAAGTATGTACAATGCGGTTAGGAGGTTCGGGAAAGTGAGATACGATACGCTGCGTTTACCGCATAAGGTCGTGGCTCAGGAGGCTGATGGTTCGGTGAAGTTTGGTCATGGTGAGGGTTCGGCTTATTTGTTTGATCCGGATATTTATACGGACGGGAGGATTTCGGTTCAGGGAATTGATGATGTTTTGTTCCCGGAAGAAGAGAGTGAGACTGTTAAGAAACCAGCTGCTGTTAAGGTTGCTTCCAAGCCAAGGAGAGGTATGTTCTTTTCTTCTAGTTTCATTGACTCTTTCAACTTTTTTTGGTTAATTAGTTAGGTTATCCATTTAATTGATTATTGTTGGGAAATAAATTGATAAATTATGCAGCTTTGAGCTTATGATTGGTTTGATTTTGATTAGAAATTAATGGAAAATTTTAAAGAAAATGAAAAGAAGGGGAAGTTAAGGAACTTGAAAGTGCGAATTCGATTAGTGGCATGGAATTGCTTCAGATTCAGGGAGTGACTTTGGATGATTGATGTTTTTGGTGGTGGGGCTGGCTGATGGGAATCATGGAAAACGCGTTTTTAATAGCGGTCTCTTTTTTGGCATGGACTTTATGCCTATGTAGCGTATGGAAAGGAAAGCTGGGAGCTATCTTTGCTCAGCATTACAGAAAATGTGCCAATAACATTGTGCCATATTAAATAAGGAATGATTCGATGATGTGATTATTGACTGAATTGTTGGAATATGATACGAGTATATGGCAATATGGGGCATTGGCATTGTTCTTTGTCTGGGAAGTGCCACTCAATTCTTCATGGAGAGAGAGAGAGAGAGAGAGGTAAAGTGCAGAAAGTTCTGAGCAGCAATGCTTGGTTTCACTTTTGAGTAAGGATTGCCAAGACATGGAATTTAGGTCGGAAAGTGGGGAATGGGAACTTGGAAATGCTGTAGATTTCTTGGGGAAAAGTGAAAAATCCAGATAATCATAAGTTTTGTACTACTCTAAGCTACAATATAATAGTCATTTGATACAAGTATAGAAGTGAGTAGATGGAAGGGTGGATGAAGGTTCTGTAACTACTAGGTCAGAATTATTTCTCAACTTCATTGCCCATGCCACCGACGGATCCATGTGAACAAAACTCCTAGAACATTAGAGCTAAAAATCCAGGACTGCCCAGCTGTTAGCCACATTCATCTACCCCACCACAACTTTATTGCCAACAATAGCTTACATATAATTAATTCCCATGCCTTATTATAATTTGTGAACGTATTTGCAATCAGCTGGCAAGATTTGTTGTGCAATTGTTCTCTACTTATTATTAGCTGTCCTTAATTTTATATAGGGGCTTCATGGTTGGTGCCAAGTTTTGTGTTGAATTATTCAATTTACGCCACTTAATCATGTGTTGGTGTTTCATATTTGATCATGCAGGGAAGTTGTTGGAAGTAGGATGTTGGATGCTTGGTACACTTGGACAGGATTTGCGATTTCGATCATGTCAATGAATGAATAATATAAAAGTTATAGTTTCAAGAAGAAAAAAGGAAAGGAAACGAAGCAAAACAACTGAAACAAAGGTGAACGATGCTTTCTCCGAGTAAAGATGCTTTTGCCATTTGCAGTTGTAGAGTTAGATTTTGTGTCATAATACACTGAAAGGGAAGCGCCCCTGGTGATGCTTGATATATCCTCAAAAAAAATCCCCATAGAAGAGAGAGTTTGGTGTTATTTTGTCATAAATATTGTAATTACATACCATTTTTATTATTTTTGTGTATGATTCACTGCCTTTTAATAATGCATAATGCATGAACAACCTTGGAAAAACCAATCTTTTCATCATATCAAGGGTTCTGTTCTTTTTTTTGACCTGTTTGTGCATTCTTTGCCTGTGAATCAAATTCAAAGCTTTGCCTCCTATTCTTCTTTTAATTACTTTCCCATGCCTGGTGGTAGTTGAATGGTTAAAAACAATAATAATGGCATTGAGGCGACATAGCTAGCTGGCTGGTCTTTCTCATTGGTTGGTATTCCTTTTGTCCTTATGCAATTAAAAGGAGCATCGTATAATCACCAATTATTTTGATCAATGTAATTTCAAGGGAATCCTTTGGAACTTTAGGCAAATTTCATTTTTCAACTAGTCTTCCAGGTAGATTTCTAGCTTATTAGGCTTTCTCGTATGCCTTTTCCTGCACAAATAATTTGCTTGAGATTAAGACAGCCTGTAGGCATGGACCCCAGACACCAGCTCACACCACGACCTAGACTGGTTGGAAGCATGCTGAGACAATGGCATATAAAGATGTTGTACCTTATTTTTCCTAATAAATAATGTAACAGCTGCCAATGGTAAGATAATCAATCTCATCTCAACAATATTCATATATATAAAAAGCAATTTTTTCTCGTCTCATCAATTTTATTCCAAAATAAAATCATCAGCTCTAACTGTTGAAGTGTCTCTTCGAGAATATAATAATTATATTCTAATTTTCATAACAATAAGGACTACATTACATATACAATATAATAGTAGATAAGTTAAACAAATACTAAAAACTAGTATAAGTTATGAAGGTAATGGACAAAACGGTAACAACCCAGATTTGTTGAGATCGAATTTTCAAGTTAACATCTCTTCTGTAACTTAAAAGAATTATTGTTACATTGGTAGGGATATATGAATAAATATATAGAGAGATCGGTAAGGATAGGGATTTTGATTCCATCCACTATGTTCTTTTAAAAAGTAAGATTACTTAGTATTGAAGTCTATTACAGTCCCCTTTTATCAAAGAATTAGAGTTAAGCACGTAGTATTAGTTAGTTGTCTTCGAGAATCTTCCAACAGTTAAAATTTAATATTTCAAGACAAAAATTTCGTGTTTGAGAATGTTAAAGACATATTTAAATAAAATCGTATTAAAAAAAATCTTAATTGATTAGAAGTCAATTTATTAATATTTTTATAAATAAATTATATATATTAAGATTTAAATTTCGTATCCGTTGATCCAAAATTTTAAATTAATTGCAAAGAATAATTATGTTAAATTCTAAATTCTATTGAAAAATATCAAACTAGTATTCAAGATGAATCATTGAGGTTTCTTTTGTTTTTGCTTTTCAACACTTTGAGCTTGAGGTGGCGGCAAGAGGAGCCTGTTCAATCAGCAAATACCTTGGCTCGAGTACAAGAAACCCAATGTAAAGCAAAAGAAAAAGAGAGAAAAAAAAAGGTGCAGCTAATAATTCAGGTTACAATTAATCAAACAAAAGATAACAAGTGTGGCTGCTACCTTTAACCAAAGCTATGAAAAAAAAGTAAAGCTATAGAGTTTTTGTTACAGTTAAAAGGTTGAAAAGAAGTAAAGATTATTCAGAGTCGTCCAGCTGCCCCTAGTTGAGTTTCTTAAGGAATTGCAGGAGGTTTCATGCACATGGTCAATTTGTATATTTATTTTATAAATTTCTTTTGTGGGGTGGGAGCAATTTCTATATGTTTTTCTATTTCTTAAATCCTGACAAAAAGTAGTAATAAATTGCCATAAACTTAGGATCATGACAACGTGCACTTGTTGAATTCAAGCAAGATTGCAATCTGTTCGATTTTTTTTTTTCTAGCCTCTTCCATTATTAATTCAAAGGGAAGATTGATTTTAGATATTTTGAACCAAAGGATTTTACCAGTTGTTTGCCTCCAAAACAAATTGATAACAATTTATATTTTTATATATTCAAGAATTATTTATTTTTTATTTGAAGAAGGCAATTGAATCTTAAATATTAAAATAACAATAATAATAATTTTTTAAAATATATTTTAAAATTAAAATTAAACGAAAAAACATTTTTTTGTTAATGTATTAAGATCTGGTTTAACATTATTAGCTCTTTTTCAAAGACGTTAAGGTATAAAATTGCAATTTGTCCTTTTTCCTGCTATTGGCAGGACTTACCATATGTACCAAAGGAAAAATTGTACATATACTTATGGTTATAGCTTTAGCTAATGGTTAAAAGTAGCATAAAAACCGAGAATAAAGACAGCAGCTAGGGGATAGATTGACATCAAAGTTGCAGTTGGAAGGCATATATAAATCAACTCCTATCAACAATTGATTCCCCATCAAGCATTCTCTTGATTTCTCATCTTCTCAGAAAGGTGAATACATCACAAACAATTAGACTGCTACTTACTATCTTTGTTAAAGGTTCTAATGATGCCAGCCAGCTTGCTTGCTTTGCAAGTGAAAGAAAGAGTTTCACCATTTATTGTCCTGGTAATTCCTTGGAAGAGCAGGAATTGCCATGAAAGTTACACAATTTATCTTTATCTCAGACTCCAATTTGTGCATGACTAGTCCTGGAAGGGAAACATGAGGAAGATCATGAATTACCCAGAATATCATCAGCCATCTAAGCTATGTGAACAAGGATGATATACTTCAAGGCAGTTACAAGTTGTATGTCAGGTCATAGTCATACAGCGCTTACCAGCAAAGACAGAGCAATGTTTATGTCCTCGACAGACACATTTTGCCTAATAATTCGAAAGAAAGAGAATCCCACCAAACACTTTCAATAGAATTTAATAAAGGAAACATGATTGCAATAACCTGTTGGTTCATATGTAACTTATAATGTGTATGGTAACCCTCCAAAAAGAATGTCATGATCAACTTACAAATACTATTCACAACAGCATGAAACTTGAAATACAAAAAAAAAAAAAAATGAACCTATTAACACAAGGCCTGAGAATCATGTTCTTCAACCTCCGACTGTGACTTGACGGGGCATAATCTCAGGGCTGGCCAAACTTGGAATTGGACCACCATTTTGAGCAGGATTTATTTCGTCTGCCACAGTTACAGAATCCTCACATTGGGGAAGGTTGACAGGATGGTTCTGGTTTTCTTCAGGTTTCGCAACACAAGTATCCTGCACAGGGTTCTCCACCCTCCTTGCTTTTGGTTTTGCCTTTCCAGGCTTTTCTTCAGCTTTAGTGATCTCCTTAGATTGGGATTTCTTTAAAGCCTTCTTGGAAGCAACATTATCTTCATTACCATTGGTTTGAGTTCTTTTGGTTAAACCATTCTGTTCTTGGTTCAAAGATGGGCTAACACTAGAACCATCACCTTCTGAAGGGTTGTTTGTTGCAGCAACGCTGCTCTTGTGCCTTCCAAGCTTTGGGGATATTGCACGCGTAGTTGGTATCTATGACAATTATGGTAGTTATTAGATGATTGTAGTATAGATGAAAGGAAGATAGCACAATAAAGTAGGAGAGAAGCCAAAAATGCTGCAAGATAAATAGATTTGATCCATTTCTAAGAGTCTAAACTGTGTACATTTTGCCTATTTGCATGTTTTGCATATTACTGGAAAGACTGCTCAGTTTGTCGGATAACTTGCCAATGCACCACATGAAAATGCATTAGATTTCTGGTCATCTATTAGATAGTTAAAAAAAAATAGTAGTCACAGGAAGCTGGGTAAGTGGGGAATCTCATTTCTAGTCCTCTTTATTGCAAAATAAGTTGATATCTTTCCTTATTACATGACTACTTTGTGTGTGTTAATGTGCTTCATTTAGAGATAAAGCTCTCAGGTTTGGTGAGAAAATGCATTATTTTTACCAATGTTTCAAGGTTAAAGTAGAAGGGTAAAATCTTAATCTGACTAAAAGTTTCTCTTGGTCAAGCAAAACTACTTAATAATGCCAGAGCATTAACTTTAATTGAAGACAGAACCTTAAAAAGCAAAGTTCAACACCCTGCAAAATTTTAAGTATTTTCTTCACCTACAGCAAATTTTATCTTGACGGTTGACACCTGCCTTTTTCTCAATCTTCAAAAGAAAATCAATGAATGATAATTGAGAAGGCTGTAGTTCCCAATCCTTCATGGCACAATAGTAAAAACAATTCAATGTTCAAGGTATAAACATCACAATTACCACCATCACGCAACATAAAAATGATTAAGCGCTATGATAAGGTAATAGGCATATCCAAAATATTCAAAGGATGATGTCAGTTTAAAAGAGCATATATGACCATGGTGAAGAAATTAAAAAATTTATGACAAAAGAATTTATGCCAGCATGAAATAGTAATTAATAAAGAAAAAAAAATCAATTACCTTCTTGAGTTCAACTTTTGGAGGAGGTTCCTTGTAGAAACCTGGCATTGGTGCAGCTTTAAAAGTCAAGGTCTTCCTTAATTGCTTAATTTCTGCCTCCTGGTTCTCCTGCATGACTCAACAAACCATAGAATTAATGAAATGCCAAGATAGAATGAATTGAAGCAGAAAAGTTGAAAAACATAATTACTTGATAGAGAAAAAAAAAAGAAAAATATTTTCATCAGGTAATAGTTATAGAGAACAGTCATTGCCAAGACCTTTGATTTCGCCTGCAAGTTATTCTTTTCAACTTCCTTTGCATGGATCTTCTCTTCTAGCTTAGAAAAAAACTGGTGCAAAAGTTCATGAAACAATTACTTATATACTTAACGTAATTAAGGCTATTAACAGCATAATGGATTGATGTACATTTCCAACCTCCTTTCTCTTTTCAGCACGCTCCTCCAACCTGAAGGTGAATACTGGCCCACTACTTCTTCTAGTGCTACGAGAAGTGGCACAGCTAATGATTAAGACCAAAATTCTCAAGCATATCAATTAAAAGAGAGTAATTATAAAATGAGTTGCATAGCAAATGCAGTTAAAAGACAGTACGAAGTAGTGGAATGGGCATCATCATCCTCTTTGCTCAGCAGTGCAGCTGTAGGCTTTGAATCAGCTGATCTACAATCACACAAAGTTTGTTTACACTATAATTAAATCGGAAGAATTAAACTTATGAGTTATATTCAATTGTTTCCCCTCTGTTTATTTGAATTCCCCCAACCCCACCCTTTTTTTTTTTTTAGCAGTGGAGTTGGGATGTTGGATGAAGGAGCAAAGGGATCTATTTTGCATACAAGTTTTATGCGAATTTAACATAAATATAAATGCATTACAGTAAATACATAACCAAAGTAGAAGAGCTTAAACAGTGTGCATATGGTTGATGATATGGTAACTAAGACTTACTCGGAGGATGAAGAGGACTTAGCAGCAACATTCCCAGGACCGGATTTTGCAGGCTGATAAGCAAAGACAAAGATAAAAGAAAGAGAGGCATGTAGAAAACCACAGAGAAAAAAGAAAAGAAAAAAATGATATCACAAAACCATACCACAGCTTGCTTATTGCTAGGCAAAGATGCTAAAGTAGTCCTCCTGGCAGTAACTCCACCATTTGCATTTGCCGGCTTTGAGTCCAGATTGATGGATCCACGCCTGTTGGGATGATTCAAACGGGACGACGAAGGAACTGATTCATTGGAAGAAGGGCCCTGAACTTTTGTGCCTTTTTCTTGGGCATGTTTGAGATCAGTTTTCTCCGGATATCCATCAATGCTCTTCACGAGACCATCCCCATGGACTCTTCTTGCAGGAAATGAAAGACTCTGGGACAGCACAGGCCTCTGATTACGAGAAATTGGAACAGCACTTCTCAGATTAGATTTGTCCTTTGTCACCTTACTGTTCTTTGCATTACCACCAGTCAGGTTACCAGGTTCCTACACGTAGAAACAGAAAAATACACATAAAAAAAAGGAAACAAAAAAAGAAACATCTAAGCTGCAAGAAATTATGTAATTGATCAAAACAAAAAGAGTAGCTTGAATGCATGGTACGTGGTACCTTTAAGGGTTTTGAGATTTTACTTTTGGAGACATTTGCAGCGGCTTTACTTGCCTTGCCTTCAGATTTTGTTCCCTGCTTGGAAGCTTCCTTCAAATCTGAAGCCCCTTGACCATTAACATCAGCATTCTGTTCCTCTTTCTTTGCTTCTGTAGCAGATTCTCCTACATCTGTTTTGTCACTGACGATTCTCTCTTCAGTTAGCCCGCTTTCAGACTCCATTGTTCAGCAAAGGACGAATATTTCCTGCAAAATTACAAGTGATAACCATCAGCATCAAATTAAAATGTCAAAAAAAGTAAAAGGCTTTAGCCAAAATCAATGACATTGCTAAATTAGATTATGAGACTAGAGAATTCAACCAAAATCTAGCTATAATGAGTGATCATTGTACTGAATCTATATGGCATACATGTTCCCTTCTCACATTCTCTCCTCAAAAACTGCAAATAAGGTTAAAATTTAACCAAAAGCTGAAATGAGAATCACCCTTAGAGAGAAAAAGCGATTGAACAACAAGGATCCAATTAAAATTCTACAATTCACCCACAGAAAAACCCAATGGCCAAAAAAATAATAATAATAAAAGAAAGGAAAACCCTCATGTCAAAAAATCAAACCTTCATGAATATAACCAGATAGAAATAACATAAACTCCCAAAAAAAAAAAAAAAAGAAACCAAGGCTTACTAATATTTGCAAAGCAATTACCTTGCTTACAAGAATTTAGACTGAAGAGAACCGAAATGCAAAGCTTGAAAAGCAAATGAAGAAAGCACTGAATTTGATTAAAAAAAAAAAAAAGAAAAAGAAAACCTCGACAGTTTAATAAAGAAGTGCCAAAATCTGAAACTAAAAGTTATAAAGATCCAAAGTGGGTTTTCGATTGAGAAGCTCAGTGACACTCTGCTTCATACAAAGGAGGTAGCTTTTGGAGTGTTCACAGAGAGAGAAAGAGAGACGGGGAGAGAGAGAGAGAGCGTGTGTATGAGCGTCTAAAGTAGGACGAGCATTTCAATGAAGTGGATAGAAAGATTGATGATGGACAGCCAAATGACTGTATTGCCACTAATCTAATGGGTAGTTTCTTGCTCCAAGTTGAAGCTTTTAACTACCCTTTTTCAAATTATGAATCATTATGGAGGGAATGGAATGAAATCAAAGAGCATTTGCTAAATTCCATAAAACAAAACCTTGTCAGATAAAACGGTAAATGTTGGATCAATTATTGTCTACAAATAAACTTTGTTAGGCAGATTTTTTCCAAATTCTTTGGATAAATAAACTACATTAATTTTTTTAAAAAATAAGATTAAGATGAAATGTGTTGATTCAATATTGAATTTTGTTATTGAATTTCAATTTTATTAAAATTTTCACTGTATTTTTAACTTCATTAATTTTTATAAATATTAAAATTAATGAAAATGGTAAATTTAGCATGTTGAGGTTAAACATAAGAAATTCTATTTTTTAAGAGATTACAATTGGATATTCAATTTCTACTATGTAGCCCTCTATGTACTTTCAATAAACCAAAGCTTTTGTTTTGTTTTGTTTTTGTTTTCCTTTTTCTTTGCCTTATCAATGAAAGTGAGAATCATAAATGAGAAAATGATTATTGAAGGTTTCTCATTAGAGGGTTTCAACTCAGAATTGGCTGCATTCAATTAGAAAAGGACAAGTCAAGTTTTATTGGGAGAAAGGGGTTGTGAAGTTGTGGGGAGTTCAAGTAACATGTTCATTGGCATGTGGTATTGTACATTACAATAAATAAAATGGCCTATCTCTTTGGACAGTTTGAGGAGAAATGCACAAACATCCCCACTACTTTTCCACATGATATGATCAAATCATTTTCAACGTGATGTATTGACACGAATTTAATACAAAACAGATATAATTACACGAATTATAAATTATGATAATTAAAATGCAGTTATTTTTTTAAGTAAAAAAGTTGAAATGTGGAAATTTAAAAATAAAAAGTGAAAAAAAAAAGAGAAGTGAAATGGAAAATTATGCTAATGTGTTGAGCAAGATTTGATCCTACCACCTAACTTACCAACCAGAACTAGAATTGTAGAATCCCATCTTAATCTTTAATTAGGTGGTTCTTGATATCCTTTTAACACCTAAATTTGTCCTTAATTAGTGGGTTAAGCAAGGGCATTTTAGTCCAGGAGGAAACAAAATTCATTGCTTAAAATGGATTAAGGTCACAACCAACACAATGATTGAACAGAAAAGGAAAAACACAATGCACTGTTGGAGAACGTGGAATAGAGGTTCGCAAACCCAGGTCACAGCCGGGTATGGCCTACGCCCATCCTAATGATGACGTGGCAAGACCGAGGAACATGATTGGTCTCACGTTGGTGCAACCGAGTAACAGCTGTCAGAGAACGTGCCTAGTAGAAGTAGAGGATTTGTTCGTTTGGAGAGACCGAAAACCCCGCGGTTGGTTCCCGCTTCTTTATCTTTTTAAGGTAAAGGAAAATCTCAGCCGTTGATGATAAGATGGTGGGTCCCAATCATAGCCCACGTTTGATGTGATTGGAGGTTTTCTTTCCTTTTTTTTTTTTTTTCCTTGTTTGTTTGCCTTGTTGTTCCAGCCCGTGTACACTACGCGCTTCATGGTTGCACTTTGCATGTGAAGTTTTTGTCATTGTCTCAATTTGTGAATTGGAAAATTACTTCAAATTCGTCCGATAATCATTTCAGAATCCGATGCAAATTTGCGGTAAGAAAAATAAATTATGAGAGTTAATTCTATCGTAAGAAAAGAAAATAAAAAAAAAATATTAAGATATTTTATATCATTTACGGGTTGAATTTTGATAATTAAAATTGATGTTAGGAGACGATCGACAACAATTCAATTAAAGATAATTACAAAAAAAAATTAAATGAAATCATTATTTAAAAAATATAAAAATAAGGATGAATATGTCTTTTTAATTAAAAAATAATTAATCACTTAAAAAACAACATGTCTTTTTGTTTTAAAATAATAACTATCCACTTAAAAAAAACTTAATTCTTTTTTTAATTATTAATTTTTTTAAAACAAAACCTCCCAAAACATTTTTATTAATTGTTTTAAACGTTATAATCATTATCATCTTGTAAATCCTCCCTTCAATTTTGAAAGACAATTTCAATAAAAATATAAACTTTGAATGGTTATATTTCATTTTCTCATATAGAAAACAAATCCCATTTATATTCCAAAAAAAAAAAAATCTCTTTATAAAGTAAAGGTGAATTTGCCTTATTCCATTCCATAGAAATTATTACATCCATGATAAAAAAAAAAAAAAAAAGCCCAAATAGAAAATAAAAACCAAAGCAATGATCCTGAATTAATGGATGCTGATAGGCTACTTCTAATCAACCAAATCAATTATGATCCCTAATAATGCGGGGGTTATATTCCATTATTATGATCCCATTATTAGCATAGATTCATTTTAAGAAGGAATCAAGACAATCCACTATAGATGTTCATCAATAAATTCACAACTTTGATTCAGCCAACTAAGGTCTTGTTTTTGGTTTTTGTTTTATATTAAGGTGAAAGTTGGGGTCGCTGGAATCGATCCAAAACTTTACAACATTTCACAAATCTTTTTTAAGTGGCTCGATCACGAGATTTCTTATTGTTCTTAAGTGAATTAAGAATTACTAGTAATACTTAGTAGCCCGGTTAAGGAAAGGGCTACTTAATTTTATTATGTTAATAAATGGAAAGTGACTTTGCACTAACCTTGCATAAAGAAACCAAGTTAATTTGGCAAAGACGTGAGTAAATTACACATAAAATCATTGACTCTAGTCATTAAATTTTAATTTGTCATTGAAATTTAATTTGTTTTAATAAAGTTTTTATACTTTAATTGTGGATCAAATCTAATAAAATCCAGCCAAAAAAGTTAGGAAAATTGACATGACAACCAGGTAAGATGCCATCGTTCCAAATCTACATCATTTTTCTCATTTCATCTCTCCTTATTCCATTCTTTCCATTCACTCTTTACTCTCTCAATATGCTCCCTCTCTTTCTCTTCACTCTCCCTAAAGTGCAACAACGTTGAACCACAATATCCACCACCACCACCACCACCACCATGCTAGCATCAGAAACCCACAATTCAACCGCCTCAATTTTAATCAACATTGAACCACAAATCAAATACAAATACATTTACACAATTAAATTACGTAGTTTTGAGAGGATAAAAAAAAAGGAGAGAAAGAAAAAGCTTATGTGGTAACTTGAATGACAGAAACAAAAGTTATATAAATGTCATATCATTTTTTTCGTAACTTGTTTGAATAGATTATGTTAGAGTGATTAAATTTGGTACATATTAAAGTTCAATGATTTTATTGAAACAAATTAAAATTTAATGAATTAAAATTCAATGACTCCAATAAAAATTAAGTGAAAGTTTAGTGATCCTTTTGTAATTACAATAAAGAAAAGGAAAGTAAAGAAAATTTGGTTCAACAAAATCTAAATGAGGGATGTAATAACTTTTCATACTAACAAAATCCAAACTTTTATATGATATCAGAAAAAAAAAAAAAAAGATGGGAGAAAAAGACTTCTTTCAAAATGGGGTTGTTTTATTTATAATCTTTAGTCTTAATTACATTTTTTCTATTCTATTTTGCCTCCCCTTCATATCAAACAACTAGGAGAATAATAGTATTTTTTTCTTCCTTCCCCTTATTAATATCTAGGGCTTTAGGCTTCAATATCCTTTAATTTTCTTCTCTAATTTCTTTCCAAGACAAATCATCCTAATATATCTAGCTATAATCCATATGTAACTGAAAATTTCAAGTATTTGTTGGATATATATTTCATATAATTGGTGAAAAGCATGTAAAGGGTTAGATCAACAAACATTGCTAAAAATCTTCTCTAGAGTTTTTTAATTTTAAGGGTCTCATTTTCCTTTTTTATTTTTTTATCCAACTCTTCTTTCAATTTCTTAATTCAAAATTTGATTCCATTTTATTAGCATGGCAAGTGAAATACTATCACAAGAGTTTAGACTGTTTGGAGAGTATATATAGCTTTATTGGTTTTTATAACCTCTTATTTAATAAAGAAATTCCAAATTTAAACCATCTCTTCCACAAAGGGAAAGCATTGTGATGCTGTTTGTTTATATCCAAAAAGGCCCATGATTTAAGGAGAATGTTTGAAAATAAAAACAAATAGCAACCACCAAAAGAGGTTCTATTTGTAATATATTTAGGAGAACCAAACATGACTTAAAATGTTATACTCCACTTTTAAGATTAATTAGCAGGTGACACATGAAAAAAAAAGACACGTGATAGTTTCTTAATCTCGCATATGAAGTTAAAAAATTATATTATTATGTATCAAATACGAACTCTTGCTCACTTATGATCTTCCTCAAACTTTGAAGAGCTAAACTAAAGCTAAACTCTAAAAAGTTTGGAAAAAACTAAAGATAAAGCCCTAGTTGACTATATCTTGTCAACAAACTGGCAATGCCTCACTAAATGTGACGCTAAAACCTTTACCCTGACGACCTTTCCTGCCAAATTCAGGATTGCCTTTCTGCATCATGGCCACAAATTCATTGTAATCTATCCGGCCATCCTGAAAAGAAAAATGACATGAAGTGAGACATACATGATTGAAAACACACAGGTTTGAGCATACATCCTAATTAAATTAAATTCTAGACATGAAACAATAACTGATGTAGGCATGGATTAGAGAAGCTTACATTGTCCTGATCGACTTCTCGGATCATTTCATCCAGGCGGATATCCTCAATACCAAACTCTTGACAGGCTTTTTGTAGCTCATCTTGAGTAATGTAGCCACTTCCATCTCTGTCAAAATACGAGAAGGCTGCAAACAGATTATCTTCCTTCTCAACCTTGTTTAGATGCAATGTTGCAGCTACGAACTCTTCATAATCAATTGTACCACTATTATTGACGTCTGCCTGCGATTTCAGGACAAACCGAAAAGAATCAGAAGAAGTTATTTAGATTAGGAAGGGGGGGTAAAAACAGCATGATCTTCATATTGAACAATTTGATGAAGCATTAATCATTTCAAATATGTCTGATAAGGCCTTTTAAGTCATGGGATTCTGAAATGAAACTTACAGCCTGCATTAGAACATGAAATTCTGACTCAGAAAGATTGGCACCAAATCTTTTCATTCCATCTTTGAGTTCTTCATAAGTGATTTGACCACTATTATCAATGTCCATCATCTTGAACATTTCCTTCAACCCGGCTATTTCTTCCTCAGAAAGTCTCTGGGCAATGACCTAAATGAAATGAAACAAAAGAAATGAAAAAGGAGCTAGGAACAAGGCTAAGTCATTTGTGATAGCGGGATTTTGTGACTTGAAAGAGTTTCACTTCATTTGTATCGCTTCAGAAGATTTGGAGACCAATGTTTGCAAGAGATAGGCCTATGTTTCACTGGCAGAAACTTACTCTCAAGGCCATTTTCTTAAGCTTGTCCATTGCAGAAAACTGCTTCATTCGGCTTAAGACTGCAGAATCAAGTGGCTTGTCAGGAGCCACCCCATCAACCTGAACCCAAGGGTGGCCTGAAAGGAACCAAAATAAAATTAGCAAATTCCTCAAATTCCATAGTCAAACAGCAAAGAGTCATCCAGCTTAGGCCAATATTCTTAGAATCCTGATAATTAATATTCTTTTACATTTTGTCTTTATAAAAACCAAACTGTATGATATGATCCTTGATAACAACTCTCCCATAGCAATTATGAACAAATATCACAATTTGGATTAGTAACAAATGAAATGATGGCCTGCCAGATGACCCAAAGCTATTAATAACCAACTAAATACATGAAAAGGATCGGGATTCAAAACGCCACAGTCATGTTATCAACATCTGAGTTCTCTAATACTCATCGATCCCAGCTTACATAGTACAAGAGACTTACTTAGTACTTCATACGCAGTTATCCGCTTTTTGGCATCTCTGACAAGCAATTTTGTCACTAGATCTTTTGCACTTTCTGAGATACTAGGCCAGGGATCAGATGTGAAGTCAAGATCACCGTGTAAAACCTCATCAAATATTTCTTTTTCAGTTTCTATATGAAAAAGCACATATAGACCAATTGTTAACCACAAAAATGCTCAAAGTGCAGAGTTCAAATCAGATACTATCTTAAAATTTTCAATAAGAGAAATGACATCTAATCTGATGAACTCTTACCACCCCAAAAAGGAGGCACCCCACTTAAGAGAATGTAAATGATCACCCCAGCACTCCACACATCTGCTTCTGGACCATAACGCTTTCGCAAAACTTCAGGTGCAACATAGTATGGGCTTCCAACCACATCAGATAAGATATCCCCTGAAATTTTAAGACCTTCAGTAAGAAAGCTACACCATTTCTGATTGCACAGACAGCTTCACAACATTGTGGAGAAGTCTCTAAATTTTTTTTTTAATCTTATAAATGAAACGGATTTATAACATATAACTAACATCCATTGAACATAAAAATGTACTGCAGTCTGCATCCAATCCTGAACATCATATACAAATTTTATAACCTAAAAGAATTTAAAATTTCATTTGGTTTTTATCTTTGATAAGTCACTATTTGTTTTGTTTCCAACTATTTATATTTTATATATCTAATTGAAAATGAGTACATCACTTAAAAGTGTTAAATCAATTTAAATATAATTGCTCAAATTATACCAATTAATAGTATTTCAAGTTCCTTGACTTTGAAAATAAAATTGAATTATAACCAAAAAAGGGAAAATTTGAGAATCATTCTTAAGCTTTTAAATTCAACATGAATTTTGCACATACGTACGTTTACAACAATGCATAACAGCAATTGAGATTTAAGTCAAAGAAATGCAGAAACAAAAAAATGCCCAAAAGAGAAGAAATTTGAACATACCAGGCTTGAAGAATATTGATAATCCAAAATCAATGGCTTTAAGGGGTGAATCCTCCTCCTCATTAACAAAAAGAAAATTTTCCGGCTTAAGATCCCTATGCATTACTCCCATGGAGTGGCAGGCTTCTATAACACCAACTATGATCCTTGCTAGTTCAGCTGCCTTTCTTTCAGTATAATGCCCTCTCTTTACAATTCTATCAAAAAGTTCTCCCCCTCCACACAACTCCATGACAACATGAACGGCCACAGAATCCTCATAAGCCCCTTTGATGGAGATTACATTAGGGTGCCCTGCCAAGTGATGCATTATCTGAATTTCCCTCCTAACATCGTCAACATCTTCTAGAGTCATCAGTTTCCTTTTGGCAATAGATTTACAAGCAAACTCCTTTCCGGTACCTTTCTCCACACAAAGAAAAGTTGTCCCAAACTGACCATGCCCTAGTTTCCTCCCCAAGTTATAGTATTCCTTCAAATGACCTGTTTTGGTTTGTAACACTGACTCTACCTTTAGTCCTGCACATGACTGTCTCTTAACATTATGGGGCCTCCGGGGTTTTCCAGGCTCAACCTTAGCCTCTTCCTTGTTATATGCTGCTAGCTGTGATGGCTTGGAGTTAAGTCTTTGAGGGTGAGACCTTGATTGTTGTCTTTGGATCTCTTCTTTAGATTCCCCTAGTTGTTCCGTTCCTGTCTCTTCCCTGACAATCTTCATTTCTTCCGGGGGCTGGTCTCGAACAGATGCAGCTTCTGCCTCTTTATTTTCAGACTGATCAGCTTCATTGGCAATTTGTTTTTTATCCTCATTTTCAACTTCAGCTGGTCGAGACCACCACAGGGTATTTGAGATTGTTTGAAAGAGTCCAACTTTCCCTAATGAGATACAAATATTTCCCATCCGAAACCACTCTCAATTCTAACACCGTTTCTTACATATACATACAAAGAAATTCTAAAATTACCAAAATGCTATAACCCCATTTCTTCTGTCCCCAAATGTTGCTCATTTTTTAAAAGATAGCATCAAAAAGATGGAGTTTTAGCCAATCTATACAACCCCTTCACCTTCACCAAAAAAAATAAAAGAAACACAATGCAACCAGCACCAATGATTCAATGATCAATGTAATGCATCGAAGAGAAGAATTATCCCTCAAAAACAATTCCAAAAGCACAAAATTGGAATCTTTAAAGGCCTTCTAATATACCCTTCAATGGGAAAAACTTCCTACATAAATACAATGATCAATGATCATTAAAAAAAAAAAAGAAGAAGAAGAAATTTCCAAGAACCCAATATAAATAAACAACCACAATTGACAATTTTATGTCAAAACCATGATTTGAAATCATAAACAATGGAAAATATAACAGTAAAATGATTAAACCAAATGAAATAAAAGCAAGAGAAATGAAGAAAAAAAAAAGATATTTCTTTGTGAGATAGGATTTGAGGTTTACATATATGAGAAAAAATTTCATTTATTAGGGTTTTCATTAATTTGTATAAATCAAAGAAAAAATGGAGTGTTGATTTTTCTGCTTTCTGTGTGTTTTTGTTTTCTTTCCCCATTCAACAGGGAAAGAAAATGAAAGGAAAGTGAAAAAAAAAAGGAAAATGGCAGGTTTTTCCGTTAGAATGCTTCAATTTTTAATGCCTTTAACTGGGTTCGGATTAGGTGTAGCTGAGGACCAGAGAGGTTTCAACTTTCAAGCGCTTATCACATCATGATCGTTGGCTCACATGGTGATCGACAGCTGAAAATTTTTCTCCCTTGCTTAATTATGTAATTGAATTTTTTTTTTTAAATGAAAGTCTTCTGGCTGTGACATCTCCCCATCACAAACAAAAGAAAAATTTTTTTTTGTTTGAATAGGCTATGCAACACCTTTAAAACAAACAAAAAACAGGGTTTATGTGAAATCATCAAACGCATTAGCTTTCAAAAATTTTAGTTGTTGAGAAAATAAAGAGAGAAAGAAAAATTATCCTATAAATATGTTTCTATTGACTTGTGGATTAAATACAAAGTATAGAATTACAACTAAAACCAAAATGAACCAAAGAAATCTGCAGAAAATGTACCATCACTGCCATAACTATGGGTGCTTTATAAATGTAATAAGTGGCTTAGTTGGTCAAAGATCAGTAATGCTAAGCATAGGTTGGAAATTACAATCCCAAAGAAGTCTTTCTTTGATATAAGCCTTTTACAACTTCACTTCTTTGGCAGGCAGACATTGCAAAGATTATAAGGAAAACTTCAAGCCCAAATCGACTGATATTTTTCAACCCTACTGCTAGTCCTTGAACTGAGTCTGTTGAGAAGATCAAATCACCTTCATACACTTCAATTTGGACATAGAATTTTCTCCCACTGCTGCAGCTTTGTCTTTTCAATTTTTGAAGTATTATAAGTTCAGGAATACAATTCACAACAAATCATCTGAAACGATCCCATATCAACACATGGAACAGCAAACCGCAAAATACCACTTCTCTGACATGCACATATGTTCGGAAACCCAAAATACTAGTCACCAAGCATTCAAAAAGCTGGCATTCAGTCTGATAGGTATAACAAGTTTCCCTACATTATATTCTAAAGAAGAAAATTGAAGAAAACAGGAAGCTGGCTCCTAGAAAAGACTTCAAACATCTTTAGTGAAACCAGACAAATCAAGATGCCCAGATTCATCAGGTTTAGCAGAGGCTTCCTTCTGCGGATGACCTTCAATGGGGATTCCTCGCCTTATTGATGGTGGTGATGAAGATCCCCTGCAATAAAAATCTCCAAAAGCATCAAAAAAACTATTTTGCATCTCCTCAGCAGCATCAAAGAAACGGTTAACTCCACCAAAGAAGTGGCGTTCAATTGCCTCCATGTCACTACGTAGTCCGGGAAAATCAAATGGACCTTCCACATCTGATCCTAACGAGAAATTCCCTTTTAGCACTTGCTCTGTGACATCATCCTCAGTATACTCTTTGTTGAATTGTAGCACCTCAACAGGCCTAGATTAAACATACAGAAAAATGTAGTGACAAATCACATACAGTGATCGGCTAAAGGGGGAATGAAAAAGGTGCAATGAACATTATAATTACCTGTATACAATTCCAAACATAAATGACAGAATAGACCACTTCAAAAGGATATTAACCATTTGTACCAAACAAAAAAAGATATTAGCCATTTCCACCATAGCTTTGCAGCAGCGCAAATAATACTAAATCATTGCATGAATTGTGCAAGAACGACTTTGAGAAGAAGGAAACATAGTGCACATGAACTAATAGCATCTACGGCAGGGGCAGATCCACTCTTTGTCAAAGGGTATCCATGGACACTCCCCAAATATTGAAAATTAAAAAAATTGAAGGAAAATTTTCCTTGATTGAAAAATAAGAAAATTTAAAGAAAAAACACCCTTTTCATCAACACAATTGATAAATCCATTAAAAAAATTTATATATATTATAAGTGGACACCCCTAGAAAAAAATCTTGTGTCCACCACTAATATAGGGTCATCACAAAATAATTCAAATGAACGGATAAAGGAATCAGATATTTGTATTTCATCCATCTTGAAGCACCATTAATTTGGTGGAGACACATGCATATACGTATTAAATAGTGAAAATAAAGTTATTTTCAATTTTATTCCATTTTCTACTGAACTAAAAACAGCTCAGTTTGCTGGACATAAAAATATACCATTATCTCAACATCCCCTTCCTCTCTTCACCCAATAAAAGTTTGTTCCTAAACATGGTAGTCAAACCATCTTTATATTTTCTTCCAGATATTAACATGTCATACGCTTCAAATTTCATCGTTTATTGCTACCTTTTTTTCATCTCCTCCATTCCATAGATGAAAAAGCTGGAAGGAGAGCAAAAGTACTAACATTCTCCCAAAGAAAGTCATTAGATGGTTCATGTTGCATTTGTTAGAGAAAAGTTAGCTATACCTGTTCAAGCATTTTCACGATCTTTACTCAAAGAATCAGAACACCAACCATAAAAAACGCAACCAGTTAAGTGTGAAAATGGGCTAGTTTTGAGAGTTGAAACAATAACTGATCGGACCAAGAGAAAAAATACACCGTAATCAAATATTATAATCATATTATCATAACCTATAAACAATTCCTTCTCTTTCTCTGATCCAACAAAATTACAAAGAAATTGAAACGAAAATTTAACTTTTAAAACATGTATATAATTACAATTATGCGTGTTCAATTGAAGTCAAACATTTAGTTAAATTCAAGTTTTTCCTAATTAAAAGCAATCAACTTTGCTACCATTTTTATTTATTTATATTCTACGAGCAAAAAATTTATGTTGAAAATTAGTTAGGGTAAATAAGCAAATAAAAAAGTGTAAAAAAAAAAATTAACTGTTTAATTAATTTACCTCCCAATGCATTCTCTGAGAACTTTTTCGGTTTTCTCGCACTTTCGAACGAACTTTCCGGGTTCGACTTCTTCGGTCTTACAGTTGGATTGCACCACCTTTCTGGTAGAGCATCGATCGCCGTCGCGAACGGTTGATTCCACGGCATCGTTTGGTTCGTCTTTCCACACCAACCCATTTTTCTTTTTACTCTCTTTTTTGGGATTATTACTTGCTGTTAGATGTGAAAATAAAATTTCATGGGCGTTATGTTTCGGTGATAGTGATAAAGTTTCCCGACGGCACGTAGAGATGATCGTAAACCAATCACAAATTGACAGCAATGTTCTTAAAACATTTCGGGGAATGAGCCGGTCTGAGGTTTTTGTGAGACGAATGTGAATCCAAATATAATATGACCTGAACGGTTGAAGAACCCAAATAGTTGATATTTGAATATCAGTATTGGTCCAACGATTGACATTTGTTATTTCAATTTTTTATTTTTAAGAATTGAAATCCATTTTTTTTTAAAACCGTTTATTTGGGTTAAGGATTGAATTTTAATTATTAAAATTAAAAATTCAATATTTTATTTGTTGAAAATTTATATATTTATTAAAATGAAAAAAACAGATGACCAGTAGTTATATAATCTATTAAAAAAATATTATATTCTTAATATCAATAATCAAAATTTAAACTTTCAAGGACAAAAAGATAATATGAATATATATTATTATAATAATAATAACAAGACTTGCTTTACTGAGTATTAATATTATTTTCATTGATATTATTTCTTTCATGACATGTAGCACCCTCTAAAGTGTGAATAAATCAAATTAAATGTGAATTATTTGAGCTTAACTTGATTTTTTATCAAAATTACAATATTGTATCATTAGTAGTTGATCTGAAAATGAGCTTTAAACTTATAGTTTTGTACTGTAAAATTGATTGTTATTAATGTAATTTTATAATATATATTATAGCATTTGATTCAACATAACTTTATATATTCCAATTCAAAATTTATGTTGAAATCTTTGTTAGACACCCCAAAGATTGAAAAATAAAAAAATTTGAAGGAAAAATATCATTTTCATCAACAAAATTGATAAATTTTATCATAATTTTTTATATATATTATAAGTGAACACCTCTAAAAAAAAATTTAAAATTTATTATTAATTTACGATCATTACAGTTACAGAATAAGTTAAACGAACATATAAATGAATTAGATATTTGTATTTCATCCATCTTGAAGCATCATTAATTTGGTGGAGACAAATATGCATGCATGTACGAAATAGTGACATTATCATTATTATATTTACATTCAAATATATATTTCATTATTAATATTTAATTTTATTAACTATTATAATAATTAATTTTATTATCACTATTACTTTTAATCTCATAAAAAATAATTTCATCCTACATCCGAATGTACCATTACAGTGTCAATGCCCATTTGTGGACTGTCCAATATGCTGAAGAAATTGACCCGAAGTAAAGTACTCAGCTTTGCATTTGAACACTAAATGAGTTTGAGCTCCGACGTATACGAAACAGAAGTAGAGGAGAGACTTGCTTGAAAATGAGATACTTGATCAGATTCCGGTCCTTTCATCCAGAATCGAGGACCAACCTTTTTCGCCTCCACTTCTCTAGACTTAAGCTTCTCCCTTTTCGTTTTTCAACACTCTCCAAATCATCCAAGCCTCCACAAACGAAGAAAACCCCACAAACCAACTTGAAGAACCAAGCTGAAACATGTAGCATACCCTCACTCTTCCATGAAATAACTGACATTTTAGGAGTTGTTAACGTTACCTCGGATGAAACCCCATCTGGATTTTCAATATCCCCACAAACCAATGCGAGGGAGCTTGAGTTTATAGAAGAATCATTGTGTAGAAGGCCAGCTGTTTGTCAAAATGCCCAGGAGAAGATTAAATTGGTGGAACAGGAGGAGAATACCCAGATGGGAAATTCAGTTGAATTTGATGTTAGTGCAGTGGTTCATGAGATAACTAAGATAGTTAGAGCTGAAAATGCCTTGGTTTCCATGGAGGAGCAGTTAGAAAATTCAGGGTTTTCATTCGAACCAGAGATTGTTGAAAAAGTGTTGAAAAGGTGCTTTAAAGTGCCTCATTTAGCTTTTAGATTCTTCAACTGGCTGAAGCTTAGAAAAGGGTTTTGTTATACAACTGAGACTTTTAATACCATGCTGTATATAAGTGGGGAGGCTAAAGAATATGGGCTGCTTGAGATGCTATTGGAGGAAATGGACGAGAAATCTTGTAAGAAAGATATCAAGACTTGGACAATTCTTATCTCACAATATGGGAAGTCAAAGTTGATTGGGAAAGCGCTGGAAGTCTTTGAAAAAATGAAGAAATATGGTTGCGAACCTGATGAAGTGGCTTACAGAATGATGATACGTGCACTTTGCAACGCTGAAAAAGGTGACATTGCAATAGAGTTTTACAAGGAGATGATTGAGATGGAAATGAGCCTTGATTTGAATTTGTACAAGATGTTACTGAATTGTGTAGCTAAATCAGGAGATATTGCTGCTGTTCACTTGGTAGCTGATAACATGATGAGGGTCTCTCAGGTTCCAGAGCAGGAAGCATATGGTTATGTATTGAAGAGTTTCTGTATTTCTGGAAAAATCAGGGAAGCTTTAGAACTGATTCGTGACCTTAAGGAAAAAGATTTGTCTTTGGACCCTCATTATTTTGAGATTCTGGTCAAAGGATTGTGCAGGGCTGATAGGATTGCTGATGCTTTAGAAATTGTTAATATTATGAAGAGAAGACAACTGGTCAGTGAGAAGGTTTATGAGTTTATCATCAATGGGTACTTGAGAAGAAATGATATTTCTAAGGCATTTGATCTTTTCAAAAGCATGAAGCTATCTGGGTACTTACCAACAGTTTCTACTTATACAGACCTAATACAACGCCTCTTTAAATTGAATGAGTATCAGAAAGGCTGTGACTTATACAATGAGATGCTAGAGAAAGGGGTTGAGCCTGATAGTGTTGCACTCATGGCCATGGTTGCAGGTCATGTTTCCCAAAACCATATATCTGAAGCATGGAAAGTGTTCAATAGTATGGAGGATAGGGGCATCAGACCCACTTGGAGAACATATTCAATATTCATTAAGGAGCTTTGTAAAGTTGCAAAGACAGATGAAACTTTTCGGGCTTTGAGCAAAATGCAGGAGGCAAAGATAGGGATTCGAGATGAGATATTTCATTGGGTTATATCTTGCATGGAGAGGAAGGGAGATATGGGTAATGTTGAAAAAGTAAAGCAGATGCAGAGAATGTGTAATCTTCATTCAGAAGCTAGTGAGGTATCGAACAACAATGGCTTCAAAGGACAGGAGCTCCTTTTGGAGTTGGACCATAACCATTCAGAGTCTGAGAGGACAGATTGTCACCTGGGACAGCCCCTTTCAAAGGCTTATAACGAGCACGCCCTGGAAGAAGTTTATAAAATATTATCATCCTCAAATGACTGGTGCATCATTGAAGAAGCTCTGGAGAGATGCACCGTTAAGTTTACACCAGAACTTGTTGTGGAAATATTGCGAAAGAGCACTTCGCATGGTAAAATTGCTCTAAATTTCTTTTCATGGGTAGGAAAGCAAGTTGATTATTGGCACACTTCAGAAACGTACAACATGGCTATAAAAATCTCGGGATGCGGGAAAGATTTCAAAAACATGAGAAGGCTCTTCTATGAAATGAGAAGGAGAGGTTGTCTATCACCGGATGCATGGGCAATCATGATAATGCAATATGGTCGAACAGGTCTAACACAAATTGCTTTGAGGACTTTTACTGAGATGAAGACTGATGGTTATAATCCAACTGCGAGTACCTACAAGTATTTGATTATATGTCTCTGCGGGAAGAAAGGCAGGAATGTAGATGAAGCCATTAAAATATTCCAAGAAATGATCCGTGCTGGATATACCCCCGACAAAGAGTTACTGGAAAGATATCTTACTTGTTTATGTGAAGTTGGCAACCTCTCGGAAGCTAGAAGCTGCACAGATTATCTCCGTAGGATTGGATTCACAGTTCCACTTAGTTATTCCCTGTATATTAGGGCACTTTGTCGAGCAGGGAGACTGGAAGAAGCTTTAGAAATATTAGATGACGTTGGAACAGAACGATCCACATTGGATCAGTATGTTTATGGAAGCCTTGTCCATGGACTACTAGGAAAGGGTCGATTAGAACAAGCAATGGCTAAGGTGGATTCAATGAAGCAGGCTGGCATGCATCCAACTGTCCATGTTTACACATCCTTGATAGTTCATTTCTTCAAGGAGAGGCAGATGGAAAGCGCATTGGGGATTTTCGCAAAAATGGAAAAGGAGGGTTGTCAGCCAACTATTGTTACTTATTCTGCAATGATTCGTGGCTACATGAACATGGGAAAGGTTGTCGATGCCTGGAATGTCTTCCGTCACATGAGGCTGAAGGGACCCAAGCCTGATTTTAAGACTTACTCAATGTTCATTGCCTGTCTTTGTGAAGCAAGTAGATCCGAAGAAGCGATGCAGCTTTTATCCGAAATGCGAAACTCAGGGATCGTTCCTAGTACTGTCAATTTCCGAACAGTATTTTTTGGACTGAACAGAGAAGGTAAGCAAGATTTAGCTCAAACTGTATTACAACAAAAATCTGCTCTAAAATGTGAGCGCAAGTTTTTAACATGATTCTTTTCCCCTTTATTCTTGTTAATCATATCATTTAAATTATTTATTTAATTTTCTTTCCCATAGGTTCGATTCATATTTCGCTAAAATAAATAACCTGGAAGAAGATTAGAACTTGAAATCCAATGGTTTGCAGATAGCTGTTCAAGCTTCCAGGATGACTGAATCACCGAAAAATAAAGAAACTCAAAATCTCAGGAGAACATTAACAAAAGATATAGCAATTTATCACCCAAGGTTTGGGCCTTTATTTTTTATTTTCTTCCGGTGTGTTTTAACTTCCATAGTATCACGGAGTCTTCAACTTCAACCAGATGTTCAATCAAATTATACCTGAAAAAATGAAAGAGATCCATCAAAGATCAAACATAAAGGGTCAATTATCCAACTAAACTGTTAGAAAGGAGCAGTGAAACAAATGAATGACTGTCCAACGACAATTATCATTATGTAAAAGAGTTGGAAATTTGCTGCTAAGAACCGATTCTAAATGGTAGCATATACTCTGGTTTAAGATAAAACTTGTAATCAACCTGTGGTTATAAGCAGTCTACTTCAGGCAAGATGATGGGAGCAAAGGATTAATAATCAGACCTTTTAAACTTAAATCAAGATTAGATCCAGTAGGCAATGATCAAACTTAAATCAAGATTAGATCCAGTAGCCAATGATCAAGTGTGGCAACAGTGTATTTTTTTACAATTATAAAAGGATGCATATCAACTAGCAAACACAAGACAGAAACAGAGGTGGAGCATATTGAAACTTTCAAGTTCTCTCCACTAAAATAAAATTTACTCACATACGCTGTTAAGTTATCATCTCCTCAATCTTTAAGTTTGTTGACTCCATTGTGACATTGCTAGAGCAGCATGATCCTTGAAATTAAGATGAATGATTTAGAAGTGTTCCAGAAAAAACTTAGAACTTGGTGGTTTACTAAGATAAGACCCAAAATTTCAAACCATATATCAGATTCATAACCAAAGCCCAAAGCGATAACTCAATCTTGGATCTCATGATCACCTAAATAATCGGTCAGTTATTATGGAAAGATCGGATGCAAAACATTGAAGAGATATTTTGTCCCAGAACCGAGATTTCTTTAACATATCCTTCTTAATAAGTAGACATAATATAACTTTAGACACAGACAACAACCCCTGCATATAATGAATCATCAAAGCTTCTTCGTAATTTCTTCACTTGCACGCTGATAGTAAGTCATCCTCTGGATACAAGTCACAGCTTCATCAAAATTCCTGCTTTGATATGCATTTGCAAAGGAGTTAGACGATTCTTCCAATTTCTCCTTCATCTGCAAGGGACAAAAAAGAAATGACACATGTTTGGTAAAAATTGTTACTGTATACAAATTTTCAATGAAGCAGCACTTGAATTGGGACAGCAAATATTCAAACACCAAGCTTCACTTATAGAGTTTAAGCAAATGAAGGTTGTAAATGGTAAGATCTCCCAGTTTTAGGCAGCATTCCTATGCAGTACACCAACATAGTACACTACGGCTTCTTTTATTTCCTTAAAGATTTGGATCAAACATTTCCTTATGTGTAGGTAGCACAACTTAAATTGGAAAAGAACACCAAAGTTTCTAGAATTTAAGCAACTTTTGCATGTGCTGGGGCAGTTGTAGGCAGCAGTTCTATACGGGAAACCTAAATAACCCAATGAGTTTAATGTATAGCATTCAAGATTGTTGACTAGTCATCATCTCCCACTCTACCTCTAGCAGTCCAAAAATATTACAGCTTCAAACATACAGACTACGTATAATTGCCATTTAGGTAACTGCAGTCAGCCCTTGCTTAAAAATGAACAATCAAAGTGATAGCTAGGGAGAAACATCGTGATTGTCTCATGCAGAAATAACTACTATATTCTCACAAGTCACGAGTGAAGCTTGAGAGCTCTTTTATCTGTTAATCATACCTCAGATTGAATCTGATTTAGAGTGTGTGAATCTGGAGCCTCTTCTACAGCTTCCCTAATTTCCATAATCTGTATAAATAGAAATTCAGAAATAGATTATTTAAAAGAAAAAAGGCAACAAAGGAAAGTTAAAACATTTAAGAATGAAAGAATGAATATTCAAAAATGTGTCAATTACCTCAGTGAGCAACTCTGGATCTGAAACTGTCTGTTCTTCATCAACATCTACTCCTTCAAGCCTCAACTGTTAATGAAAACGGCAAATCTCAAGTTCACAAAAAATTCAAATACCAGAAAATTAATATAGAGAAAAGCAAAATAAAGAAGAAATAAAAGAGAAGCGTCTGAAGGAAAGCATGATCAAGAAAATCTACTTTCTTTTAACATAACCCAAATCAATTGGTCCATGAACCAAATGCACGTGCATCAACCCACTGATTAAAGTTAAAAAACAAAGATTCAACAACAAGTGTATTCAATCTAAGGTTGTATCCTACAGCTTTTCTCAATCAAACTGACACTACTCAATCTAAAACAACTTGATTGTATTTTCTACACAAAATAATCACTTTGAGTAAATGAAAACAACAGAACGATTATAAAACATCAGAAACCATATAACTGTGCATTACTTAATATTTAACAAACACTCACAGCGTATATTGCCCTAGACAAGGGCTTGCTAAGTGTACGGTATGCATCGATAACACGTGCGGATTGTTCAGCAGCATATTCTCTCTCTTTCTAACAGATTCACAAAATAATTATAACGGAAAAATAAATACGAATTTCAAAAACAAATCATTTGTTTCGGATGAACATACCTCGGATTTTGAATGAACAAGATCAGGATGCAATTTTTTCTGCCAATCCTTATACTTCCCTTCCAAACCATCAACCTCAATTTCATAACCTTTTTCTCTGTTAAAAATTAAAATAAAAAAGTTATAGAATCAACACAGGAAACAATTTTTTTTTTTTTTGTATTAGCGGAAAAGATACTTACAGTCCAAAAATCTGAAAGTAATCGATGGAAAAATCAACGGGTTGAATGCTCCGGCAGAAATCGCAATACAAGAACGGCGCCGTTCCATCGGCGAAGGCATCGCAGTTCCAGCACCTTTTTGTTGTAGTATCAATTTTTACGGCGGGCTGCGAGCAGTAAGTTTTCGAGGAAATTTTTAAATTTGCGAGAAAATGGGAACCGTAGCGTGGAGGAACCCTCGAAGAAGTTTCGAGCTGAGAGGGTAAAGATTGAATTTGTGAATTAGGAGAGTAAGGAGTCAAACGACATGTCGTTGGACGAGCTCTGCGTATAACGGTGGAGACTGGAGTCCACAGCTTCCTTGTCTTGTACATTTTTTCTTCTCTGCTTCTAGCCAAAGGTTTTTTTTATTTTATTTTTTTTTCCGAAGAATATAAGCTAGAGTTAAGAGGCCGTTTTCTTTTCTTTTCTTTTTTTTTTTTTACATTTTTGAATAATTAAAAAAATCTTTTACATGTTTAAATAATTAAAATTTTGTTATCTAAAATATATTGAAAGTAAATTACAATAGAGGCTATTTTATAGTACGCAGGATAAAATAAAAGGCTTTGAAAATTAATTTAATCTTGAATATTATAAGGTTTTGAAAATTAATTAAAAGTAATATTTTTTGAAAAAAAAAAAAGGGAGTTGAATGTAAAACATACTTTATCCCACCCTTTCTAATAAAATTTTAGTTTGGGCTAAAATATTTAAATTATTTTAAATTATTTTATTTTTTAAATAAATTTTTATATTTTATTATATTAAAATAAGTTTTTATTTTTTATTTATATTTAAATAAATTCTTATTTCAAATAAAATATTAATTTATATTAAAAATTTATTTATATACAAATTAAAGATTAAAAATTTATTTGAATATAAATTAAAAGTTAAAATTTATTCAGGATGTAAATTAAAAATTAAAAGTTTATTTGAATGTAGTAAAACTACCTAAAATTATCTTAAATAAAGTGATAAAAAGTTTTTTTATTATTATTTTAGCCTTTTACATTATAATAATTTTTGAAAAAATAAAAGGTAAATAAAGAAAAAGTAAAGCATAAAAGCAACAATCAAATTACACCTTTTTTATTCATAATCATATCCATACATAAATCAAATGATTAGTGAATCTCATGTGTCAAAGATCAGGACCATTATTTATAATAGCATTTTCTTACTTGCATGCTCAATGTGATTCTATAAATGGAATAAACCAAGAAATTTTGTTATTTAAACTTATTAATAGTATTTTGGATTACAACTATAATCAATAATAGGCAATGCATTATGCACTTAAACATCTCTACCAAAGAAAAAGAAAGAAAGAAGTAATGGATGGATCGTTGTTAAGAGAAAATAAAGACTATGGTACACATATTTCATTACATAATGGGGTTATTTTTGTATAAGATGTTACAAAATCCTTTCTCAAGTCTTTTGTTTTGTTGCTGAGGTTCAACTTCCATCAGCAAGCTAGATATTTTTTCGGGGTTGAGGCATCGGTTACCCAGAATAGAAGCTGAAGCAACAGAACCTATGCTTTCTCCAGTTACTCAACTTTTTCACATCATTTAGACCATTTTCATGGTACCTATTTGCCTTGATGGTTCCATTTTCATAGGAATTCAAAGCAACATGGTTTGTCTCGGTTGGTACTGATACATTCTGCTGAGGTGATGCCTGTATTACTTGATTATGGTTAACTTCCCTCAAAAGAGAATTTGATCCTGCAGACCTGCAGTACATCCATAGATCAACAAATAAACCCAATCATTTGCAAGTATAATTTGGTTGACAAGAAAAGAGGGGAACGATTGGAAAGGCAAAAGGAAGAGTGGGACTTTAGTCCCTACCATTTTTCCATTGAAATAACATTTCCATTCTCCCCAGTTCCCTCAACTTGATTAAATAAGGATATGAATTAAGATTTAGATTTCAGGGCATAGACTTGAATGTATTAAAAGAATATGTGAAAATATCTTAACATGGTTACCTTGTGTCATTAATGTCACTGCCATTCCTGGAGTCATCCGAGGTCATCTCCAGATTCTCCGAAAACTTTTTGGAGGCAGCTTCAAGACCAACCTCAACTTTTGAACAAACATTGTCTTCTGCAGAATAAGTTGAGTCCTTTACGGCACCCTCTTCCAAATATAGAGCTTCTTCATCAGAGAAACTAGAAGATCTGCTTTGGGCGTTATGTCTGTATTGCTGTATTTTTGAAATGGCCTTCTCCAGCGTTCCTAGAGCTTCTTCCACCTCTGGACGAATAGAAATCCCTTTTTTAGCATTTACACCATGTGTATCTGCGAATTTATTGGTTGAAGGTTGATTTGCAGCCTTAATGCCCTCCTCCAGGCCTGTATTCACTTCACTTTCTTCTTCCTCAATTTCACCAAAAGTTTTTCTCTTTGTGTCTTGTGTTTTCTTCAGTGGAGATTCACCAGCATTGTCACAAGCACGAACCTTCTGTTCTGTATGGAGCGTGTCATCTTGTGTGCCTTCGATTAAATTCTCATTAGGCAAAAGGTGAGCTTCACTTTTGGGCTCTTGTACTTCAAGAATTTCACCTGATTTCTTACTGGAGTAAAGAGCTTCACGTATTAGACCAAACAAAGGGTCTCCCAAGGCCTTGCTATAATCTTCATCACAATTAGACACAGAAGCCACAGTCTGTAAGCATTGTAAAATGGAAAAATGTGAGAGACTAATTGGTGGGATAGTAATAATCCGCATCACGAAATATGAAGTTCCTAATGCAGAAGTCCTCAGCATGGAACCTTTTAAGATAAATAATCAGTTGGATCCATCTATACCAGTAATTCCATTACATACTTTGACAAGCCAAATCAGTTACACTTATTGGTAGCATTTAAAAAGCAAAAATTCTTAAACTGGATACTTGTGGGAATTAAGATCTCATGTCAGAAGAATGTGTGACCTTTTGATAGAGTCTGAAACCATTTCCCATAAGCTGCCTTGAGATAAAGTTTATAAGGGATGGAGGAACAAAATCCAGCTTCATATCCATATTTGCTATTGTCCTACAAAATTAACAACATTTTAATATTTAGAGGAGAAAAGGAAGAAAATGAGAAGAGTAAATATAACTTTCAAAAGGTTCTACGGACAGTTTTTACAGCCATAATTGCTATTGTCCTTATGGTATCTATTGACAGTTTCTTTCCCTCTTTCTTGCCTCCTAATTCCCCAACTGACTACAATGTCAGAAAGAAAATACTTTGTAATGCCTATTTGACACTTAGGTTGCTTGGTAGAAAGAATGAAAAACTTGTTAATCCAATGGTTAAAATTCGTAACCATTTTCCCACTTTCTAGCTTAACTATTAGATTAATAAGCTTTTCATTCTTACCATCAAGCAAAGCCTTAATGCCACCTAAGACAAGTTAAGGAAAAATAATACAGCTGTTTGAAATAAATCCCCAAATCCTTATGATTGCAACTATATAATCACCAAACAGGACAAAAACTGGTTACGTAATACAGTTAGACCAATTGCCCTGGTAGACCCAATCATCCCTAACTCAGACTCTCCTAATCACAACTCTGATCAAATGGAATCATCAGAAAACCAGTATTTAGCCAATGCCAACTCCAAATATATGAAGATCTCCAATTGATGTCTGCTAGTCGAGTTTTAGGATATTTGAAAAATAAGCTTCAAAAACATGACCAGTTCAGATTTCAAGTGACAACAAGTTGCAGAGTTATAATTATAGAAGGTGTCTGCTATCTTTGCCGGTAAAACTCATTCGGTTCTTGTACCGTGGACCTAAATCATTTGACTTTTTCTCTCCTTGAAATGCATTCGGCAACATTTACTTTCCTATTTTCATATGACAACTTAACGTATTATAACTCACCTAAAGTAGCTTCTTTCATTGTTCACCTTCTGCAAAGCAAAGCCTCCAACTACATCAATCCTTACAACATCCTTTGCTTCAGGAATTCCATCATTAGTAAATCCATGAGTTGCTTTTTCAATGCTGCTCACTTCTGAGACCTAAAAGCAGAAGTACAGAAATATTTAGATAAACTTGCAGATATCTGGGAAGAAAGCAAATTGCAAAGGAGATGAAACCATATTCAAGTATTTGAACTGACTACCGTGTTCACAAGAATGACAATCAGATCATCTTGAAAGTACTCAAAGAAAAAATAGTGTACTAAAGCCTCCCTAGCAGACAGTGGCCACGCAACCTTCACCCTTTCTTCCAAAAATACAAAAACAAGTAAGGATTTTACAATTACAGACTTCAACATAGTATTAAAAAAAGGAAACAAATTTCAATAAACTGTTGTAGTTCTAGGCTTGACAAACCTGACTAGAGATATCTGTTCACCAATTCGGACCTTTTGCAAACAGGTGGAACTAGTTACTTTGAAAGGTGGAAAGCTAGACTGAGGCCACCTGGAAAAAAGTAAAAGAAGATTATTGTTGAAAGCGTACACATTTTCACTTAAATTGGATGAAATCTTAAATCTACTGCATGTTATTATTACGCATCAAGTAACCCCTCCACCATCCATCTGTCAAATTCTCACCTATTATTCATTTATAATTATACGAGGGTATTTACATAGACATACTTATTGCATTAGTCAGACAATAACAAACTAGAAATAGATGTCAACAAAACATTATGATTTACAATAATTCAGCCATCCTAAGTTGAACAAAAGCAACAAAAACACGGCGGCAACTTTCAGACAATAGCATCAACTTTTGATAATCTGGCATCAGTTATAAGAGCTAAAAACAGAAAGAAACTTTTCGAATGAAATTTTATTGCTAGTGCACCATGGTTTGGGATCAGATCCAATAAACAACTATAGAAGAGTACGGAGAAATTCTGCAACAAGAACACGCACAACTACAAAGTCATGGATACACAGCATAGTATTTCAATGGAGGATAAAAAAAGAATGAAAGTCTGCAGGTTACATAGATTTGCCAGTCAATATATAGCATGTTAATTCTACGTTGGAATCAAGTGCAACAATGGAAACAATTCTCACCATTTCTTATAGAGGACTGACTCCCAAGAGATACATAAACCTGCAACGAAGTGTATAACTCATTTAAAAGTTTCTTATGCAATCATGACTGGTATTTAAAAATCTTAAATTAATTGCATAATCTTTTGCTCATAATTTAGGATGAAGTTCAAAAATAATTAAAGTATGAGCTGAACTTACAAACATCCAAAGGCCCATCTACATAGCCTTCAACAAGTAATGTATGAAAAGGAGTGCCATGAGGTCCTTCACGGTACATAACTCGGAACTCTTCATTGTCATGCTTCAACTGTCAAAAAAAGTTGGCTATGAATTTTTTGCGAACAATAATCACAATTTAGGACATAAAAAAATGTTTGTTCCACTCAGATATGCTTAATAAAGCCATTGATATAAGAGAACTACGGGGAATCTGGCTAACAGATCATACTTTCCATTCACCATGTGATGTCTCACTGGATTTTGACACCTGATGATCATCAATAGAAGTACTCCTTAACATGTCAAGAAAATTGGATACTTCATGAGCCCTTTTGTCCAATAAATTTTCACTAAATTCTGTTTGAACAAAAAAAGGAAATTAGAAGAAAATATTTGACAATATATACTCATAAAAACTCTATTTTAGTAAGTAATTGCGTAGAGGGATTTCAAGTGCACATATCAAGGCCGCTTAAATGGATAAACCGTAAAAGTGGAACAAATACTCTACCTTCTTTCTCATCTTGTGCATATTGTAAAATTTGATTCTTGACAAGGGTTTTAAGCGTCTCTGAATCGGTCAGTTCAGCAGATGACAGCGTCTTGTCCAGCCTCTCTCTGTATTGAGAGATCGCCTTCTTCTTTTCCATATTTACATCTGTAAGCAAACAGCATCCAGCTCCCTCTCAAGCACTTGAACGAGCAACAAACCTTGCAACCAAAAACAAAATTTTGTTAAGATCTTCTCAGTTTTTTACAATGTTAAACACACATGTATTTGATAGTAAATTATCAGTCAAAACAATTAATGACAGCTAAAACACAAAAATATGAACAAAACTGGATTCTATTTTAATATCCAAGAGTTCAAAAGTCTTCTGCAGAATATGCAAAAGTAAAAGACGATGTTCATTAAGTTCACACATTAAGATCTCCATGTGATTATACAATCAGAAAGCCTCATAAATCTATTCAAATAAGATGAAAGACAAACTAAATCAAAGGAAACATAATCTATTCAAATAAGATCAAAGACAAACTAAATCAAAGCAAACAATCAATTGACTTTTGACTTAGAAAAAACTGCAAGAACTTCTGGACCACGGCTGATAGGAATGCTATAAAACAAGAACATAAAACCATTAAAAACTCCCCCATGGCAATACAACGACCTAAAACAGTTAGGCCAGCTCCATATCCAAAACCATTCATGTATGTAACCTCATAATTTAAGACCAACAAAATGAAAGGAAAAAAGAAACCAAATTATACATAAGAAAAGCATCTTGTCACCAATATTCTTAGTCAAAGCAAAACAACAACAGACACTGAAATAAAAGCAAGCAAAGAAGTTCAACTTACATGAAACTCTATAAAACTAAACTGAAAGAATAGTCCTCCAAGGAAAATTCTAAAACGAGCCCAGAATCAGAAAAGTGAAATCCCACCAACCCAAAGAAATGCTGCAGATCTCAATGAAGAATTCACTTCCTTGGAAGCTCTAACAAATCTCTATAATATCTTAATCATGGTCAAAAAAGAAGAGACAAAAAGCAACTTGATTCGAGACCGCCTAGACGCAAAATAGAACATGGGTTTTTCTTCTTGGGTATAACGGACACACGACAGTCACAAGAATCACCAATAAAGTCAAAATTACAGCTTTTTTTTTCGCTAAAAATGATACGAAAATAACAATATTATTATTTTATTAGTCTGGAAAACAAAAAGTGAGTGCTTTAATAGTATTATTATATTATTTAGAGTTAAATAAACAAGGTTTTGAGAGGTTGACTTCTGAATTTGTACAAGTGTTGGCTTTTAATGTACGGAGAGATTTGATCTATTCGATGATGAAATTAAATAGATGGTTTTAACTATTTAAAAATTATATTTTATATTATTTTATATTTTATTATTCGATTATTTTATTTATACTATGATTCATTTAAAAAATAAATAAATTTTAATACGTTTTAAAATAAAAATACAAAAAAAATTTTATGAATATTTATCAATGCAAGTATAATTGTTATTTTAGTTTTAAATTGAAAGTCTCTTTTATAGATCATGGCAATAATATTGTTATTTTTATCGACTTATCTATTTGCATTACGATATAATATTAAGAGATAAATAAATAATAATAATAATAATAATAAAATCTTAAATTTTTATTAAAACTGGTTGAGTCGTCTTAGTACTAAATTTGACTAACCGTGAAATTGAAAATGAAGGCAACCTCGGTTTTACCGCCGTATACGTGGCATTCTCGTTGTTCTTAAGCTAAACAGTGGCTAGATTCCAGTCGATAAAGACACTTCCAATACTGACACGTGCCATTTTATTCTGTTTTTCTTTTTTATATAAAAATAAAAATCTATAATTAATTTTTATAATATTTTTTTTACTAGGAGTATTTGTTTTAGAGTAATAATATAATTTGGAAAACTATATACCGTAGACTTTTCAATAATACTATTCCTTTTGATAAAGTTATTTGATTATTAGTTATACATATGATGTTTTATTCATATAAATCAAATTTTGAATTAATTAAAAATATTTAATTATTTATTTAATATAAAAATTTCAATTATTCAATATATTAAAAATATTCTCTATTTATACAATTAAGATATCAAATAAATTTAAAATTATTCGTGAAATCTTAAGATAATTTATTAAAATTTTAATAATACATTAAATTATAAAATGATGTAAAAATAATTAGTTTTGCATACCTTTTAATTCGACTTTTTAAAACTAATTAAGAAAAAAAAAGTTAATTTGGCCTTTAATAATAGGTCTTAGGTTCGGTCAGTTGGCTGCTGTATTTTGCCTTTAATAATAAAGGTTGAAAACAAGTCTTTTTTTTTTTTTTTTTTCTTAACAAGTGTCACTAAATTGCTTGATACTTCATTGGAATTGTGAGAAAAAATTTTATTGTTGTCGTATAGTTTTATCATTAAAATTTAATATTTTTAATATAAAATATTTAATTATAATAAAAATAATAGAAATGAGTGGAATCCAAATTCTATTACGATTTGATCAAGTCTTTTTTTTTTTTTTTCAAATTGGCATTTGGCAATAATTAGAATTAGAATTTTTTTTGGCATAATCCTTGCTTTCTTGTTTAATGTTTTATAATATTATAATAATTTTTATATAAATTATTATAATTTTATTGAAAGAAAATTTAAATCCTATTATTTAAGTAGCTGATACATTTAATTTGAGCTAAATCCAATAATTTGATATTAAATATGGAGTATGATTTATTTTTATAACTTATTTTTTTATACTTTCATCATTAGGCATGTTAAATTTATTCTTCAATTAAGATTATTATTTGTATTAAAATTTTTTGAAAAATTTTTAAATTAATTAACTACTAATCATTATTCTTTAACAATAAAAATTTAAAAACCTTATAAATGAATTATTTATTTGTGAAGTGTAATTTTAATTAAATTTGTTAACTTTTTTTTTGCCAAAAAATTTGTTAATTTAATAATTCTAAATTTATCTAAATCTCAATTAAAATAAAAACTAGCCAAACAACGCCTTTTCCTCTCTTATCCTGGGATAACTCTATTCCCCATTTTGCCAGTGCGAGGCTCAAGCGATCATCATCAGCCAAAGACGTAACCCTACTATTCTTCAACGCTGTTTGATTTTCTTTTTTTTTTTGTACAGATACATTTTTTGAGAAATATTATTGTATGTATTTTGATTATCGATCTGTTTATTATTTCTCTCTTCGTTTTTAGCGGTCCTTTTTGGTTCATAAAAAATCTTGGGAAGAAAAATCAGGATTATGTTAAAACAGTTTCTTTGATTTTCCCTCATTTTCTCGTCAACCAAACAGAGTATTAGGTATTTGATCCCTTAATTACAGATCAAATTTGAAGTGCTTTTTTAGACCTTTGTATTACCCCTGTTTGGTGATGAGAGAAAGTATAGGAATTCCAGAAATATGTCAGTTTCTAGGAAAGTGATTTTTACTTTTTTGAATCTTGTTATTTTAATAGTTGAATAAACCCTAGCAACTGAAATGGGTAATGAAACTCCTTCATTATTGATTTTTTTAAAATTTTATTTGATCTGTGCTGTTAGGTGCTTGGATTTCTAATTTGTTTGCCAATCATCTTTTAATTGGCTTTTAAAAGGAAAACTTTGATGATCAACCATGAAATAGGATTGCTTTTTTATGGGAAGCTACAGTTTTAATCTCATTTTAATATCATTAGTTTAAGCAGTGGATAGTGATGATGATAATGGTGAAGAAGGAGAAGACATGTACTAAATTTTTCACTAAATAATAAGAAAGGCACTGCAAAATTTTTGTTTTTTGGTAGTTGCTTCTGAGTTGTAACATAGTACTAAATTGGATTAACAAATATGTGGCTTCTTTTTGTTTTGTATTTGAGGCTATCAAGAATTGAACCCGAGTCACTAATGGTATATTTTAGAATTCTAAAGAAGAAGGAAGAAGGGGGATTCGAAAGGGAAAAAATGCTGATCTTACAATGATTTAGACATAGGACTTTTCAATCTCATTGAGGATTCTATTGTTTATTTCACCTGTTTGACTAATGTGTTTTGTACTAAATATCTTAAGTATGTTTTGTTATTACTTGCATTCACTTTCTTATGATTATTGACTTTTTGGACTTGTAGTTGCAGGTGAGGAAATGGATGATGATTTTTTCAGTAACACCGAAAATGTGAGGGCAAATTGGATGCCACCACATGATCAGTATTTTGTTGAACTTTTGATGGACCAAGTGCAAAGGGGGAACAAAACTGGCTATGCATTTAAACAACAGGCGTGGGTGGATATGATAACTGAATTTAATTCCAAGTTTGGTTTTAAATATGATATAGATGTTCTGAAAAACCGATTCAAACGGATGAGGAAGCAATACAATGATATGAGGATTCTTCTTGCTCAAAGTGGATTTGAGTGGGATGAAGCAATGAAGATGGTAAAAGCTGATGATAATACATGGGATGAGTATCTTAAGGTACAAACTTTTACTTGAATCTTTGAAAACAACATATGGAACTAAAATTGCAATTAGCTTTCTGCATCCCACTCGCAGGCCCACCCAGACATGCAAATATACAGAACAAAAGCCGTGCAATATTACAAAGAGTTGTGTATGATATGTGGGCATACAGTTGCAGATGGAAGATACAGTCTTTCTTGTTTTGATGTAGACTTTGAGAATGAAGGTGGGTATTGGATATGATAGCTGATTATTGCTAGATGCTTTCTGCTTAACTAGAATAGAAATTGATTTACTATTCTGTTGTTTGACCATCATAGTGGATGATAAAACTCCAAGCGCTGGTGATCGCTCAAAAATTGACTGGACACCAACAATGGATCAATACTTCCTTGAGCTCATGCTGGCACTGGTGCATAAAGGGAATAAAGTTGGCCGTACCTTCAAGAAGAAAGCATGGGTGTGTATGATCACATTGTTTAATGCAAAATTTGGATTTCAGCACAGTAGAGCTGTCTTGAAAAATCGATATAAGATCTTGAGGAGCCAATATGCTAGTATAAGGACTCTGCTCACTCAAAAAGGGTTTCACTGGGATGAAACCCAAAAAATGGTGCTAGCCGATGATCGTGTTTGGAATAAATATATTAAGGTACAAAATGCATTTCATTTACCTTTCAGTTAAATGTATTGGACAAAAAGGAGCTTACTAGTTATAAATGCAGGAACATCCTGAATTCAGAAGATACAAAAACAAATCAACTCCATGTTATGATTATATGTGCATCATATGCCGCAACGAATCTGCTTATGGTAAAAAAAGAACTCTGCAATGCAACAATGCGAGTAGTGAGAATGGAACCCCTGGTGATATTGGTGGAAGATCAACGCCAACTATTAACGTCAGGGTGGCTAAAAGGGTGCATGATGAAGTAGCAGCTCCAGGTGTTAGTATTAAATTACAGGAACAACAAAACAAGCACCAATCTCAGATGCCTAGAACTTCAAATCAGCCTAAAAGGGCCAGAAGTGAAGAAAATGGCATGGCTAATGCTTTACGAGAGATGGCACTTGTGGTTACCTCGATAAAAAAGAAGAGAGAGGACGAAAATGCATCAACAGAGAGAGTAATTGAGGAACTCCAGGCCATACGAGGCATTGATGATGATCTGTTACTAGACGCGTGTGACTTTTTGGAGGATGATAGAAGGGCAAGGATGTTCCTAGCATTAGATGTCTCCCTAAGAAAGAAGTGGTTAATGAGAAAGCTTCGTCCACAGTAACAAAATTTCAACATTTTCTACACCTTTTTTTTTTTTGGTCTTCCCTTAGCATTTGTTGATAAAGGTACAGGACTTACACATTCATTTGCTCAGCAAAGCGCTGAACCTATAAGTTTATCGACTCCCTAATTAGATGCCCGAACTTGTCCGGATCATACCAGTTTAAGCAACCAGCATCTCTCACATGAGGATTTCACATAGATGGAGAAGCTATTAATAATTTGACTGCAGATTGCTTAATACACTCATTTTCTTTGTTCTTTTAATGTTCTAATTTTTTTTTTTAAACTTTAAACGCTGTTTTTTATTTAGAGAAAAAGGATTCAAGCTCAATTTTGAGTATAAGAATACATGTATTTATTATTAAAATATTAGTAATTTCGCTCAATATGTATTTTTTTTTTTCCATTTTTTCGTTATCAATAAGCAACTTTAAACCTTTTGAAATAGAATCCAGAAGGCATGCATTGTTCCATGTAAAATAAGGTTTTTTTTTTTTAATCAGTACCCAAACCCGAGAAACCACTCCAAGTTCAATCGGGTTTTCTGTCCTCATACCGTCCAGTCCAGGGCCCTTTTCCATTCATAGCCGACTCCTCACTTCCTGCACCAACAGTCTCCCCTTTTACGATAATCAACCAGTAAGTTATCAAACTCTACAAATCATACTTCCTTTCTGGGATTTTCAAGTCTCAACTTTTTTTTTTAGTTTTTTTATTAGATCTTCATAGTTTTTAATTGGGTTATTATTATTACTTTTAATGTCTTTTGTTTTATGGTTTTTGTTTGGTTTCTGGGCTCTTGCCATTGTAACTCTGGGTTTGTTTATTTCTACTCTTTGCTGTTTGAGAAAACTCCTAAAAGAGAAGATCTTTTTCTAAACATGGTGTGGTGGCAGAGACATTTGCAATGTGCACTTCGTCAAGTTGGGAGAAGACTGGAGCATAATTATACTCCGTCTGCCCACTATTCTTCTACTTCTCGCTTAAGCTCCTCTCTTTTACCTTGTTAGTTTCTTTCTTTCTTCTTTTTTATGGGTGATGTTAAAGTTAAATTTGGAATAGATACTGAGAAAGAAAACATGGGTATTTTTTGTTTTATGTAAAAAAGCTGAATTTTAATTGACTTCACTGTTAATACTTCATGTATGTAGCTTCTTTCATGCTCAAGGGTCCTTTCTTCGACTTGTCTACTTTTTTGTGAAGTTAAAGTTCAATTTGAAGTTATAATTGAGAAAGAAAACATTGGTAATACTTCTTAAATTTTGTGTGTGTGCATGTGTGTGATTTTGCTTCTTTTTGGGAGTAGGGAATTGAATTTGAGTATTAAAAAGTATTTGAAATATTTATGCAGGTGAACTGCCTAGCATTCGGAGATTGTGGAGATCACCTTCTGCTAGTATCTCAACGCCTTTATATCAGTATTTCCAACAGTTAGTAATGCCAACTTGTGCTTTGCACTTTGATACAATTTTGGTGACTTTGAGGTTTTCAACTGTTTCTGGTTTATCTTTGTAAAATCATTCTTTCAATTTCAAAGAGAAGCTGTAAATTTTGTGATATGCGAGTCATAAAAAAACTACACATGTATTCTAATGTATCTATTGTGAAATCTGATGTTAAATTTGTCACATTTCATGTATGTTGATGCAGATTTTTGGGATGTCTTGCTTTGTCTAATGATGAAAAAAATACAGAGGTCAGAGAAGAAGGATATTGTCAAGTATCTTAGAAAGCAATAAGTTCATATGCTTTCTCGCTTTTTTTGATTGTCAATGCTTGTGTTCTTGTATTGAAGATGTTGTGTTGCATTCAACTTGATGTCATCCTTTTTCAGCATGACTTTGATTGCCAATGGCATCTATCTGCAAATGATCAGACTTTATTATCTGTTCATTGTTGTAAAATGTCCTTCATTGGACAATGCCCTTGGTTTGAAGTGGTGTCAACATATAGAAGATCAATAGAATGCTTCTAACTGATGAAAAAACAATTCTTGAACAATGTGACAAGAGGTCCATAAATGAATTATCTATATAATGTTTTTGCCACACTGATGTTTTGTTGTGTGTCGTTAGAATATTATTCCCACTTGCAGCATCATATTAAAGTTATTTGGGAAATACTTTTCAGTTATATCATTTAATGATATGAGCCAAAGGTGTTTGTCTATACAATGGCTTCTTTTTCTATTCTTAAATATTTGGATTTTCTTTGCAAACATTTTCAATTTTTTTCCTTTCCTTTTCTTTTTATTTTATGTTTTTGTTTTTCCTCGCATTAGTTGTCCTATGTTTACATGCATAGGGAATTTCCACTTCAAGGAAGTTACTAGCAGGTTCATCTGAAGAGACGCCCATTTCATCACCATTAACTCCTGTTTTGGCAATAGATGGTGGGAAGACTGAAGAGAAGAAAGTTGTTCCTAGTTGCTCAAAAGTTCAAGCAGTGTTAAAGAAGATAAAACAGGTTACCTCCTGAACTCTTACCGGAAAATTCTAATTTTAAACTGTTTGCTTATTTTGGTATTATGAAGGTAGTCTCACTTGAAGGTAAGAAAATAGGCAGATAATTTAAGTTGGTAGGGAACTACAAAATATCTGTATTATGTCTATCCTTGTGATGAAAATGCAAGGAAATTTTGTAATTTCCATGACCAATGATCCTCTACCTGTAATAGTTGCCAATGTTCAATAACCACATTAAAGTTTTCATGGCTTTGGACCATTAATAATTGAAGCGTACTCTTCACACTATGCCCTTTCACACGAGACTTCTGCATTTTGGAAACCACTTTTATAAGTTACACAAACGTTCTAAAAAGAGGAATGTCTCCATCTTTACATGAGTTTGTTTTAACTTAATTGATGGAACACATAATGTTGCGTTTTCACTTCTGCACAGAATTCACTTTTCTGTTTAGTTGAAATAAAAGATATTTTGAGACCTTGAGTTGATAGAACCTCACTTAACTTTCAATAGAAGGATATAGTTAAGCAGAGGGATCTCTTGGGGGATCCAATGCAATAAGTGAAATAAATGAATTTTGCTAATGCAAAACATAAAACAGAGATGACTTGCCTTTATGTTTCAGGAGTGAAATTCAGTTGAAACAAACTTGTTTCTGAATTTTGTGCTCGACGTTGTGCTTGAGAACATACCATAGAACAATCATGCAAATACTTGATTGTTAATATATCTTTATTAAAACTGATGGAGGCTGGTTTACAAAGTTCCAATGTCATCTTCATTTACCTAAATTTCTACATAAGTAAATTGGCCATGTTTTTGCTGCATCCAAGTTAGTTTGCAATCATAAAGCTCATTAATTTTTTGTATTAAATCAATTGACCCTACTTGCAACTGCTCAAAAGTGTTGGAGCTGGATTAACAAGAAGGAAAAAAGATTATTATTGCATCTCTAATATGGGCACTTAAACTGCCTTTATGATTCTGCATTACCATCTTTTCTGGTGTTGCTTATGTGGTAGAATTAACTTATGGCTGACTTGCATGTTTTAGAGTCCTAAGAAAGTCAACTTAGTTGCTGCATTAGTTCATGGTATGCGTGTTGAGGATGCATTATTGCAGTTGCAAGTGACAGTAAAGCGTGCTGCTAAAAGCGTCTATCAGGTGATTCAACCAGTCTGCCCTATTGATGAACTATTGTTCATTTTAAAGTAGTCGTGTAACTTCTAGCTGAAATGTCTGGTCTAGAAACTAGCCAAGACTCATCTTACTAAGCTGCAATAGCTATGTGCCACAGCCACAAAAGGAAACCCAGAAAAAGAAAAAGTAAAAGAAACATGAATTTATACCCACTATACTATTTAGAAATTAATGGAAAAGAAAGATGCAATTTCTTGAAACAGAATGAAGAATGGATGTATTGTTTTGCCCTATCTACTTATGCTTCGATCTTCAGAAGTAAGATACTTTTGCATTGTCAACGAACAATATAGTTTGTAACAATTTATAATCAAAACCTTGCAATGCAGGTCATTCACTCGGCTTGAGCGAATGCTACCCATAATCATGGATTGGATCCAGACCGTCTGCTAGTTGGTAAGCAGTGGAAATGAACTTGCTTATATCACTTGGGAGTATCTGTGCTTGTATGCATTCTGCATATATATATATATATATATTATTTTAAATAGCCGAGGCATTTGTGAGGAAGGGATTATTTTTGAAGAGAGTTTCGTATCATGGTAAAGGGCGAAGCAGAATTAAAGAGATACCAGAGTGTCGACTAGCAGTTGTAGTTGGGGAGATGACCCCGGAAGAGGAAGCCAAGATAGCCAGGTTGAAAGTAAGCAAGTTTCGCAAGCTTACTAAGCGCGAAAGGCGACTAGTGCCCCATAAGCTTTTTGAAGCCACTCCTATTTGGATTTACAAAGGCAAAGCCAGCAGCCAGTAACCAAATGGCATGGCTGCATGAGATTTCTCCCTTAAATGTTTTTGCATTTGAACTGAGTTTTTAAGTGCCAAAATGATTTTAGTTTATCCCCTGGTGGTGCTCCAATATATTTTTTCAATGGCTGGATATGGTTTTGAGAAATGTGGAATCTCACCCAAACCAATTGCTGCAACATTTAAAATTCAACCATATTCTACAGAGATGCTTATCCTGTACATCAGCATTTTTTTAAAGTTAAAAAACTCCAATGTTGAAATATAAAATCAACTAAGCAATGGATAGTGTACGAAGAGAAGCCATTCCCTTTCTGCTACAAAATTGGCATTGCTCCGAATCATTCTTCGGATTAAGTATATATACATGTAAGAGAATGTTTGATCTTTGTAGTAACTTAACTGTTTCTATGGGATCAATCCAAAACTGTAAAACTTCAGATCATGTGGTTCTTGAGAGTGTAAACAAAAAAGAAGTCTCATTCGCAAAACCTTAACCTTCAAAAGAATCTGTATTTGCTTTTAGGGTTGGCCGCCCCATAAATGAAACCCCCCATTTCAGGTTTAAGAAAGGTACAATGCTTCTGATAAATGCTTCACTGTGTAAAATTACGCCACCCGGACTCTTCTATAGAGAAGGACATAAGCAGCAGATGTCTTAATCCTGTCTTCACTGAAACGGAAAACTCTGTCATCGTCGAACTCATACCATCTACCGTACCGGTGCTACAAATGCAGGAACAGAGTTAGATGAGACATCTACTGCTGATTCCACAGGAACATGCAGAAGAGCATGCAAGGAGCAATGCAAAGTTAGATGATAAATCCCAAAACTTTAGAACTCTCAATTCTACTTTTACAGCCTACAAAATATTTAACCATTATTACACGAAGAAACCAATTTTCCAAGAGATAGGGTACGGCCGTTATATATTTATTTAACTTGAGAGTGTATGTAACATATCTGAATTTCAAAAAGAATGCGGATACCAAAGAAATTTAAGCAATGCACCAATAAATAGAAAACTAAAATAAATAAAGGTGTAGCTGATGCCTGATAGCAGTATAAAACAATTTCAAGAAAATTTTGAGGCGGTGGATAAATAGAATTCCCCTACTAAGAACCCCATAACCATGTTACCCGTATTTTCATTTTAAGACTGAATTTAAATTTACTTGTAACATACACCTTAATTCTCTATTTACAAAAATGATCTCCCTATAATTGTACGCCCCACTTTTAAAGTGACACTCAACAAGCTGACATTCGATAACAAGCCCATAATATACAGGATACCTATTTCATTTATTGATACTATTAGTACATGCTTTTGAAAATCCTAGAGTTCATTATAGTTGCGAAACATTATTTGTCCACGAGAAAAGAAACAAATGGCAAATTTTTATCAGCAGAATCATTCATGGGTAGCTAGGTGCAAGCAATTCCGTCCCAGTAGAATAGCATGGCTGAATGAACAAGATAGGAATAAAATAATCAGAGAACATAAGATAGAAAAGGTCTGACACTTACATCGACAAAAGCAGTATGATGACCGCCTCCCATGCCACCGTAGTGATTACTAATTGCATACAATTGGTAACAATTGGCTATCAATATGGGAAATGTAATTGGAGAGATTGAGATCACGAATTGGAAAGTCCACATGTTTCTAGCTTGTTCTTGAAAAATCGGCTATAGGAGAATCTCTTTAAATGAATAACCAAAATCTCAGGCAGTCTCCAAAGATCCAACTTTTTGTTGGCTTGCCCCGGCTTCTTGCATCCGGAGCAGTACCTAATATGACCAGAACCCTCACTATTAGGTTCAACAAGAGTATGATTACTTCATAATTTAAAATAAAATAAATTGATTGTGCTTGTAACATAAAAAATTTAAATCAAAGATAGAAGACCATAACTATAACTATGTCAATAGTAGGAATGAAGTGTATGTTAGGAAAAAAACACACTAACCACATGTCATCTGGTCCTAAAGGTTCCTCTTGCAAGAAACCTTCCAGACATTTATACAAGGAAATGGATTCTTGAGGCCTTCTTGTAAACAACTGGGGCCTTCTTGAAAATCTCAGGCAATGAACTGAGAAGGCATGTGTCATACTTTTCAATCATCTTATCTGGCCAGTGAACGCTCACATTCAACTTCTTAGTAAACCTTGAGACTGCTACAGGCGCATTCATCTTCATCTCCACTGGATCAATTTTATCGACCAAGTAGAATTTGAAGTCAGTATTCCGGTGAAAATCATTCTCTGCTCCACTGTCTAAACCTGCATCACTATCTGAAACTAAGGGGCTAACAATATCCTCCATCTTAGAATTCTTATTAATAGTGTTCCCCATCTCATCACCATCATAATAATTTACCGCATCTTCGACTGGCATTAGAAACGGACTAAGTAATTTTAGAAACTGATTATGGATCTCAGATCCACTTGAAGAATCCTGTATCCTTGCTACAAGAAGAACACCAAACAGCATCCAGTTGGTCAAATAAATTTTTAAAAAATAAATATAAATATAAATATAAATATAAATATAAAAGAAATATTTTTAATTATAAAAATAAAATATGTATATATATATATTTTTAAGTTTTATAAGTTATCTTATTTAAATATTTAAATATCATTAATTAATAAATATATATTATATTTATAATTAAATGACATTAATAATAATATTATTGAATTTTTTATTTTTATTTTAACATTTTAAAAAATAATTTTATTTTTTTTATCAAATACATTTTTTAAAAAACCAAAATTAAGAATTATTTTTAAAAATAACAATAAAAATATTTTCTCAAACCAAAACCTTAAGATTTTATTGAGACTTCTATAAAAATTAGAAAACAAAGAAAATGAAATAGAAAATTAATGTTTAATATTATGAATTTGGAAGAATTCTTTCACTATAATTTCTTGTTAATTTGAGATTAGTTGTTGTGATCACAAATCCATAAAGCAAGAGATTAATATTGTTTGGTATTTTTGTGCGACTTTCCTTAATGTTTTTAAAAAACATTGTGATTAAGACATGGAAAGTGATTGTGTCTTACTATGCCTGGTTTTGGACATCTTACACGTTGATGATGTTGATTAAGACGGAAGTTGGAAGCTTCCGTACCATTTGTACTTTGGTCGGGCAACACCTGTAAACATAAAAACGTAAAAAGGACTAAATATTAAAAAAAAAAAAAATCATGTACAATTGGTCAAATATATATGTTCGAATCCTAATATTCTATTTTTATATAAAAAATCTCCATTTTTTTTTCCTTTGAAATCGACATAATCATCCACTCATACGTAATTAGTTGTTTATGTTTCATATTAATTATTATTTGGGCAATTCTTTTGGATTTTAACTTTGTTTATTTGTACTATAGCTTTCCAAGGATGTTAAAAAATTTACTTATTAATTATCATTAATATAAATAAAAAATTAAATAAACACCGGCTAATCTGATTAATAAAGAGAAAAATACTTTCTTTTTCTATCGAGATAGAAACTAAAATTATAAATGCTTTGTATAAATGAAAGAGAGTGTGATCTTAAAACTTTTCAAAATTAAAAATAGGTTCAAGTAAATCATGGGAATGTTTTGATTATATTATCAAAAAATATACACAAGTATAAAAAAAAAAAAAAGTATTATATTTTTATTAGATATGATAATTTATGTATTTATATTTTTTTATTTTAAAAATATATAAAATATAAAAATTATTGTATTATAATTCATGTTTATACATTAAATAGGAAATATTTTTTTTTAATTTTTTCAAATTTTATATAATTTTTATTAAAATTTTAAATTATATTATTTTAAATTTTTTATATTATATCACAATATTATATTACTATACCGTATTTAAAATTATCAAATACTCCAACTAACTGAATGTTTATTTATTTATTTATTTTTTCATAATGAATTATCTTAGACAAGCAGTTGGACTTGGACATGGGTTATAGTTAGGGATGGCAACGGGACAGGTCGAGGCGGGTTTTCGCTCGTCCTAAACTCGATTCGACTTTAAACGTATAAAATTCGAACCCGACCCTACTCGATAATTTTTTTATTAATTTTATATCCGAACTCGACCCGACTCGATATTGTATAAAATCATATCCGATCTGACCCGAAATTAATAAAATATTATTTTTAATATAAATATAAAATTAGATATATATATATATAATAATTATAAAATTAAATAATTAATTAAAAAATTATTTTTATATATATAAATAGGGTTGGATAAGGTCGGGTACCGACCTTGATTTTTTTCTTTATGCCACTTGACCCGACCCGATCCGATACCCGATTTTCAAAAAAAAAATCGACCCTAAAAAATCGGATCGGATCGAAACTCATCGGTTTCAGGTTTTTTTACCTTCTCTAGTTATAGTCTGATTTCAATCTAATGGCCCAAATTCTGAACAAAAAGCTGGATGGGCTTCCAAAATGTTTCCTAATTTATTGGACAAAGCAATCTAAAGGCCTAATTCAACAAGCAAGAACAAAAATTGACTTTTTAATTGGGTTTTGAAGGCCCAACTTAGATAACAAAATCTGGCCACACATTTTCAGCCTTTGTTGAGTTTATTGTAAGGAAAAGATTATATATATATAAAGGACAAATATTTAGTATTTGAAATTGTTAGAATTTAAATTTAATTAGTAAAATAAAAAGTTTAATATCTATGGATAGATCATACGATTGTTGACAAATCATACAAGTATTTGAATAATATGTTCTTCTTCCATCACAATTCTAATTGATATGCCTTGTAAATAACCACCAAACTTAGACCTCAATCCTTAATACGGGAAAAACCAGTTTCAATTACCTGCTAACACATTAATATTTTTGTTCATTTTCCTTTATTTTTTATTAAAAGCTCCTCAGATGAGTGGCGGAAGATACTCTCATTATATTGTGGTTGTCGTTTTGTTGACTGAAAATCTTAAAAGTCCAAGCATTTTAACACCTATGAATCCACGATGCGATGAAAATCTCTACCATCACATATTCAAATGAAAGCTTAATTTATGTATAATATTCCGATCAATTGCCCAATGTAATGCAGAAAGCAAAAAATTTGGCAGTGAGTGAAATCTAAATAAAAAAAAAATGTTAGTCAACACTTGCAGGTGGATACATCTTGAATGAATGACTATAAAAGATAGACGACAATTTGTTTGTGATGAAGATGCCATTCATGCAATTTTCAAGAATTTGGTTACTGACAAAATTTTATTCCTTCTGACTTATTCCACGAGACTAAGTTTTGCTAAAGTGATTCATACAATATTTTCAAACTCAATTCCACT